GATTTTAAGTAAAAAGTTCCAAGAAAAAAAAAAGATTACATCCGCACAAGCATAGAATGCCTCTATGCCTAGCTCTTTAGACAAAAAAGAAAAACTAGAAACACATGTGAAAACTCTTACGAAAGTTGTGAGGCAAGACAAAGAGATATTGAGTATTGATCGCTATTGAGCTAATTTTAGGAGTTTATTTGCTTAAGCCTACTGGGCTTTTTTTTTTAGAAGTATATTCTGATCATAAGCTATTCCTAGTTAGACAATATTTTCTTATTCCACAAGCTGTGTTCCCATGTCACAATTAATGATTCAGCAGTTCCACCTATGTGTGAAAAGTTTGGGCGGGAGTTTTTCCGCCAGCACTACTTTAATGTTTTCCTTTCCTTTTTCAATTACTTACTAGTTATTTAATTTAATTATTATTTTTATATACTCTATTTTTTTCATGTGACAGGTAACAATGTTAGGATCAAGTGATTGTGGACATTCAAATAAAAAAAATATCAAACATTGGGTATTAAAATAGAAGAATTTAAAGGTTGAACATTGAAAAAGAAAAAAAAATCAAATGTTGGGTTCTAAAATTATAGTTATTTAGTCCCATGTGACAATTCATTTTAGACACATCAACATTTTATATTTTCAAGTGACTATAGACATTTAAAAAAAAAAATCAAAGTTTGGATTCTAAACAAAAAGAATTTACCGGTTTTACATTGAAACAACAAATAAAAAAAATAAAGGTTGGTTTATTTTTTTCCGTGGATTATATATGTATTAATTAAAACTACTTTTTTTTCCAAACAGTTTTAAAGTTACACCTTCACATCAATTTGTTGTATTTAGAAAATAAATTTTTCTGAATTTTAGTTAAAAAAATCAAGAGAGCTAGTAAACTTCCTTAATCATCATCTCTATCCTTAGCAAACCTAGTAAATTTTGATGTCTAGCCAAAACTGGTTTTTAAGCCAACAAATCTCTCACAAGTCCGTATGTCCTGGATGTTTATCTATAAGCAAGGGAACCAGGACACAGAAGCCTGATATCCGGCAGATGAGAATTCTTGCTTTTTTTCAATGTCAAGCTCGTTCAGAAAAATATTAATGCCGACAATTGAGAACATGACAAGGCCGGCTTGGAACTTGGAAGGCAGGTGACGTTGAGCAGACAAGATCCCTCCCATCTATAAACTATTTTCATCCTCCGTATTTTCAGCTGTTAACGATGTCTAGGCCCGCATGAATCCAGATGGCATAAACTCCGTTGGCATGTCATCTTCAACTAGTTGGGCTGTAAAATCATGCCAACCGCCCATTTTCCGACCGGGCCACCTGACACCAACGAAATAACAATGCAATCCAAATATCTCTCCTGTTCTGATCATTACAGGGATTTTTCAAATTGACTGGAGAAGGAGGTGCTCTGCTCCGCAATGAATTTGAACAAGAACGGAGATGATATTTGCCTGTTTCGCCTTATCATCCTACCCCATCTTATAATTCACCGTCCCGCCCCCGCTATTTTCTTTTTTTTGAAAATTATAATTATATCCAATATATATATAAACTTTGAGGTTATAAATTAATTTTTTCACTATAATGAGTGAGTTTTGATAATTTCTATGTAATAAAGAGAAGCAAGAATTTATGCTTTTTAATTATATTTATGATATTTCATCAACTTAATTAAATATATTATTTGTTCAATTGAAAATAATTTAATATATTATGAATTGTATTCTAAATTTATAATTAAATATAATATTAAATTATTATTTTTATTAGTTATATTTTTTATATGTATTATTATCTTTTTGTTAAAGTTTAAAATTTAATATAAGATAAAAGGAAGGAAAGGAGGCGTAAAAAAAATTAAGGCATCAGTGACTGTCTCGTGGAGATCCCGCCTCTGAAAAACTCTGTCCCGTCCTCCCCGCACGGAGACAGAACAGATACGGACAAAACGAGGTAGAGGCGGGGATGGCCCATTACTAGAATGATGATTTGATTTGAGTCGAATATGGTAGCCAGCAAAAATTTTTGATCTGGGGTCAAGGAATCTGTTATTAATCAATGATTTTGTCACTAACACCACAAATTTAGCACCATAATCTCTCTCCAAGCCCTTAATTTGCGCCAGGGTCGTATGTCCCGTATTTCTTGGATTTGGGTCCTCTCCCGTCTAGCCTCTCAGAAATTCAATATGATGCGACCTTTCTTTTTCTTGAAAGAAAATCAATCTATTATTTACTTCTTGACGTGACATCTATTATCAAGAGTAGTTGATAAAAAAAAAAAAAAAAAACTAATTCAATAAACCAACCAAATCCTAGGTCGAACAATGGGGCAAACCTTATCTTATACCTTCCACAGAAGTCAGGACTGAAGTTGGCTAAGAAATCTACACAAAGAGTTACCATTACCCTCTCCAAAGACATAACAAATCTTAACAGCCCAATTTTGCTTAAGAAGCTCCATCACCTTACCAAACAATGTAGCAAGGCAATAGGAGCACAAAATTGGTTCTGCAACATTTGCACAAAGACAGCAGAATAAATCTGCATCTGCAGATGCTTAACCCTCCATCCCAAGCCCCCTCCAAATTTCTGCAACAATAGCTTTTGAATAACCAACCTGAAACGCATTTCTTCAGGCCAAGTACCACCAGAATAATGCAGTAAGCCACCAACACCAACAATACCAGAAGATTCCTTACACCCTCATCCGTGTTCAAAGTAAATCATGATTAGGTGGCCTCCAGCCTCCAGCAAACAAGCCTCAGTTCTTTCTGAGGTATAGTAGTGGATGGCACTACGACATCTTGAGCCATTTTGACCTCCCACAACAAATCTCTTAATTTCCCAAAGAGCAATACCTACAGTAAAACTCCTATCCTTGAAAACACTATCAAGTGGCAATGACAAACTTCAAACCCTATCACTCAAATGAGCTCTACACACCACCCCTTGAGATTAGAGGCAAACTGTTGCCCCTTATGTAAAAAGAACTCTGCTTTAGCAATAGAGGGGACCAAATACTCCCAGATCGCCTTTGCAATCATACAAATGGCAGCATGTCTCCTCGCTGCATGAATAAAGATAACAAACAGCTTGATCTGCGATGCCCCTCTTAAATTGCAAAGTATTTCTGATCAGCCTAATCCCCCAAGTTGCAGATGATAGTGCTTCTATATTAGATTGGCCATTTCAGAGTCATCAAATAGGAGACAATTTTGATTGTTAAAATTGGATTACCATAAATTTTATTTGGCTCATATGACACAAAAAATTTCTAAGATACTATGAGAATTATATCACATCACTTTCTTTTTTGGAGGAAACAATGAAATTCAATTTAAATTATAGGGAGAAAAGTATCTATTACTCAAGAGAAAAGATGGCTTATGAATTATGTTATGCCTCTATATAGGGTGTTCACCGTTTAATTGAAACTGTCAAACAATCAGTGTAGATTGGTTCAGTTATTTTAATTTCGTTATAAATTTTACTATCAAATTGAACAAATAAGGGATGACAAAGTTCAACACCAGAGAAAACCCTGTTGCATGCTCCTAGATTGAAATAGCAGTAACACATTTCTTATGAAAGTAATATTTTCAGCAGCAAATCTGTTACACTGCTGATTTTGCTGCTGATTCCAACAATAGTGAAGTAGCCAAAACTGTAGGCAGCTTGATGATTTTACAATGGAAGAGGAAAAATAAGAAAATCAACCAATTGAAACGGCAAAGACTTGAACTAATTAAAAAGTGTCTTTTCATAAATAAGTAAACGTGCTAAAAAAAACTAAGAAATACAGAGTTTTTTATGAGTAATAAAAAGTTGTTATCAAGGGTTTTATTCATTAATCTTAAAAAGTCACTACGCATTCCAACTTGGGAAATTAAGTGAAGACTGACATTGGTAATTAACAAAAGCATTTTTGGAACTTTCTAAACTAAGATTGTGCTTTGATTGATAATTATAGATTCCCAATGTTACCATAAGGTCCTTGCGACCACTTTTTGCAACTTAGCAAGTTCATCGACAAATACTAGGCTAGACCTGAAACCATTAAGCATTTCCAGTCATTGGTAATTAGAAAAAAAAAAAAAAAAAAACTAAGGGAGTGAAAACTAAGACTGGAATTAGGCCATGGATAATATTTCACTAGGTCATCCATAAGGTTACCATGCAGCCAGTCTCACTGACCGGCAACCCTTTCTAATTTTTCCTAGGGGTTAATTGGAATACATCCAGCTTTGATTAATTTCCTTATGGCCATTATTCCAGCTTTCTATGACTTCCAAACCTTTCCCTCCTGATTCCTTTTCTTTTAAAGCTGTATAGCTCTCAATTTAAGAATCCCATTGTTGTCCTAAATCATATAATTTATTTTTCATTATCTATAGAGGTTCTCCAGTTGACAGTAAAAAGTATGGAAAGAGACAATGAGATTATTACTAGCATCATTGTTTCACAACAAACATGTTGGTGTGTTCAGAGTTTCCTTTCTGCAGACTAGAACAGATAAAAAGTAAAACTTAATCTGAAGACACTGTTGCTCAGCTAGTAAAGGCCAAGAACACAATCCTGCAAACTATATCCGAAATGCTATTAACTTAGTGTGAAATGAAGAACACGATTTCTGCAAATTTATTCTTCTCTAGTTATAACAACAAGGATCAATCAACAATTTTTATTTTTTTTATACATTATAGATCATCAGGACAACTTTCAAAACATTCACAGCTTGACTCTTATTCGTAATTCCAATCAAAATCATATTCCCACTTGATATCTCCTACTTGATACACAAAACTAGGCAACTCTAATGCAAAACACACAAATAAATCTAATCACGTTAACATTCACAGAGAAACATCCACAAATATCGTATATCATTTAAAATAACAACAAACATCAACCCAAAAATCCATCATCTTTATTCAAATTTCCTTTTAAAAAAGGCAAACAACAAAACTACATTCATTACCTCCTTTTTGTATCACGAAGAACTCTTGAAGGAATCAACAAACCCACTACTAAGCAACCTCTCAACATACTTCCCCAAAATATCCACCTCCAAATTCACCTTCTGCCCAACTTCCTTCAAAGGAACAACAACTTTCTGCTGTGTATAAGAGACTAACATAAAATTAAAACACCCCTCTTCCTCCAAAACATCAACAACAGTCAAACTAGTCCCATCCACTGCAATAAACCCCTTTGGCACAATATATTTCAACAACCCTTTATCTGTTTTCACTTTAATCCACAATGAATCACCTTCTGGCACCTTCTCTACAATCACACCCGTGCCATCCACGTGACCCTGCACAAAATGCCCTCCCATTCTACTAATAGGCTGCACTGCCCTCTCCAAATTAACCAAAGATCCAGTCTTTAACTCAATCAGAGATGTTTTCCTCAAAGTTTCAGGAGATAACCCCACAGTGAAACCTTGATCAGTGAAATCAGTGACAGTTAAGCAAGTCCCATTAACTGCAATACTGTCACCTAAATTTACACCTTCAAGCACTGTTTTCGCCTCTATTTTAAGGTCAAAGCCACCATCTTTTGTATCACCCAAGTTTTGAACTTTGCCCATTTCTTCGACTATGCCAGTGAAAAGGGACCTTATTGGTTGAAAATGGGATTTGGGTTTCAAGTTTTTCAAGGGCTTCGCGACGGTCAGAGAGAAAGAGTTGGGCTTTGAGATTGTAGAGAACTTGATGAGGTGGAGGGATTTGTAAGAGAGGAGGTTTAGGATTGTTGATTTCGTTGTTGAGGTTTTTGAAGGAGAGAATTTTGGGGTTTTGGAGAGAGAAGAGAGGGAGAAAGAGAGTGCCATTCTTTTCTCGTCTGTTTGGTTGGTTAGTGAGAAAAAATTGAAGGGTTTTGACTGAGACGACTTTATGTAGTGCTTCTTTCAGGAGATGCGATGAATATGACCAATGTCATGTGACGATCTCATGATGTAAACCTGCATTGCTTATCATATCTATACACAGCCCAACATGTCCCATAATTGTCTTACTGTAAGAGAGGTATGTTGCCTTCTTCTTCTTCTTCTTCGTTCTTTCCTTTTTTTTTTTTTTTTTTTTCATTTCAGTTTTGGGAATAGTGACAATATAAAAGGAATAAATTATAAATTAGCTTCTGGTTTCCATAAATAAATAAATTATTTTTTAAAAAATAATTCTTTAAATTTTTAATATTTTAATTTCATCAAATAATTTACTTTTTTTCATCAGTTTTATATTAGATTAATAATTTTTTATATTTTGATTTCATATTTCGAATTAAATTTTTTTTTCCTTTGAATTTTGTTAGGGGTTCTGATGAGCTTATGCTGCTAAATAGAGATAGCCCTACTTTTACCGTAATAGACTATCATAATTCAATACTTGTAATTTGCGAATACAAATGATTGAAAGTAAAAATTTTGAGATCTAACCTAATTGCTAAGTGGACATATTCATCAGGTGATCATCCATTCTAGAGAAACTTGTAAATAAATAAATAAAATAAATAAAAAATCTCACAAATGCATGAATTTAGGAGATGTATGATTTTTTTCAAGACTTGATGGTTGATAAATTTATATGAATAAAAGTTATAGTGGGAATGATGTTGTTAAAAAATGGGAGTGATACAAAAATTCAAAAAAAGAAAATTTTCAAAGAGAAGTTTTATTAATTTATTCTCTCATAATATTTTTGATTTATACAAGCTCTCTTTTTATGGAAGTAATGATTTGATCCGATAAAAACTCTATTTATAATTGAGATAATAATAACTTTGATTTTTGTACTTTCACAAAATTTAATTTGAGTTTTTGGAACAAAATAATTGAAAGGAAAAACTAAAAGAAAAAGAATTTAATACAACTTGAAGAAATAAAAAAAAAAATCAAGGTACATACCATTGTAGATTTTTTTATTATACATATTCGATAAGGGAATGAAAATAGTTATCAATAGCACTTGTTAATCAATTTTTCCATAAAGTCCTAATGATCGTAAGTCTGATGTATTTAAAAATAATTGACATTTTTTTTTGTATTTAAATTATATATTATCAATAACTTAAAAATACAGAAAGTATATATTAAAGATAAAACTAATGACAACATATTAAATTGTTATTGAGTTTGTATGTCATCAATAAATGAAAGTTATGACATCTTACTGCAAAAAAAAAAAAAAAAAAAAAACCGTGCGTCCTTGTATTGCGAGAATGATATAATTTTGGTCATTCGATTATTCATCTATAATTAATTGTTTAGTGATTTGACGAAAGCATCGTAATCTCATTTGTGTATTGTCATAATCATGATAATTATGTCTATTTGTATGGTTCCTATTTTGTTTAAACATGAATAGCAATAGATCTCACACCCTTGAAAAATGTTTATCCCAAATTTTGTATAATTTTTATAACATTTTTTTTCAACTTGCTATTATTGTTTAAAATTTAATTTAGAAAACTTATATCCTAAAATTAAAATTAAAAAAGTAATATTCTTTTAAAAAAATACATAATATATTTTATTTTCTCAATCTATATCAAATTTAAGTTCTAGATTACTGTTGATTCTTTTTAAATACTATTATATCATTTTATTTCATAGGTTTATTAAGAGAAAATGACTTTATATAATAGTTAAAGCCTCTCATATATTTTTCGATTTTTAATTACATCTTATTTGTTTTTAAATGTATTTGAAATATTCAATTTGTTACTCCGATTAGTTTTCCCTACCAAATATTTTTTTTGATCGAAATGCTCGCTGATTGAAATGCAAAAATAGCATAAAATAAAATTTCAATGACTTGAAAAATGGAATATGCAGGTTATGTAATTTTAAATATATATTTTTTCATTTATTGATTTTATTTTTTTGTATTTTAGCAAAGGGCATTTCAATAAAAAAAATTATAGTCGAAAAATTTAATCGAAAGAACAGATTAAACATTTCAAAAAATTTCAAAAACAAATGAGATGCAATTGAAAATCTAAAGACAAATAAATTTTTTTGAGTATTATATAAGAAAATAGGGATATATTTATCCGAAATTCAGTGTTTGTAGGAGTCTCCAAAGATTTAAGGAGCAGACAATGGGGATGTAGGATTTTCTTGGAAAATAAAATGAAAAATATTGATTTCTTCCTCTCCCCCTCTCTCGCCCGTGTTCTTATCCTTTATCTTCTATTATCTTCATCTTTGTGAAGTCATTGCTCCTGCAAATTGTTATTGATATTCCTACTGGATCAATTCACTTTTGGATCTTTAGATTATTCTTTGCTATGAGTGGTATCAGTGCCACTAATCCTCCTTCAGTGCTCATATTGGCCTCCTCCAAAACTCGCTATGAGTGGTATCAGAGCCACTAATCCTCCTTAAGTGGTCATATTGGCCTCCTCCAAAACTCAATATCTGACAAAACTGGAGGAAACCGTTGAAAATCTTACCAAAGATAATCCAAGTTCCAATTTGTGCAGCAGGAATTCCATCAAAGGACCATCAAATGGCAGGAAGCTGGATTCAGTGAGCTCAAGGGTCTGCTGCAAGCCCTCACAAATCCTGTTTTTATGCTTAATCCACAATAACGCACAACACTTCAGCTTCTTCAAGCACTCCTATCAATCAAACATCATCCTTACCAGATTTACCACTGGCACAACGATCTTTTGATTATACAAGCAACTGCTGCAGTTTTTTTTTTATTATTATTTTTTACAGGATTTTCCTCTTTTTAACCCAAAAAATAAAGAAGGGTAGTCCAGTTTGCTTAAGGGGACAAATAATGCAAAGTTTGATGAGACACGATGCAAGAAGAGGAAGGAAAGGCAAGAACAAGTTATCCCTTCTGAATTCGAAGAACAAATATATCTTATTTAACAATTTTGAAACTGTTCGTATTGGTTGAAACTATTCGAAGATTAAATTTCGTTTTCTTATTGTAATTTTTTTTTTTTTTGAAGTATTAGCATGTGGGAAATAGTTGGAATAGTTTGAGAATGAATTTGATTAGCAACAAAATAAAGGGAAGAAAGGTAGAATGTCAACTCAAGTTAAAAGATAAAGTTTGAAAATATAGAATGGCCGTTCAATTTTTCAAATTATATATAAAGAATTAGGTACACAATTAGAAGGATGAGTGAACAGATGAGCTTGAAAACATAGCCGGTTACCCTCTTCTACAATACTACAAGTTCAACAAAAGAAAACCTAACCATATTTGCAACAAAGCAACGCATGTTACTATAATTTATTAAGCCATTCAACTTTGAGAAATAGTTTAGAATAAACGTGAAGATTTTGTAATATATGTTATACTCTATGAAGTGTTAACCCTTTTAAAAGATGTATTCTTTATTACCATTTCCTAATTATATAGTTATAATGGATTTATCATCACAAATATGCTTTCATTCAATCCATTCGACACTCATTTTTTCATTGTAACAAGTCATGCCATTTTTGCTGCTAAAAAAACCTCAAAACATACGTGAATAAATGATGGGCCAAAAGCTAGTTAACTTCAATTGGCTACAAAAAGTGTGTTACATGACCAAAATGGGGTATAGTCCTCCTGCATGCACAAATATTGGGTGATGTGATTTGATTTTTGTGGGAGTTTTTCAGAGACTAGAGTTCTGTGGAATTCGAGATTGGAGTGAATTTTAGGTGGGGTTTGTTAGGATGGAGATCTATAGATTGTTGACGTTCTTGATAGATATTTTTAGAAAGAGGAACATGCATGTGGGGATTGATGCATGACTAATTAGTTGTAAAATATTTTGAATTTTTTTATCTATATAAAAAAATTAATCTTTTTTATTTTGATTTGGATTTTAAATTCTTTTTTAATAGTAATTAATTTTTTCTATTTTATTAACTAATTTCAAAAGATATTAGATGTGCATAAAAAATATTCTCAAGCATATGAACCAACTAAATAACGATATATATCCTCCAACGTACGTTTAATGTCATTTCAAAATTAATTAATGAAATATAAAGAGCTAATTTCAAAAGATATTAGATGCACATAAAAAACATTCCCAAGCATATAAACCAACTAAATAACGATGTATATCCTCCAAAGTAGGTTTAATGTCGTTTCAAAATTAATTAATAAAATATAAAGATTTAATTATGGATAAAAAAGTTTGACATCCATATCAGAATAAAAAAATTTATTTTTTTTCTTATTAAAGAAACTTCATGATACTTGATAGCTGATTAGCCTTGGTATTATATTGCTATTAGTTGGTAGGTCAAGACGAAATAGCCATACTTATTTTAAGCCATTACGTGCATCATGTTCATACATAAACCATTTAACAAGTGATGAAATGATTAGATTACTGGCTACCTAAGCTTGGATGGGGACAGAATCCAATGTGAATACTTTCTTCCTCAAAAAACATATGCATGGCCCGAAAATTCATCCATATCAAGAAAAACTAACCCCATAAGCCAGCACAAGCCATAGGTTGCATACCCTTAAAGTCCGCATAGCAGAAGAAAAGTAGAAAAACTCTTACTGGACGGTGTTGGTGACAGATGAGAAATTCAACTAACAATGCACAAGAAAGCACCAAAACTAGGGCACCCGTCACCACCATCCTTCGTATCTGCTTTTTTTTAGCTAACAACTCTATAAAGACGCATATTTTCCTATCTGCCTTCACCAATTCTGATATATATTCCAACCTTGTCTACATTCACAACTTTCAATACTTCTAGGACGCTCAAACTTTCAAGTTAAGCATCAATGTTGAAACCCAAGAGGCTGTTGAGCCTCCTGCTAAGGCTTATTGCCTTCGGGGCTACACTTGCATCGGTAATTATCATGGCTACAAGTCACGAGAAAGGTACATTCTTTTCAGTGTCATATGAAGCAAAGTACACCGACACACCAGCCTTCAAGTAAGTTTTTTTTTCTATTTTTAATTCTGCTAAAGTTTTATTTGCTTTTTTGCACCTTTATATTGATTACTGAAAAGGGTTTCTGCAGGTATTTTGTGATAGCAAATTCAATTGTTACTGTCTATAGTTTTCTTGTTCTGTTTGTTCCTTCACAGAGTCCTCTCTGGCGAATAGTTCTTGCCTTGGATTTGGTAATTGTACAGGCACACAGAGCTTTGATTTGTTTTATTAACTTCATTGCTTCACAGCAGAATACAGAAACCTTTAATTACCTGACAGAACCTTGCTCATAAAACTCTTGCTTGTTTCTCGTTTTATTTTTTGACGTAGGTATTTACCATGTTGCTCATTTCGAGCATTTCAGCGGCCTTGGCGTTAGCTCAGGTAGGCAAGAAAGGGAACTCTAGAGCAGGTTGGCTACCTGTCTGCGGCCAAGTCACAAAGTATTGCAACCAAGTAACAGGAGCATTAGTTGCTGGTTTCATCGCCCTCATGACTTACATAATCCTGCTGCTCAACTCTATATACACTTTCCTAAATCCTCTTCTTGAAAAGGCCTAGAAGGTTATCAAGTTTAATTCCTAAAATCATCGACCATCCTTGCATTTTCTTTTGTATGGTTTGTATGATCTATAATTAGAAAATTTTGCCTTGGTAGATGATTTGCTCAGAATTGTATTGATCGAATGCTTTCCTAGTCCTTCAAGGGAAACCATATGACAAACAAAATGCCAAAGAATAGTCATTTGCCAAGACTCAAAAGACATGTGTAATATTTTCAAGTGGTATCATCAGAAAGTAAGATAATATTCTTGCTGATCTTATGTAACTTTCCTACTGATCAATGTCATGGCTAGTGATTTGTCTTCTTGTAATTCCAATCTCCTCTGTGGATTCAGTCTCTCAAACCCATATATGGTTCAATGGAAATGATATCTCTTAAAACTATATGAAACTCTGATATTTTTCTGTTTAAATAACTTTTTTCAACAAGGAACATGCCATGAATTGATTCTGCAGATGTTATTCTGCATAGAGTTAGCTAGTCTTAAAGAGTTTTCTTCAAAAAAATTCTCAACATGAGCAGATGATATAAGGTCGGCATTCTAAAGATGAAATAAGAGAGCAATAGCTTTGACACTTTACCCATCAAGAACAATATTTCACGGCCCAGACCATAATTAAAGCCTGGAAAATGACTTGCAGCATTCAAAGAGTCAAAAGACAGGAAGAAAGATTCCATGACAAAATGATCCTCAAATTCATAACGAATATTCTAAGAAATTATGGTCAATTTTGTAAGAAAAGAACAAATAAAAGATGTCTTCCAAGACTGAAAAAAGAAAAACATAGAAAGAATGTGAAATGCCAGTTTCTCAAACCATATTACCTGAGAATTGCTTGCTTTGCTTGCAGAACTATAAACCTCTTGCCTAAAAATTTAGTCAATAAATCCAAAGAGAAGTTGTCAAGACATATCCTGGATGGATGCAACAGAGGTTAGAAGTTCAATCCTTCCCTCTGCCTGGCCATTGAAAAACAAGGATGATATCAAAGAGAAAAAGCAAGCAATCACATGAGGCAAAGGCTCCCAATGGCATTTCTTCCTTAAGAGATAGAAATTAGAAAGCTTTGCAGATGTGCGATTACTAGCCATAAAAGTTCTAGTTCTGGAGCTAAAGGCCATTTAATGGACTAAAGTTTATTCCAAGAGCAGCTACCATTAAAATTCTTTATCATCTATATGTCAAAACATGGAACAGGAAAGGAGTTGAAATAGGCAGAATTTCAAAAGTTGTTTTGAGCAGCGAAGCGCTCGTGGCAAGGGAATGAGATGCCATCGCTTGTTGGGAATTTTAAGAGCACAAATCCTTTCAGGAAAATGAAGGTTTGCAACTAACCAATCTTAGAAGCATTGAGATTGACAAGACAGTTTCCTTAACAGCACAAATCATTCCGGAAAATGAAGGTTTGCAACTAACGAATTATAGAACCATTGAGATTGACAAAACAGTTTCCTTAAGAGCACTAATCATTCCAGAAAATGTGACATCAGAAATCAGAACATTTTCATGCCTAAGACCTGAAACTGTATATTTTGCACTGTCCTTCATAGAAATCTAATGATTTTCAACCTTGTATCGTTTAGTCTCTGAACAAACCCAACATATTTGAAAATAAGAGACCTTGAATCGGACAGCTTATACATGAAGAGAGCTATTAAATTTCAATGCCTAACTTTCAGTGATCGCCTGAATTAAGAAACCAGTTACTTTCATTAGTGAACTGGAAAATGCCATATAAATTCATAGTGATACATCCATTAATCCTGACACACAGTTAGAAAGAAACTGCACTTTTTTTTAATTAACATGTAAGAGACAGATTGAAGTCCAATTAAGCGTCAGACCATGTGATATTTAGACCATCCCATTTATCATGAGGCACACCTAAGGCTTTCCATACAGCACTTGAGGCAGACACAATGTTGTTAGCACATGGAGGCTGATAATCATTATCTGCGTCGCAACCCATAGCTGAGGCACATTCATCCACCACCAAGGCCAGCACGCTACGCCCATTAGCGGTGACATTGATGCGTTTAAGGCACCTACTTGCGTTATCGAACCATCCAGTTGATAATGCCACAATTGGTTTATCATTAGAATAGTTTTTAGCGTCGCAAAAAGATGGAATATCTCCACCTTCTTCAAAGACATTGAATGTGAGGAAGGCCTTGGTGCGGCTAGAGACTGGAGGTGAACATCTGTAGGTTGAGTAGGCTTTGCCTGGAACACAAAAATCTGAGTCATTCTCCCCAGGTGGGAGTTTCTTTCCCACCACTTCGCCACTTGGGTGACGTTGCTCAGCCTCAATATGCGAGCAATAATGTGTTAGCAGAAGAATGACCAGAAGAGGAATGGAAGATTTTAAGCAACCACTCTTCATTCTTGCTTTCTTTCTGTTTTACAGTGTTGATATGCAATTCAGGATATCTAAATGGGAATTTAGGAATATTTTTAACACTGGCCTCATCAAAATATTTATGCTAGAATGTGAATGATAGATTGATGGCCAATTATTTGGAATTTAGGAATATTTTTATGCCAAGAGTCTGCTAGAGTGAAAAAAAACAAAAGGAGGCATCAGAATTTGAAAGTAAAAGAATCCCATTCACATGACCGCAAAAAATATAATATTATTCTATCAACTTAAGGGTAGTTTATACTTTATAGGACCAATCTTAAATTAGAGGTCATATGAAGATTATTAGTAGATTACTCGATCGGTTGATCAGTAGAAGGTGAAGTACGTAGTAGACGGAGAAGATGGTTGAAAATGGAAAGACCACAGTAGTGTCATTTTTTCATCAGGCTAATCTACATATAATGTCTTGCATCAATCCAAAATTTCAGACCAAAAAAGACCTTAAACAATAGAAGAAGCAAGTTTGTTCAAGCGTTCTTCTCATCTGCTTCATCTTTCTTTTTGCAAGTTCTTTAAGTGTCGAGGCTCAGACCTGCAGGCCTAGTGGTAAGATAAGGGCCAGAGAGATCCCTCCAGGACACTGCAATGAAGAGAGTATTGACTCTGTTTGCTGTATAAAAGGCAAGCTTTACACTACTTACAAATGTTCACCACCAGTGACTAATCACACAAAGGCAACACTAACACTTAATAGTTTCGAGAAGGGTGGAGATGGCAGCTTGCCATCAGAATGCGATAACCAATACCATTCTGACGAGACACCGGTCGTCGCCCTTTCGACGGGATGGTTTAATCACAGGAGCAGGTGCATGGATTATATTAACATCCATGGTAATGGAAGGAGTGTTAAGGCCATGGTAGTTGATGAATGTGAATCTTCTATGGGGTGTGATGCTGACCATAATTACCAGCCTCCTTGTCCTCACAACATTGTTGATGCATCTATGGCTGTTTGGAAGGCATTGGGAGTTCCATTAAGCCAATGGGGTGAACTGGATATACATTGGTCGGATGCTTGATTTCTATCAAATTTCTTCAGTCCTTGCTGCGAAGTGAAGGCTGTTTCCTCTTTCTTTTAAGAAATTGTATTGATGTTATTGGCTTGGTGGGTTGTGTAATTGAAGTAATCTATGTGAACCTCAAGTTTTAGTTGGTAAAATCCTTGCATCTTTGATCTTTTTTTTTAATTCATCGGAAGACCAATGAACCTACTAGACTACACAATAATACACAATAACATTAGCTCTTATCGTTACATAATTATTAAAGAAATTAAAGTCATAAGAACTCGAAGTTTCCTTCACTAAAAAAGCTAGCTAGGTGCATAATCGCTAGACTAAATCTACTTGTATGCATTTTTAATCTTCTTTGACCTCAGAAATTACCTTCGTCTTCCTTACTTTGCAGGAGTGATTGCCATGATCATGGATTGCAAAACTCACTTGTGGGCAAAAGGGAGTAAACCTACGGCCCTCTAGGATAATAATTATTAGAGGAGGTCTTGGTGTCATCATTAAGTTTATGGTTTTCCCACTATGGAGATGTAGGTATCATCTTCTTATGTCACTCTCAACTCTCCATCTAAAAGAAAGGTATTGCATCACCAATGGTGGACGATTTCAATTATTTTCTGCATCTTTTTTTATTTTTATTCGTTCTTTAACCTATCTTCTCTTCCCAACCACCATTCTCAAAAATTTGTCCACCACATGTCCCAATTCTAATAATGAACTTCCTCTTTAGGTGTGTGTGTTTAAAATAATAATAATAATAATAATGAACTTCCTTGAGGAAAAAAAAATTCTCCAAGATCAACACTATTCTTATAAATTATAATCATAATTAGATGTATCAATCTACTTGCTTAATCTGAAGACTCAGAGCACATCCATTTATCATTATGATAGAAGGCAAGGAACCTCATGCTAAAATCTTTAGAGCTAGAAGCCATGGACAGCCCTTTGTCTCTCCAAAGCTTGGCTACCATGCGAGAATTTTATTTTTTAATTTTATATTTATATATAGTTATTCCTCGACCAGTTGAGAAAATATCTTTTTTTAAAACCATTTTAAAAACCAAAATTATTAATATGTATATCATCAATACCATCATCATTGATTGTGTTATGTACTGTATTCGAAAATAATATATAATTATTTTTGGAGATTTATGTAATAAGTTAAATTTTTATATTAAAGTAATTTTTTTGATATGACATTATAATTTTGATAATTAAAAAGTTATGAATTTAAATTTCATTACTTTTATGTTTATAAAAAAATATTAATGATCAAATAATATCGAATTTAAATTTCATCATTCTTATTTTCTTTTATATGACGAGCTAGTAGAATTGAAAAAGATGCATTGAAAATATGGAGAATATTTTTCTCAATTATTTTAATTGGAGACAAATTCAACAAGTTCTATCAATAAAACAAATTTTTTTTTTTTTTTTTTTTGGGAATTTGAATTGAAATGGCAATCTAAAATACAAGAAAATATCTTTTTTTGATTTAAAATATTACAGCACATAGTAATATGTATTTTCACTTGAGAAGAAATACTAGAACGAAGGTAGAAAATCATTGTCAAGGTCTTATCCAATAACTAAGATTAACTTATTGATCCATGGACGCGTCTTATTTCTAATACTTATCCATACACGTATCATCTTGGCAGCATTCCCACCCGAAAGAAATTACATGCAAACACGAGGACCAATTTGTCAAACACAGAAAACAGGCTAACTACCAATCAATCTCCCATATGCATCGATTTTGACCATCGATCTCAGTTCCAAACTAATGTTTCTTGCAACTTTACCCTCCAATCATTGCTAATCTTGCAATCAAGTCCCTTAGTTATCTTTACCAATTAGCATGGTTGGATTGGAAAACCCACCGATCTATCGAAAATACAGAAAAAGAAAAATCTTCATTTACAGGGAAACATGGTTTTGTCTGAAAGAATAAAAAAAAATGAAACTTTAAATATTTTCTTTTTAACCATTCAGATAGATTTTTTTTTCCCTTATGCATGCATTTAGATTTTGAATTTAGGATTGCTTAGTTTCAAAGGCAGAACTGATTTACAATCTTTCTCCTTAAGAAACATGATTCCACATTTACTTTGTCCTTTGGTCAAAGTTGCAAGATGGCCTTTCCTTGAATTTTGCTTAGAAATTGAAAATAAAGAAGAGAATTATAAAACGAAAAGCAAACTGCATACCCAGGAAGGTTAGAGGGCAATTCTCTCTCTCTCTCTCTATATATATATGTATATTGGTTCCATAAAGTGCATAAGTTGTCTTAATAAGAAATTTTATAATAGTACATGAGTAAGAGATAGGTATAAAGAAAAGAAAAAAGAGAAACATAAAAGAAATAATTAAAAAAAATATATATTTTTTAGTTTATATATAAATATTTTTATCATTTTTATAGATCCGGTTGTGATTTTATTGTTCATCTTTATATATATCTCTCTCTTCAAAATGAATTATAGTATAAATATGGATACCTACTCGTGATACTAAAACTTTTAACATTAATTTATACTTTTTCACGTTAAAAGATTCTGTTAATGTATAATTTCTTTTATTTCACTCTTTAATTTACCAATTACTTATTCAAGATAAATGGTTAATCTTAAACGTATTCTTAATCAATTATATAAAAAAATTTTATTTTCGTATGTTGGAATAGAATTTTAATACCAACTGAATTGTTGTACAGCCTAGAAACAATTGCATATATTGAATACGAATTATTGAATGTCATTGACTAGAAACTTGATTGTTAGGTTATTAGTAACCAAAATCGAAATAATTCATTTGAAATCCAACCCGATCCACTTGTAAAATTAAAATTAATAAATTGTGATATAATTATTTATTTGTTTGTTAACAAATATTCTCGAATCAACTTGATTGCAATACAATTATTTATTTAATAGTAACAAAAGATATTTTGAATCAAATTATGGGAAATTAAATATCCTTTTTTGGGTGTTAAACTCAATATAAAAAAGTCTAAGAGATGGAGGGCATCTTTTCAACCCTGGGGGCAAACCTTATGATGCAATTGTAAGGATTTGTGGTTGGTGGACTAAAATAAAAAGAAGAATCATCTAGCTAGGTCATGCTACCCTATCCCCCATATAAAAAACGTTGCTCACATTTATGAAAAATACATAAAAAACCGAAACTTCCTTTGAAGCCAAGCCAACCTGACCTTTCTCTGTATTATCTATCCTCTTCAAAAATCCCCAAATCTCTCTCGGAAAAAAAAACCTTTAAAAACCTATCTCTCTCTCACTCCAATCTCGACAATTTTAATTTTCCACCTCCCAAAATGGCATCTGGGTCATCGGGCCGGGTTAATTCGGGTTCAAAAGGATTTGATTTTGGGTCTGACGACATTCTCTGCTCTTATGAAGATTATGGTACCACTAATCAAGATTCGTCTAACGGGTCTCATTCGGATCCTGTGATTGGGTCCAATTCGAGTAAGGTAACTGTTCTGGTTTGGTAAAGCTTTGATCTTTTTGTTGGGTTCAAGTGTAATAATTGAGTTTTGTGTGTACCCTTTTTTGGAATATGGTGACCTAGGGTTTTGATTGTATTTTTTGGGTTTGGTCAGGTGGATTTTTTGTGGGTTTTTGACTCTTAGTTTGATTTTTTATTTTGAATGGAGGTTTTAATTTCAAAATTTACTTGCTAATTTTAGCTGTAAAGATTGAAATTTTTTACACACTTTTTAGGGATTCAGGGTTTAAGATTGTTGGATTTGGTTAGGGATTTTGCTAACTAATTTTGGGATGATTAATGGTGAATTGTTTTTGTTAATCTTTCAATGAAAGTTCCAATATTTGGCATCTTTAACAATTTTACTATTTTTGGTTTATGCCAAGCAAAAGGTGAATATTATAATTTACAGTTTTTGTTAAAAAAAAATCGCGACGAAAGTTCTAATTTTTGGCTTCTTTAACAATTTTGCTATTTTTGGCTTATGCAAGCAAAAGGTGAATATTATAATGTACAGTTTTTGTTGAAAAAATCGCAGGCTTTGTGGCTTTGGTTGAATTGGGTTTACTTGGTTTGCAAATTAGAATATGAAAGTTGATTGATTTTTTGCTGAACTCCATTGATTTTATAATTTCTTAGATAGTCTGTGAAGTTCGTGTATAGTGGGGTTGTTGAGGTGTTGATAGGATGAGATAATGTCTAAGGATGCTATTTTTAGCCCATGTAATGGAATTTTTAGTTGAATACGAGAAAGAAGTTTTGGGATTCGATATTTAGCTGCACAGCCTCATGCTTGCTTTTATTGGCAATGCTTGTTGAATGGAAAGAGATCTTGATACCTCAAAACTAAAAACATCTTAAAGTTTCTTTGGAGTAAAAAAAATGTTTTAGAATGATTTCATTTTGACAGCTTTTTAAATGCAAATATATCATGAGGAAAAAAAAGGAAGAGCGTGCGATTGCGCTTACTTGGCAATTCATTAGTGCCATTTGGGAAGCTTTAGAGGAGTCCACTGGAGCTGAATGTAGCTGCAAATTTAAATGGTTTGGTGGACTGGTGATGATAAATGGCTGCATTTTTAAATTTTAGCTGTTTGCACACCCACAGTTAGTTGTTCTCTCTTCCTTTTTGGTACTTTGTTTGCTAAGAAAGAACCGAATTGATATTTCTGGAGTGCATGCTTTAAGAAGTCCTTCTAGGTCTAGAATTGAAAGCCCAATTCAGATCATTTTCTTAGATCTATTCAATAGTTTCTTACTTTCTACTGGAATGCATTTTTTTTTTAATATCCGTTCAGTATAAGCAGAATTATTGTCACATTCACTTATTAGGATATACTATTTTCTACTTCAAGCAGGATTTTCACAAAAGTAGAATGGCAAGGTCATCAGCGTTTCCTGCTACTTCCTATAGCCAGCCAGATGATTCTTTCAGTCAAGATGTGGTCACTACTGTTGAGAAAAGCATGAAAAGACATACTGACAACATCATGCGTTTTCTTGAGGGTATCAGTTCACGGCTGTCCCAGTTGGAATTGTGTTGCTACAACCTTGATAAATCAATTGGAGAAATGCGATCAGATTTTGTTCGTGACAATGAGGATGCAGATTTTAAACTTAAATCCCTTGAGAAGCATGTTCAAGAGGTGAGTGTAGATTGCTTTTTGTCAGTGCTTTCATTATCATGGTTTAATAACTGTTGGTGTTTGATGGATAAAGTCTATGCTAGAAAGTTGGACCTTGAAAAATTGGAGAAAACAGCTAAATGACTAGATAATTGAAGTTGTGCTCCATAATGTCGTCGTAACTGTATTTTTGTATGCTTGTGATGCATTAGGAACTCACTTCCAAGGTTATGATGAGTGACTTGATTTTATTTAACATGTTTTCCATCAAACTTGAGTACTTGAAAAGGTCAGGGTTTTTGTGCACTTGCATTTCTTTTAGAGCTATGATTTATAGTGAACTGTCTAGCCATTAGCAACAGGCGGTGTTGGATGCATTCTTTAAAGATTATTGGTGGATTTAATTAGGACTTGTAAAATGGTGGACCATGCCATTTTCATTGTTTTCTTTAACATGTATTGAGCTCTCTGATTACAAATTCATGATGCGTGTCTGTTTCATCTATCTAACTGCTCAATTTTCTGGACAGAAACGGGTAAAATATTTTGATCTGTACCTTTTGCCTATTAGAATGTGCATAAGAGCTGTGTTTTATCTTTGTTGTTATCCTTGGTCATTGGATGAAATATGAAAGTGCATATGGTTACCAGGTTTTCAACCTTTGGGTCAAGTAACACATCCTGGAATGGCATGCATTTTTTGACTTGTAAATATGTCTTTTAGGGTTCGATTTTGACTTCGTTTTTTCATGTCAAATAGTGGTAATTAACAACCAAGAGTTGTTAAGTTGGATTGGGGAAGGCTCTAGCTGATTGCTGAAAGAGTGAGAGAGAAGCAAGTGCTTGGGCTGGAGAAGTTGTTTTGGCATTAAATACATACTTCGTGATACTTATCTGGGCTTTTTGCTTGGATCAAATAACAGCAATCAACAATTGAATGACATTTGGAACACGTAATAATGTGTATGATTAACTATGGAACAATTTTTAAGGAATAAGGATGAAACCTTGAAATTGAAATCAGACTTAGTTGAAACTATAGGTTGTAATCGTAAGCTTTCCTATCTTTCAAGTTTCATTTGTGTAAGTCATCAAAAACTAGGATAGTCAAGGACTTTAACCAGCCCGATGAAACTAGTGCAGCTTTCAAATGAAGTAAAGAGATGTAAATGGCATAACTTTAACGTCTATACATCATTTCACATTTGCAAATGTAAATTGGTACAGCTTCGAATGAAGTGAAGAGAGACCATTTTGAGATTATTTAATGTTCTTCACTCCATTATCACTAGGCTAAATGGTTATTTGAGTGATATTACTACTATGATAACATTAGGAAGGCTAAATGCATATGAGTTGGAATTAATTGTAAAGTAATATTAGGGTAATTATCTGTTTTCTGATTGTACTTTCTGGAGCCCAGCAGAAAAGAATTATGGGTTTCTGTGGGATGGCAATCCTGCTTCGCTTTTAAGCTTAGTAACTTTTAAAATACAATTACAAATACATTTATCCCTTCTTTTTGTTGATTACATATCTTGATCTTGAAATTTCATATTTTTCTGGCTGTATGACACTAAAGCATGGATTGTTTTATGATGCTTGCTGCAGGTGCACAGATCTGTCCAGATCCTAAGAGACAAGCAAGAACTCGCTGACACTCAAAAAGAATTAGCCAAGCTTCAGCTTGCACAGAAGGAACCCTCTTCATCAAGCCATTCCCAATCTAGTGAGGAAAAAGTTACACCAACTGCCTCTGATCCTAAAACAACTGACAATGCATCTGAAATGCGTAAACAGCAATTGGCTCTTGCTCTGCCCCACCAGGTAGCACCACAACAACAGGCACCACCTCATCCTCCACTTTCTCAAGCCCCACCTCAGAATGTGGCACAACAGCAACCTTATTATTTGTCTCCTGCCCCATTACCAACTCCAGCAGCTCCTACCCAACACCCTCAGAACCAGTATCTACCTTCTGATGCTCAGTACCGTACACCCCAAATGCAAGATGTCTCTAGAATGGCAGCACAGCCAGCACAGCCACAAGTAAACCAGACGCCACAAGGCCAACAATTTCCTCAGTATCAGCAACAGTGGCCCCAGCAGTTACCTTTGCAAGTGCAACCACCTCAACAGTCCTCCATGCAGCACCAGATCAAGCCTCCATCCACAACAGTTTATGCTCCCTACCCACCACCAGGTCAACCAACAAATCCGTCTCCACCAGAGACTCTGCCTAACAGCATGCCCATGCAAGTTTCATATTCAGGTGTTCCTCAATCCTTGTCTAGTCGAGTTGATACCATGCCATATGGATATGGAGCTGGAAGAACAGCAGTTCCGCAGCAACCACAGCAACCTCCACCTCAGCAAATTAAGGGCTCTTTTGGAGCACAACCAAGTGATGTTTATGCAACTGCTGGGCCTCAGCCAGGCCTGCCCCCAGCAAGTGCATACATGATGTATGATGGTGAAGGTGGGAGAACACACCATCAACCTCAACAACCCCAATTCCCGCAGGGTGGATACCCTCCTCAGCCAGCTGCAGGCACAGGTATGCTGCCCCGCCATTCAAACCCTTCACACTTCGTTCGTAACAATCCCTACAGCGACTTGATCGAGAAATTGGTAAGCATGGGTTTCCGAGGGGATCATGTTGTCAGTGTGATTCAGAGGATGGAGGAGGGCGGTGAGCCTGTGGATTTTAATGCTGTGCTGGATAGGTTGAATGTGCATTCATCTGGGAGTTCTCAGAGGGGAGGATGGTCGGGTTGAAGCCACCATTAATCCATGTTCTAAACGCAAATTGCAGTGACAATTATGCTCGTCTTCAATTGAATAAAGGCAGTTATAATGCACGGTGTTCTTAAGTACTGTGTATATGGTTATTGAGTCTTCATGTATCTATGATGTTATGTGTTAGTAGTTCTTCCTTGTTACATGTGTGTTGGACCTTTCCCTCCGGTTTTTATTAAGGGAGATCCAATTTCACTGTGAGCCATTTACCTATTATAAACTTATTAGCAATTTGGGTTTGTAAGCATGAATCCTCTCATTCCCCCTCTCATTCCCTTTCTCTTCCCTTTTAATATCCTCTCTGTTCTTCCCCCGATTCTGTCATTAGATGCTTCTTGTTTATTGCTTTCCTTCGATCACTGGCCTTTTGTTACTGCCATTGAATAGACCATGAAATATGATATCCATCCAACCTCCCATGAAATTCTGTACAATCCACATGAAATGAATGGATTTAGTTTGTCTTGACAAATAGCAAAATCTAGTCTGATCCCATGTGAACTTAATCATTGAATTGGATGGTTAGACTGAGCTATTTTTAAAGTTTAACCCTTTTAGGTCACAACACGGCGCAATCAAAATTTTGTCGTTAAGGTAAAATAATTTGATTTGAACCATCTAGAAGTTGATTGCTGATATGCAGTTCGTCAGCGTTTTCAAGCGGGTTAGGTGTTGAATCTTCATGTTCATGTACTAAAAACAAAGTTTACATCTTCATATAAATAGATCAGCTTTGCATTTAAGCATTTTCAGCTCAAGCCGCTTGGCCTGCCATTTTTAAATTGCCAATGGATATTCATATTCTCTTCTTCCTCCCCTGATGGGAACTCATAACTCAAGTGGACTATGGTTTATCTAATGTTCAATTTTCATTATTTATCAATAATTATTTTTAATTATTTTTATAATAATATCATATCTAGAATGGTTTAGTTTACGAAATAGCTAATTGATCGATAAAAAATTAAGCATATTCTGAGGCTGGTTAGTCCAAAATATAGTCTCGGTAGAAATGAAAAAACCGACTCGAAAATTACAAACTCAGCTGGACTAAATATTTGTTTTTCTTTCTACAAGGACCTCGAGTGAAACAGCTTGTTGACCTAGTCACCAATCTTGTAGCCATCTTATCACTAATGACAATAAGATAGTTACAGTTTTTAACTTTCAATTTGTTAAAATAATTGTTGATAGGAGGTCTAATTTGAAAAGATGATCCCTGGGGATGAAGGTTCCATGAATTACCATTGTTTGTTTCGTTTTCTTATATTTTACGTATAAAGAAAGCAGACATGCAAACTTAGAAACTCAGAAAAAGATGTTGAAATTTGTGAGAGATATTTTTAAAAAATGAAGAAAATCAGATTTATCTTTCATCACAAATAAATTCCAACCATACGTTAGTTTATTTAGAACCAAAATAGCATTTCAAGAGGAAATATCAAACAAGAAATAGACAAGAAGGCAAGAGAAGAGCTCCATAATAAAACTGAACTCTCTACAAGAATTAACTGGTACAGTCTTTTAAGCTAAAGTATTATTATGATGTCTGATGCCACAAGAACTGAAAAGTGGTGAACAAAGTTGTGGCCAAAATCATGCTCCAAGAAGGCAACAGGAAAATGCTTGAAGAATTATCAACTGAGTTCTTGGTGTTGGGAGAATTTCCTGATCATACACATTAACATTAGACCAATAATTAATCAGTATATTTATTATTCAATAAGAAGAACAAAACGAAAAAGGAAGGAATGGAATGCAAACCTGTAAGGCAAGAAACAGGACTGACATGTAGCCCACATCTTCCAGGCAATTCTTGGGCCTCAGTCACATTGATCCCAGCTTGCGTAGCTTGATTACTGCCTTGATTGCTTGCCATATTACACAGACATTTTGGGTTCGATTTGATCACAGTTTTGAGAGGATTACAACAGTCTTCAGGCACTTCTTTTGTTCCGTTGAGGTAATTCAGGCAAGGAACCAGTTGGTTTAGGCATGAAGTGTCTTGGGCTTGCACTGACATGGCCGACATTAGTAATGCAATCCCAACGTATGACAAAAGCTTGTCCATCTTTGTTTTGCTCTTTCGGGTTGCATGTTAACGCACAATTTATATGAATTTAATGTTGCGTGTTTGTGTCTTAGAGGGAGTGGGAGTTGTTTATCTAAGTACAGCTACTTAATCAGGAAAGTTGGTCATCCAATTTTGGCTATTTTAGCTGAACATCTTCGAATGGTGACTCTTCTGTTAGGAGCAGACTATGGCAGTTGGACAGGTGAAGCTACTTCTAGGGGAATAAAAAAGTATTTACTGAAGAAACAATTATTTTCGTTTTGGATTTTGTAAATATTTTAGATCATCTATGCTTCATATTATTTTGATTGAAATCATGTGTATTTTTTTTTCTTTTGTATTGATTCAAACCTTTTATTTTTATCTTGTATTAGCTTGAGACTCTATGTTATAACAAGGTAGTTGTAAGCTGATGTATCACGTTCATTTTTAAATACATAACATGTATTATACGTAAAATTTTAATAGAAAAACTCAATCAAAATAATTTAAAAAATATGATATTTCAATCAAAATAATTCAACGAGTTCAAAAATCAAATTATTTTTCATTTCTATGTTTTTGTGTTGTAATTTTTCTTTTTCTTTTTTATTTTATTTTTTTTCACGTGGTAAATTAATCTGATGTATCATGCCACATGAAATTTTTTATGCTAGCTGACAGTTTTGATCGAAAAATTAGCTAAAAAATAATCAAATGGGTCATATTCGGAAAAGGTCATGAATTGCGGAAGATGATGAATAAAAAAAATACACATGTTGATTGTAAACCGATGTATCACGTTCATTTTTAAATATATGACACATGTTATACGTAAAACTTTAATAGAGAAACTCAATCAAAATAATTTAAAAAATATGACATTTCTATTTTAGAAATCAAATTATTTTTTCATTTCTATGTTATTGTGTTATAATTTATTAATTTTTTTTGTTGTTTTTATTTTTTTCACGTGGTAAATTAATCTGACATATCATGTCACATTAAATTTTTTTATGCTAGCTAACAGTTTTGATTAAATAATTAGTCAAAAAACAGTCGAAGGGGGTCATATTCAGAAATAATCAGTAGTTGAAGCAGATGATGAATAAAAAAAATACAAGAACTACATTAAAAAAATTAGAAGAATAAAGGGACGCTTCAGGCAATTATTCTTTATAATAAATAATCTTTTTACGTATTCTCCTAAATTTAAGATGTGAATAGCTATTGAAACAATTATTTAAGGGAATTTCAACTGCAGCTTTGTGGAAGCCATGCATGTGAGCCCATGTTTATCTTTATGCTTTGATCTAAAGTTAGTTTCTTGATTCTTTGAAGCTTTTTCTTTCCACTTTCCATGCCACTTCGTAATGGCATTTCTTTGTGATTTGGATCAATGATTCAAAGAAGAATACTCCGATTCTTGTGTTGAATTTGTATCATTGCTTTCTCTTCATTCCACAAGCCCCTCCTTTATTTGTAACTTTTTTAACTTTGTATTTTTTTTTTAATGGTTAATTAGCTTGATTAGATTATTTCTCTTATTGTCAAGTTTTAATTCAGATGAGTACCATATTCATGAAAAACGTTTCTTTCTTGCACCCCACCTCCTTCAATTATGACTCTTGTCTATTTAATCAGTATGTTGACATGAACTCATTGTAATAAGTGATTTGATAAACAAGTCTACTTTGAATTGACCTAAACTCCTGTTTAGGTAAACTCACGATGAGAAGAGAAATTTAGAAAATCATGAAGCTTGTTATGTCCTAATAAACTAATAATCATGTGTATTTGCGATGTGAAGAGGTAAATTAAATACTCGTGATTGATGTTGTCAAGAAATTGAATTCAAACCGGATCATAGTAAATTTAGATTCATTTTGTTTAATAAATGATAAAATCGAGTTTTCTAACTATCGATCTAGATCTAGATTCTAATGGATTTGGATTCAACATTCAATCTTTTTGTAAAAAAATGTTAGATGCATCTAAAAGTATACTTGGATGTAAAACACTATTTTCTACATAAAAAATTATTGTCTTTATTATAGAAGAAACAGAATTGTATTGAATAACTCCAAAAATTGTAGATTTTCTCATCCCTGTAAATTTAAAAGTATTTAATCCTTTTAACTAGTATTGATCACAACCAATTTAATATTTTTTATTTTATAAATACCTTATCTTCTCATCATTCTTTCATATTTTTATTTATTCTTTATTCTTTATCTATTTATTAAAAAATCAAAATAAATTAAAAAAATAATAAAAATAATTAAATAATTAGTTTTTGAAACCAGAAACTCTATTTAATTTGTCTCTCCAACCAGAGAACTAATTTGTAATTTACTCAAGATGTAAAACACCCGTTTTTTTTTTTTTTTACAAAAATCACTTTGTATTTTTTACCATTTAGTTCTGGTTATTTTAATTTTTCTATTCAATTATAATACAAATCAAATTCTGTACTGTTTAAAATCCGAATGGATTAATTTGTTTATTCAATATCGTTAAGTAAACGTCCTTATAATATATTCAATATAAAATAGATGATTTTCATCCATTTCTTTATATTGTACCAGCGTTGGGAACGTAGCTATGTGTTGTCTTTCGTCAACAAAAATATAAAAATAATTAATATGTTACTTACATGACAAGTTTTCGAAGGAAATGTCATTGTTTTCATAAACTACAAATAATTTCTAGGAAAACGCGTAACAAGAACAAGGCACCTTCTTGATAGATGCCGATTTTTTTTGCATTTTTTTGCCCTTTTCTCATTACCACAACTATGTCTTAAGATTTCAAGAAAGCTCCCAAACGATAACTCTCAATCATTTTCTTTTCCCTTTATCCCTCAATTTGTCAAACAATCTTCTTGGGAAAATACTTAAAAACACCGTGATGACAGACATCATTTTCAAAAAATAAAAATAAAAAAATTAGAGGTAAATTTAAAAACTGAAAATGTTAAATGACATAATATTCATTGAAATAAAATATGCTTCCTTTTATTCCTCTAAGAAAACACTACCCTCATAAAATTATATTGATTTTTTTTTTTACACCACCGATGTCATGTAGCACTACTCATCTTTTTAATGATAACTTATTATATGAACTTTAATCTCTCGTTGAGCCGTGGCTCGTTTTGTCATAAAACCATTTATTTTATTATATTTTTATTTAAAATTAAAAAAAATAAAATAAATATGTAAACACTTAAAAGATGCTTTGAATAAAAAAAATTATCTTCATATTTTTATTAAAAAATAAAAAGACAAGATTAAAAAAATTAAAATCGATACGAGTCGTAATCATATAGGTTAATAATGTGATTCAATATTATTAAGTCAAATTTTTTTTTAAAAATGAAATGAAAATGGCAATTAAATATAAAAAATCAAAGCAAAAATAATAATTATTAAAAGATACAAATCTAGATGAAAAAAGAAAAAGAAAAGTCCCTCAAGTCATTAACCCTAAAATTTTACTTCTCATAAGTTTACTTGAGATTTAAATCTTGATAATTATGACTTAAGAAGAATACAATCCCTTGGTAGGGATGTAATTTACCCCGTTTCGACGAAGCCCCATCGTGCCTTACCTCATTTAATATAAAGATTTTTCGAGTTGATTGAGGAATGAGATGGGATGCCCTGCCTCATATTTATTTTGATTGGAGATAAGACGAGAATGATATTTGCTCGTCCTGTCTCGTTTGTCTTGTTCTAATTCGAAATTATAATTATATTTTATATAAAATATATTACTATTAACTTTTAGAATTTATATTCTATATGAATTATTTTTTTTTTTGTTATAGTTTGAAATTCATTAATAAAATAGAATGGGATGGAACGGGAAAAAAAAAAATAGGGCATGGATGTTTCATGAGGATTTCTATCTTTACTTAGGACGTAGATAGTATAAGAAATAGTATCCCATGCGAAGTACTGGGTAGAGACAAGGTAAAATTTTCATAGGCGGGGGCGGGGCGAGATGGCCACTCCGATGCCTTAGCCCTCGGAAATCGGAAAGCCCCCTAAAGTTCATGGTACGATGCACTTACCACGTGAAAGATTAATTTTAATTAGAACCGTAAATATTAAACCCATGAAATCTCGACCATCCCCCCATGATACCCTCGCCACCAAATTGAGGTCCCACATGATGACGTGGAAGCATCTAGGGGTCCACTAGCCATAATCTTATGGATGCTGTTCAGAAAACTTTCAATTGAAATAAGTTTGAATTGAAAAACCGCCTTTGTTTGACTTTAGCCCACAGACACAGAGAGCGTTCTTAGATCTGTCGATAGCATTAAAATACGAAAAAAACGGACTCATGAGCCGACAGTGACAGCAAATGGATTGCGTGTGGCTCTGTGTGGGAAAAAGTCTCAAAAGAAGGAAAATAAAAACAACTTTTTCTTATTTATTTTTATAACCTTGAAAAGCAGACTTAATCCGTTCTATCAATAAAATAGGATTCGAATTCTGATGGTTTCATAATAAATTTGATAATTATATAGTAATAAAACTCAATAGCTTTTTGAAGGAAAAAAAAACATTGAAAATATCTTTTCCCATAATTGATTTACGTACAATTTTAATTTTTTTATTTAAAATTTTATATTATTTTCAACATTGAAACATTTTATTCTTATAAATTTATTAATTGAAATCTTTTGTTATAATGCTGTTAATTATTCATTTTATGGAAAAAAATAAAACTAACGATAATTTATCAGATACAATACATCGCAATGGGATCCTAATAATTTCAGTATAAATTAGGTTATTGAGTTTTAATTTATTATGTAAAATGAATAGTTAACGGTGTTACAACGAAATGTTTTAATTAATAAATTTATAAAAATAGAGATTTTCAATCAAACTAAAAAATAATAGAAGATTTCAATAAAAAAAAATTAGAATTATCGAGGGATTAATTATGATATAAATCCGTTATTTTGGGAAAAGAAAATTTATCATTTGAATTCCCTTTCAAAGTTAGAAACTAACCTCTTTGTCCTGGTTTTCCTTTTTGTCGTTTTCTTATTTCTTGCGAGTTTTGGATTGAATTGGTCTTTTTTCATGAGAGTGGAACTAAAGCGGCATCGAAAATAAATTATTAAAACAATATTATACGAAAGAGATGTTTTACTTTTTCTTTTTATCCTTTTCCAAATGGCCATATCTCTCTATTGCAATTGGAATTCAATTCATAGTATCTTTCTGGTCACCAATTACATCCAAATTCAATGAAACGCGTAAGATTTATTCAATAGAGGCTTCGACAAAAAAACAAAAAAATAATTATTGAAAAAGAGTGATAATAATAATAATAATAATAATAATTTTACGAACAAAAACTTATTCTCACCTCAGTTATTGGATATACAATGATAATTGAGATCTTTACGTCCTAAATCATGGCACACGCATCTAAAAATCAATCTTTTATAGCATAATTGAAATCTTGGATGAAATCAATAAATCACAATCTTTTTAGTCGTAATTGCCGCAACATGTATCTTACAAAATAATAGTTATAAATAAAATGATTTAATTTTATATTTATCGAATTAGGAATTAAAGATTTTATTCAATTATAAAAACAAATCAATTAATTGTATAAGTGAAAATCTCTAATTATATCAATTAATGTACTCGCTTTGTCCAATATATATATATATATATATATATATATATATATATATATATATAATACTTGTTTAGTAAAAAATGTAAGATGCCATTTAGTTATTAGAAATGATAGATCCGAAATAAAAATGTAAAAATTAAAATTAAAAAATAGGAATAACATTTATATTCTCATAAATTTTAAATTTTTTAATATTTAATTTTGATACCAATAAGAATAATGATTGAAAATGAGTGATGACTGAAAATGAATGATAACAAAATAATAATAATAATAATTTTTCAATCAATAATGTCAATAATGATAGTGATATAATAAAAATAGTGATAATGATTCAAAAAGAATGATGATAAAATAATAATAATAATAATAATTTTTTTCAAAAAAATTATCATCACCGTAAATATAGGTGGTGGTAGAGGTGGTAAAAACAGTTGATACACAACAAATAAAAATAATGTATTATTATTTTGAAGAAAAAAATTTATTTCCATTTCTTATTTTTATCCTCACTTTTCGTGTGAAAATGAAACCATATTTAATTTTCATTATTTATTTTTATTTTTATTTTATGTTTTTCAACCAAATAATTATAAGGTGAAAATAAAATTTTTATTTTTATTCTCACTCGTTCAATTTTTGATAATCAAACGACATCTTAATAATTTATTTTCTTAAAATATCTCTAATTAAAATTTATTTTATAATAATTTATAGAAATACAATTCTAAAAAAAAATAAAAAAATATGAACAATGTGGATATGAAAAAATAACTAATAATTTTTTTAATTTATAAAAAAAATCAACATAGACAAACTGTTTGAGACTAAATTAATATATCTTCAAGACACATGTCAAAAAAAAAACAAACACAAGCAAATTATAAAGTTTAGTTCAACTAACAGATGAAATTACTCGCGTTGTCGCTTTGGATTCGACATCAAGAAATGATCATAAAAACTATTACTATTATCATTATTTTAATAAATATACCAATTTAAATACGAATGACTCGTAAAAATCCTAGGACCGGATGGCCGGACTCAATCCATAAACAAAAATCGGTTAAAGAATCACAGAAAAAGTGGTAACATCACACACGCACGTCACACTGTAAGAGAATATTATTATTATTTATTAGTCGTTATAGCTAGCCAGACAGCATCCCGGCCCCAGTAGCCACCTTCCTTAGCAAGAATTAGCGAAGAAAAGAACAAGAAGATCATCAAAGTCCTGATATTTACAAAAAACTTCAAATTGATCCTCCAACGGTCACACCTCTCTAAATTCCGGCCCATAATATAGTCACACTTTGACAGAATAAATTTTCAAAAACCTCCCTAACAAAATCCATCAACCCCTCAAAACGCGCCTAAAAACCTCTTCATTCTATCGGACTTAATCCCTACTCTCAAATGCCATGTCTCTTCGTCACCGGACCCGACCAGAATCACAACCCGAATCCCAACCCTACAATATAATTCCCATCCACAACCTCCTAGCTGACCACCCTTCCCTCCGTTACCCGGAAGTTCGAGCCGCCGCCGCCGCCTTACGTACCGTCGGGAACCTCCGTAAACCACCCTACGGTCAATGGCATCCTTCAATGGACCTTCTCGACTGGCTTGCTCTTTTCTTCGGTTTCCAAGCCGACAACGTTCGCAACCAACGGGAACATTTGGTCCTTCACCTTGCAAACGCGCAGATGCGGCTCACACCACCGCCGGATAACATTGATACCCTCGACGCCGGCGTCCTGCGTCGTTTTCGACGGAAACTCCTCAAGAATTATACCAATTGGTGTAATTACTTGAATAAGAAGTCGAATATCTGGATCTCTGACCGGTCGACGGATCTGAGGAGGGAATTACTGTACGTCTCTTTGTATTTGTTAATTTGGGGGGAATCGGCGAATTTGCGGTTTATGCCGGAGTGTATTTGCTTTATATTTCATAATATGTGTTTTGAATTGAATAGAATATTAGAGGATTATATTGATGAGAACACAGGGCAGCCGGTGTTGCCGTCGTTTTCAGGGGAGAATGCGTTTTTGAACAGTGTTGTGAAGCCAATTTACGAGACGGTGAGGAGGGAAGTGGATAGGAGTTGTAATGGGACTGCACCGCATAGTGCGTGGCGAAATTATGATGATTTGAATGAGTATTTTTGGAGTAAGAGGTGTTTTGAGAGGTTGAAATGGCCGATTGATTTAGGGAGTAATTTTTTTGTGACGTCTGGATCGAGGAAGAAGGTGGGGAAGACGGGGTTTGTGGAGCAAAGGTCGTTTTGGAATATTATAAGGAGTTTTGATAGGTTATGGGTGATGTTGATTTTGTTTTTGCAAGCAGGGATTATTGTTGCGTGGGAGGGGAAGGAGTATCCCTGGCAAGCGTTGGAGAGCAGGGACGTGCAGGTTAGGGTGTTGACTGTTTTTTTTACTTGGAGTGGGTTGAGGTTTCTGCAGTCGTTGCTTGATGCCGGGATGCAGTATAGGTTGGTTTCGAGGGAGACAATGGGGCTTGGGGTTAGGATGGTTTTGAAAAGTGTGGTTGCAGTGGGGTGGGTTATTGTGTTTGGTGTGTTATATGGGAGGATTTGGAGCCAGAGGAACAGTGATCTGAGGAGCTCAACAAGAGATCAGAAGTGGTCGTCGAAGGCTGATAGGAAGGTAGTGACTTTTCTCGAGGCTGCTTTGGTGTTTGTGGCACCAGAGATATTGGCATTGGTTCTGTTTATTGTTCCTTGGATTAGGAATTTTCTTGAGAATACGAATTGGAAGATATTTCGGATGTTGACATGGTGGTTTCAGAGTAGTAGTTTTGTTGGTAGAGGGTTGAGGGAAGGGCTTGTGGATAATATTAAGTATACTTTGTTTTGGGTTTTGGTTTTGGCTACCAAATTTTCCTTCAGTTACTTTATGCAGATTAAACCAATGGTTAAACCATCAAAAGAGATGCTGAAGCTGAAGGATGTGAATTATGAATGGCACGAGTTTTTTGACCACAGCAATAGGTTTTCAGTTGGGTTGCTGTGGCTTCCTGTGGTGTTGATTTACTTGATGGACTTGCAGATTTGGTATTCCATTTATTCCTCTTTTGTTGGAGCGGGAGTGGGGTTGTTTCAACATTTGGGTGAGATTCGAAACATCGAGCAATTGAGGCTGAGATTTCAGTTCTTTGCGAGTGCAATTCAGTTTAATCTGATGCCAGAGGAGCAGCTGTTGAATGCAAGGGGTACGTTCAAGAGCAAGTTCAAAGATGCGATTCACAGGTTAAAGCTTAGGTATGGGTTTGGCCAGCCTTATAAGAAGCTGGAGTCTAACCAGGTTGAGGCAAATAAGTTTGCTTTGATATGGAATGAGATCATAACAATTTTCAGGGAGGAGGATATTATCTCTGATAAGGACCTTGAGTTGATGGAGTTGCCACAGAATTCTTGGAATGCGAGGGTGATTCGCTGGCCCAGTTTTCTTCTCTGCAATGAGCTGCTACTTGCTCTTAGCCAGGCCAAAGAGTTGGTAGATGCTCCTGATAAGTGGCTCTGGTACAAGATATGCAAGAACGAATATAGGCGCTGCGCAGTCATAGAAGCTTATGATAGTGTCAAGCACTTGTTGCTTGAAATTATCAAGACCAACACAGAAGAGCACTCAATGATAACAGTTTTGTTTCAAGAAATTGATCACTCGCTGCAGATCGAGAAATTCACCAAGACTTTCAACATGACGGCTCTCCCCAATTTCCATGCCAAGTTGATAAAGCTTCTGGAGCTGTTGAACAAGCCTAAACAGGATCTGAACCAGGTGGTAAATACTCTACAGGCTCTATATGAGATTGCTGTGCGAGATTTTTTCAAAGAAAAGAGGAGCACTGAACAGTTGAGGGAGGATGGATTGGCTCCTCGTGACCCTGCTGCTATGGCTGGGCTTCTTTTTGGGAATGCAGTTCAGTTGCCTGATGCTAGCAACGAGACCTTTTATAAGCAGGTTCGGCGATTGCACACAATCCTGACCTCTAGGGATTCGATGCACACTATCCCGGAAAATCTGGAGGCCAGACGCAGAATTGCATTTTTCAGCAATTCCCTGTTCATGAGCATGCCCCATGCTCCTCAGGTTGAGAAAATGATGGCTTTTAGTGTGCTGACCCCTTATTACAACGAGGAAGTGTTATATAGCAGAGAACAGCTACGAACTGAAAATGAAGATGGGATTTCCATACTGTACTACCTGCAAACTATTTATGCTGATGAGTGGAAAAACTTCATGCAGAGGATGCGCCGTGAAGGAATGGTGAAGGATGATGAGATATGGACAACCAAGTTGAGAGATCTTAGGCTCTGGGCATCTTATAGAGGCCAGTCGCTTGGCCGTACTGTGAGGGGAATGATGTATTATTACCGTGCCCTTAAGATGCTGGCTTTTCTTGATTCTGCCTCAGAGATGGACATCAAGGAGGGTTCACGAGAACTTGGCTCAATGAGGCGAGACAATGGTTTGGATAACTTTGACTCTGAAAGTTCTCCTTCAAATAGCTTGAGCAGAAATAGCAGTTCAGTGAATTTGTTGTTTAAGGGTCACGAGTATGGGACTGCTTTGATGAAATACACATACGTGGTTGCCTGCCAGATATACGGGACACAAAAAGCCAAGAAGGATCCCCATGCTGAGGATATCTTGTATTTGATGAAAAATAACGAGGCCCTTCGAGTCGCATATGTTGATGAAGTAAATGCTGGGAGGGATGAGAAGGAATATTATTCTGTGCTGGTGAAGTATGATCAGCAGTTGGATAGGGAAGTGGAAATCTACAGGGTGAAGTTGCCAGGGCCGTTGAAACTTGGAGAGGGAAAACCAGAAAATCAAAATCATGCCCTGATCTTTACTCGTGGGGATGCGGTGCAGACTATTGATATGAACCAGGACAACTATTTTGAAGAGGCCCTCAAAATGCGGAATCTTTTGGAAGAATACAGACACTACTATGGAATTCGTAAACCTACTATATTGGGAGTCAGGGAACACATTTTTACCGGTTCTGTCTCATCTCTTGCATGGTTTATGTCTGCTCAGGAAACTAGTTTTGTCACCCTGGGTCAGCGTGTTTTGGCAAATCCTTTGAAAATTCGATTGCATTATGGCCATCCAGATGTCTTTGACAGGTTTTGGTTCATGACTAGAGGTGGAATTAGTAAGGCTTCCAGAGTGATCAACATTAGTGAGGATATATTTGCTGGCTTTAATTGCACCTTGCGAGGAGGCAATGTTACTCACCACGAATACATCCAAGTCGGAAAAGGGAGGGATGTTGGGTTGAATCAAATATCCATGTTTGAAGCAAAGGTTGCCAGTGGAAATGGTGAGCAAATTCTTAGCAGAGATGTCTATAGATTGGGCCATAGGCTGGACTTCTTCCGTATGCTGTCATTCTTTTATACCACCGTGGGATTTTTTCTGAACACAATGATGGTCATTCTGACTGTGTATGCATTTCTGTGGGGCCGTCTTTATCTGGCTCTTAGTGGGGTTGAGGGTTCTGCTTTGGCCAACAAGAGCAGTAACAACAAGGCACTTGGTGCTATTTTGAATCAGCAATTCATCATCCAACTTGGCATCTTCACTGCCCTTCCAATGATAGTGGAGAACTCTCTTGAGCATGGGTTTCTCGTAGCTGTCTGGGATTTCTTGACAATGCAACTCCAGCTCTCATCCGTTTTCTACACATTCTCAATGGGAACTCGGACACACTTTTTGGCCGCACCATCCTTCATGGTGGTGCAAAGTATCGGGCAACTGGGCGTGGTTTTGTTGTGCAGCACAAGAGTTTTGCAGAGAATTACAGACTCTATGCTCGTAGCCATTTTGTGAAGGCAGTTGAGCTTGGACTGATACTTGTAGTTTATGCATCACACAGCCCTGTAGCTAAGGACACATTTGTTTACATAGCAATGACCATCTCTAGTTGGTTCCTGGTTGCATCATGGATAATGGCTCCGTTTGTGTTTAATCCATCTGGCTTTGATTGGTTGAAGACAGTTTACGACTTTGATGATTTTATGAACTGGATTTGGTACCAAGGTGGTGTGTTTGCAAAATCTGAACAGAGCTGGGAAAGATGGTGGTATGAGGAGCAGGATCATCTGAAGACAACTGGGCTCTGGGGAAAGTTACTGGAGATAATATTGGACCTCCGCTTCTTCTTTTTTCAATACGGGGTTGTCTACCAACTAGGTATTGCTGCTGGAAGTACTAGCATTGCTGTTTACTTGCTTTCTTGGATTTATGTATTTGTCGCCTTCGGGGTTTATTTGGTGGTAGCATATGCCCGGAACAAGTATGCCGCAAGAGAACACATCTACTACCGGATGGTCCAGTTTCTGATTATTGTGCTTGGGATCCTTGCGATTATAGCCTTACTTGAGTTCACATCTTTTAAATTTGTTGACCTTTTCACAAGTTTGTTGGCCTTTATCCCCACTGGATGGGGTATTTTATTGATTGCCCAAGTACTCCGTCCCTTCCTGCCCTCTAGACTTTGGGAATCTGTGGTTTCTGTGGCTCGACTATATGATATAATGTTGGGGGTGATAGTTATGGCTCCTGTGGCATTTTTGTCTTGGATGCCTGGGTTCCAATCAATGCAGACTAGGATCCTTTTCAATGAGGCATTTAGTAGGGGCCTCCGGATCTTCCAGATTGTCACGGGAAAAAAATCTTAGTTGATTTGTGATTTGAGGTAATTCTGACTCACTCTTTGAAATTATGGAGATTTTTTGCAGTTCATCATCTTTGTCTCTGATTATCTGCTTGTTTCTCAACCTAAACTAAATAAAGTTGAATTTTAACATATATTATTGGAATATGCTAGTGTTGCATTATGCCTCTAAACAGGGTGTTTGCATTTATTCTTTTATGTTAAATGAAGGGGAGCCTCATCATTCTCTGCACCACTTGGTCGTTATATAGAATTTTTGTGATATTTCACATGCCTTTTGAGTTGCACCGTGGCATCTTTATTTCAACGGCTAATGGATTTTTGCTATTGACTGATTCATAAAATTTGGTAAAATCATCGCACTGTATTTGTTTAAATTTTTATGTCCTTCATGAGTGGAACTAGTTGGGGTTGGTTAACCCTGCTTTCTTCCTTGTGTTTTGGTATATTTATCTTGAACTTGGATGCCCTAGGAAAAATGAGCAATTAGTGGTCCAAAAAGGAGTGGGTGATAAGAGTTTAGCAGCTTCTCGCCTTCTCTTATACTTTAGATGCCAATGAACTTGCACAGAAAAGTCAAATTTCACGTGCAGACTTAGTCTCTCATATGCTGATGTTGTGGATAATTTGAAAGCCCAGTCAACTACTTTGAGGTTAATGATGACCTCTGCGAATCAATTGTAAAGAAACGGTTATTGATGAGTCTATTAGTGCACACAAGCTATTATTAGATCAAAGAATAGATCGGCCATTTTATTGACTCTTCTAACTCGCCAGAAGATATTTTAGTTGTCTTAGAGCATAGATCTGAAAGTTCACAATTCTTAGACATAAATTCCCATCCTTGTAAGCTCCAATTAATGAAGAGGAAAGGATGGGAGTTTGTAGTCAAAAGAATAAGATGAGTTTGGCAATAGACATGCAGTGTCCCTTATTGGAAAGCCCATCTGTACTGTTACACATACCAGAGCATGTGGCAATGGATCTACAAACATGGGAGACTACTTGATCTTGTCTCCTAGACTCTTAAATTTGTGAGAAAGAGCAAAGAATCATTTAAAAAAAGAGAGGATAAAGAAGTAATTAAATCCGATAGCCAAATGATTTACTCCATAGTCCTTACTTGATTCTTCAATTCAGATGGCCTTGATGTAGATGGATCTGTAACTACAGGTGTCTTCATAATGTGCTTGTTTGGCTGTCTCAGTTTTAGAGGAGGTCTCCAATTATCTGTTCTTGTGTGGATTAGTGTCAAGAAAAGTATTTTAACTTAATGTGCTCCAACTTTGCTACACTGTGGCACAATATGGGAATGAACCTGGAGTTTTCTGTTGAATTTTTTTGTGTACTTTTGCATTGGTGGTAGATAAATAATTAGTTCATCCATTTGACTTTTGTTGTTCATGTACTGATGTATTTTAATCTTTAATTAAACCTTTGGTTGAGCGATGACTTGATCATTTGGTCTGCTATTTACTCTCCAAATTTTTGAGTCATCATTGAGAGGATTGGGGTATGTTTTGCAGGTCTCAAGTCAAGATGAGTTGTAAGAAAACTATACAAATTGAGAGGCTAGACTTCTCCCTGGTTTTTGCACGTGAGACTGACACGGTTGCTACTCTGGTAATGTCTGAAATTCAGTGTGGTGGGAGAGAACTTTTATTTGGTTATTGATTCTGTGATTCTTCTCTCCTTTACTGATGTAATTAGTGTAATACCTCACACTCCCCTTGGTGCTATTCCCATTTGTTTTATGCGCCTAACTTCCCCTCATTTCTGAAAGTACAGCCCTTCATGCATTGTCCATATATTGATCGTAGCTTAGTGTGGTAGCTTTGTTGAGATTGCTAGATTATTTGTAATTCTTTTGTCAGACATGCAGCTTTTGAGTTGCTCATACTTCAGCTTTGGTATCCTTTTTGTGGCGGTGTTGAATACTAATCTTTGCTTTGTCGAGACTGACTGCTTTGATGACAAAAATGGTGAGATATTTAGTGAGGCAGGCAATATGCAATGCCTATCTTATTTTGAACTCACTCTGTGGATCTGACTATTGATTACTTCACTCGTTCTTCGTTTAGTTCAGTAGTTTTTGCTGAGATTGTGAGATTATAAAACTATTTGTTTATTCATACTTTAGCTTTGTGCTTTGATGCCCTTATTCCTGGCTGCTTCTGTTTTGGTCAAGAACATGAATCTTGCTTTTGCACAACTGGACTGTGTTTTGGATTGCAGGAGGCAGACACTTCGCCCCCTTTTCTTTGTTTCAACCTCATTGACGAATTCGACTTCTGATTACTGGATAACATGGAATTTTGCTTTGCTCCTTTTTCTTTGTTTCAACTTAATTGACGAATTCGACTTCTGATTACTGGATGACATGGAATTTTGTGGTGAAATTTACCTTGCTGGACCTCATTTGCTTTAAAAAAAATTGATTCTTTCAGATTTGGGCTTTTTTATGCTCATCTGGGTGAGAAGAACATGGGCTCATGTGGTCTGGTTCGGCTAGTAAAATTGTCGATGAACCAACCACCAATGAATTTCTCGACGGTTTTTAACCATTGGATTAGCTGAGTGTTTGTTAAAAATAACAAAATTAGCTGATCAGTTTGGGAAGTCTGGTGGGGTGGTATTTTAGGGGACAAATAACACTGCTCCCAACAAAATTAAGAAAAGAAGTAAATGGACTACCAAAAAGAGACCCTTGATAGGCTGCATGTTGGACGGTTGAGGCTAAGAAAATGTATGTTCGGCTGCCGTTGGAAGGATGGAGCCAGCAAGTTGGAGGAGGCTGCCGTCCCGCAACTTGATGATTTTCGGGGTAGACCAGCTATCTGGGCCTGACGTCTCATGGATATTTATGCTATTTAATGACAGAAGTAGCCTTTTATATATTTCTAGCGGCTCAAAAGTTGAGTCGAAATAAATTAATCCATCGATAACTGAATTAATTATTTTTTTTACTTTTAAAAACTAACTATTTTGTTTTTTTTTATTATTTTTTTGAATTTATTTTTTTTATTTTAAGAAATAAAAAAGGAATAACAAATAAGTAAAAATATAAAAAAGATAAGAAAAAATATTTTATAAAATAAAAAATATTAAATTAGTCATAGTTAAAATTATTAGAAAAACTAAATAATTAGTTTTGAAAATCAATTAAACTAATTAATTTGTTTCTCAAAATGAAGGTACCAATTTATAATTTACTTCTACTCCCATCAAAGTACTCCTGAATGCATAAATCCTTACACTGGCCATTACTCTACAAATTGCAAACAAGATGCTCACGAGTTATGAGATTTGCGTGAAGAATGTTTGAAAAGTGATCAAATAATCTACTTTAATTGATCAATAGATCATTGTAATTTGTAAAAATAACAATCAATTAATTAAATAAAGTTTATACAAATAGCAAGAGATTAAATAAAATTGATGCAAATGAAAAAAGACGTGAGAGATTTGCTAAAATAAAAAAAATTGAAATTTTCTTTTATTATTATGAGATTAATATTTAGAGTGAATTGAAGATGATCCGAGATTTGCTAAAATAAAAAAAATTGAAATTTTCTTTTATTATTATGAGATTAATATTTAGAGTGAATTGAAGATGATCCGACTCTTAAAACCGTGCTGCTTCATTTATATTTAAATAGTAAAATTTGAATTAAAAAAACTAATTTTTTTAAATTAAATCATTTCAGCTTACTAGCAAAAGTAAATAAAATAACAATTTAGCTCTTTTTTAGTCACCGTTAATAGCCCAAAACTCATCAAACTATTTTCTCTTGCATCATATAAGGTACAGACATAGATTGTGCACCACAAGGATATCCATATCCATTGTAAAGCATTTTATTGAGTAAAAATCTATTCAGTCTAATTTATTGTTTTATAACTTGCTTCCATCCAAAAATAACAATAACAATATTAATATTAATAAGTTTAATTAAATTCTTAATTAAGTTTTATAGGCAAGCTCTCATGTTTTGAGTGGCGCCCAAGCAAGAATCTTAAACTACGTTGCATTACTTGAACAGGTGGATGACACCTTCCATGGCATATCGACATCTGGAACGTTATATGATTACAAACACTGCACGCTTCCTCCGAACATGCGGTCACAAATTAAGGACTTTTTCTTCCTGGTTGTCCACCTCAATCACAGTTTCGGACACGACACGAAACTGTTTAAGAATCAGTTTGATTTTTAATGATAATCTTTTTTTCTCCCCATTACAATGTTTCCAATAGATCGGGTTGCTGCTCTACGTCATTGGATCAATGAATCTGTGACCATTCAGTACATGTTGATTAATCCATTCTGATTATAGGAAATAATTCCAGGAGACTGATGTTTGCAATTGCGTCATCTTTTACCTTGCTAACATCGTTTTACGATCAATTAATGGCGACATCAACAGTGTCAAAAAAAAAAAAAAAAAAAAAAAAGTCCATGATTTACGGGTAAAAAAGAGAGGAGAAAGTTTACAACCATAAAAAGCAGAAACTAGGCAAATTTCATACTATCATCATCAACTCCATATATCTCCAAACATACATGAAAACACCCTGAAAGTTGAAGAAGCCAACAAAGCAGTGACAAACACAAGACAAACATCAAATTACAGTAGCATATAAAATCCTGCAGAAGGGAGTTTTGAGGAACCCTTTGCTGTTTTATTAATTTACATCAAGCCACTATTTTAGACATATATGGACTGACCAGACCAGACCAACTGATCTATTATAGTAACTGCTTTGTTGAAGCCATGGCTGCCTATGTTTTCTCATTTGCAGGTGCACGGATTGCAGGTGCATGGATTGCACTTGCACCCACCATTCTCAGCACCAGAGTTCATCTCAGACCTCTCATAGAACCTGCAGCAGTAGCAGCCTGTTAATTCCCTTTTTAAACATCTTCATACTCCCACTAAACACCGGAAAACGATTTCATGATCATTTTCCATGACACAACCAAACATAGGAAACTAATCTATTCTGTCTCGGAAGAAATCATTTCCGAGCAAACAAACCAGGGCCTTAGCAATTAAAATTCTGATGCATGTACACTTACGTCTTAACTGGAGCAACACCTGCAATGATTGTCTCAGTTGTGGTGCTCTCTGAGAAGCCTAAGTCAGGGTACATACCACATCTGCCAAGTACAAAGAAATTACAAAAACATAAAGGCACGGGTCAGACTATAATCTCAAGAAGGATAAGGAAATAATAAAAAAGAAGAAAAAATCAACAGATGGGCGCCCTTTTCAGCATCTTTAAAGAGACGATAGACAAGAAAACAGCGTTGAACCGGATGTTCGAACAATTGAACATTCGGTTCAAACCTCTGCTAGCTCATCTCCATCACTACATGTTTCTGATTAGTAAAAGCTTGACAAGAAAAGAAATAGTAATTACTTGCAGTCCTTGCCGCACTTGCAGTCAGATCCACAGCTACAGCCAGACATTTTCTAAGTAGAAGTAGTATAAACGGTGAGGAAAGTTTTCACTTAGAAACTGACTTTGCTCAGGCTAACTCAACTCAGGACGATGGATTAACAGTTCCTGTTCTGCTATTTATGGAGGAGTTAGAATGATATCCACCATACACGTGGTTAAATCCTAGGGTAATAGCGTCTGCATTTGGGCTAAAGGAGGAGTGGACAACGGACTTGTCATGGAAATTATAAAGTCACTGTCATAATTAAAGAAAGCAATTAAAATCAGCACAAGAAAAGACAGGATTAATTGACAACAATGCAGATGAACCCTAAGATGTATATCTCGTATGTTAACTAGTGAAAGAAGAAATTGACTTTCTTTTTTTTTTTTTTTTTTTGGGCTTTTGAACTAAAGATGATATCGACATGGATTCTTGAACAAATCTATGATATCTTTATATGCTAATATAGAAAGTGAAATTCTTTAATTTGTTTTATTGACTATGGGAATATCGAAACCTTGGCACGGCCCGATGAAAATGACTTGTTAATTTAAAAATGCTAGCTTTATCGATTAACTTAATTATATTAGCCAGAAAAGCATTGAATGTTCAAGAAGCAAGTAATGGTGCAACGCATGGAAACATGAAGCATGGTGTTTTGGAGAGGGAAACTTGTGGCCATCAACATCTTGCAACATTTCTCAAATTGTTGTAGACTTTAGATAACTTCAAAGGTTCTTAAGTTTAATTTCCATCATTTCTATACGTCTAACTAACATTATATATATATATATATTCTCACGTATTCTTACATGATAAATCAATTTTCTAATCTATTCTTAAAAAAAATAATAAAAAAATTCAATCCATCTTTATATTTTAAGCTTATTTTTAATCTATCATTCTAGTTAAAATTTTAAAAAATCAATTTTTCTATTAGTAGATATAGATTATTTGTGTCAAATAATAAAAATAATTTAATCAAATTACATGTTTAATTTGACTTAATTTATTTAAAAATTTTAACTAAAATGATAATGATAGATTAGAAATCAGCTCAAAATATAAAAACAATTTATATGTATTTTTTTAAAATAATTTAGAAAATTCACTTATTATATAAAAACAGATAAAGATTATAACCTTATATATTTGAAAGATAATTGATTCGTTGAGATTCACAATAAATTAGTTGTTGTCCTCTTTATCAAAATAGATATTAAGATAGAATATAACCAAAAAGTTAAAACAAGAAATACATATATATTTACATTATTGGTTATGTATTCGATAATTTTTTTAATAAAAAAATATTCAGTAATAAGTTTTTCGATTATAATAATCTAATTAATAGGGTTTGCTCCTCTCGTGTAGTCTAGGGACCATTTCTCGTTCTTCCTTGAGTTTGTCCAATCCAACTTTAGAGGGCTGAAGCATCCAACGTACGAAAAGGAAAGAAAATAGTGTAAAAATGTTCCCCAATAGTCTCAAAGGTGGATTCTAGTGATAAGTGGAGATTCGTTTAGCTCATTCCTTATGAATTTGGGTATGGTCGTTGGCCTTTGAAGGGAATTTTTAGGAAAGTCGGTGAGTGTGAAAATTGATGTATCCTTTATCGCATTCAGATATTCTCAAAATTACGTATAGGTTTTAAAGTTTATTTTTATATATAGAGATTGAGTTTCTCTTCGATCGAAATAAGCAAGCTATGGGTATTGTTCCATTTGTTTCACATTTATTGATTCTACTTTAATATTTCCTTTTCTTTCACGATAATTCCTCTCGTTTTCTTTTTTCTTTTTTTTTTTAAAAGTAGCTATGAATTTACTTTTGTGGGCTGTGTGATTTAAGTGCGTGATGACATAACAGTATTGGAATTGAAGATAGCTTGATAGCACAAAATTATAAGTAAATATATCTATTTGCTTAATGTTTCTCTTATGTCTATAGATTTTTAATTAAACCCTATTTATCTTTGAATTTTTTTTAAAATATTCAATCTATCGTCCTAATCATGATTTTTTTTGTCGAAATCTCTTTTCCTAAAATGGAAAAAAAAAAAAACACATTACCATGTTTCATTTTTGAAGTTTTATTTTATTCTTAAAGACATATGAACTGTATGCTTCATTTTTTAAGTCTTATTTTATTTTTGCATTTCAATAAAAAAAATATTTAGTCCGAAAAATTGATCAGAATAATATATTGAACATTTCAAACACTTTCGAAAACAAATGAGATTCAATTAGATACTTAATGATATATATATATTGAGTATTAATGTTTCTCGAATGTCTATAGATTTTTAATTGAATCCTATTTATGTTTGAAATTTTTTAAAATATTTAATCTATCATCCTAACCATGATTTTTTTTTTCCCCCGAAATCCCCTTTCCTAAAATGAAAAAAAAAAAAACATTACCATGTTTCATTTTTGAAGTTTTATTTTATTCTTAAAGACATATTATCTCGTATGCTTTATTTTTTAAGTTTTATTTTATTTTTGCATTTCAATGAACAATATTTCAATAAAAAAAATATTTAGTCATAAATATTAATCAGAATGATATATTGAACATTTCAAACACTTTCGAAAAAAAATGAGATGTAATTATATATATATATAAGATTTTGAGTATTATAGAAAGACATATGGGTATACTTAACCAAAATTATTGAGGAAAATCCCAATACTGCCAATATTATGAACAGTTTTAGCTTGTTGGGCTTCGCTTTTAGGGTGAACAATATTTGATCCTTCATGGGTCCATCTATTTAAAGTCCATCCCTATCCATATGACCTGTACAAGAAAGGGTTTGAAACGGCAGCTTCTTGTCACATTTGTTGGATTTTTTTCAGCCATAAATCCAGCTTTTGGGAATTGATCTTATTCGGTCCCAGTTTTTGGCCTTTTTGTCTTGCCGGCAGCAATTCTCAGTGCTCAGTGTGTGACAAATTAATTTATTAGAGTATGAAGATAGAGATCCCTTTTCACCATTTGTTTATCCAATTACAGAAAGTTCCAACTTGATCTAGACTTTAATTTTGAGTAATTTATTGATAATGCTTAATCAACTCCCCCAAGTCGGCATTTGAAAATGTTGTGGGAGATTTTTACTTCAAATTTATATATATATATATGAGATTTTGAGTATCATATAAATATATATTGATACATTTACCTCAAAATTATTGAGGAAAATCCCAATGTTGCGCCAATATTATATGATCAGTTTTAGCTTGTTGGGCTTCATTTTTATTGAACAATATTTGATCCTTCATATTGGGCTTATCTCTATTGTCGATATTTTTCTGACCGGATTTAGCTTGCTGGGCTTCAGCAAAAGTTTGATTTCTTCAAATTTGGGCTTCTAATGTTTAAATCGGAGTAAAAACAACGTGGGCTCAAATTGGATTGCAGGATGGGGTGGTCCAGTTAGCTGGTTTGAAAAGGACAGATGGGTCCATTTATTTAAGTCCATCACTGTCTATGTAACTTGCACAAGAAAAGTCTGAAACAACAGCCTCTTGCCTCATTTTTTGGACTTTTTTTTCCTAGGCATAAAGCCAGCTTTTGGGTATATTTCCATTTGTTTTACATTTATTTAATTCTACTTTAATATTTTTTTTTTCAAAAAATTAGCTTTGAATTTACTTTTGTAGCCTGTGGGTTGAATGATTTAAGTACATGATGGAGTAACAATATTGAGATTGGAGACAGCATGATAATACAAAATTATGGATAAATATATTATTTATCTATTTTTATATAATACTTGAAGTCTTCCATCTATAGTTTTTTATGTATCTCATTTGTCTTTGAAAAATTATGAATGTTCAATCTATAATTTCCATCAACTTTTATAACCATGATTTTTTTTTTATCGAAATGTTAGTTACTAAGATGTGAAAAAAAAAACTTAAAGTCATATGACCTACTTATTTCATTTTTTAAGTCTTTAAAATTTTATTTTATTTTATTTTGTCATTTCAATCAGTAGCATTTCGGTTAAAAAAATTTATTTAATCAAAAAATTATAAAAAAGACAGATTGAACATTTCAAACACTTTTAGGGACAAGTGAGATGCAATTACAAATCTAAAAATATATAAAAGATTTTGAGTATTATATAAGGATATATAGATATATTTATCTCAAAATTATTGAGAAAAATCTCAATATTGCCAATATTATGAACAGTTTAAGCTTGTTGGGCTTCGTTTTTAGGCCGAACAATATTTGATCCTTCGTATTGGGCTTATCCCTATTGCCAATGTTTTCTGACCAGATTAAGCTCGCCGCGCTTCATTCTTCGGCTCAACAAAATTTTGATTTCTTCAAATTTGGGCTTTCTAATCTTTAAATCTGAGAAAAAACAATATGGGCCCGAATTGGATTGCATGACTGGAGGGTCCAGTTAGTTGGTTTGAAAACGACAGATGGGTCCATCTATTTAAGTACATCCCTATCCATGTAACTTGCACAAGAAAAAGTCTGATGCTGCAGCTTCTTGCCTCAATTTTTTTGGAAGCTTTTGGGAATTGATTTTATTTGGTCCCAGTGTTTGACCTTTTCTCTTATCATAATGTAATGAAAGAGATTTGCTTTTGTCGTATGGTTTAAGGATCATTAAAGACTCAAACTTATTTTATTATTTAGTTATTATTCATATCAATTTTTTCTTCACAATTATTAATATTTCCTCCACCAATTACAAATAACTATTATATAGCAAATATTAGTAGAGGATATGTTGATAATTTTCTGAAAAAAAGTTACAAAAATAACAATTATATTAGTGAATGCAGCAGTATCCTTAGTTTAATTGTTTTTCTTAATGATTCAAAGGCATAATGGTGTCTTTTTTTTTTTTAATTTTGTTTTTCTGTTTTTTAAAAAACTAAAAATTATTTTATTTTTTATATTTATTATTTTTTTAACAAAGATATACAAATAATTTTTTTAATACAGACTTAATTTAAGAAATATAATAATAGTATTAATAAAAAATATGGAAGTAAAAATATTAGGTAAATTATGATGATTAAATGGCGGCATTATGTGCAGACTAATTGGTTCGATAGTACTTTATAGCATCGATCAAACAAAAATTGACACCCAAACTTTAATTTTTTTCAATTTGAGTATCAAACTATTTTTTAGTTTGTAATTGAGTTGAACAATCCATTAATCAACTTCCAGACATACTTTTCACATGTGATAATGACACGAATCAATAAATAAAAGATACGTGGTTCTAAAATGCCACGTGTGCTTATGGCATAATAACTTAATAACATAAAATGACAAATTACCTCATCCCTAAATTAAAACAAAACTAAGACTCACCAGTCATAGCCACCATCTTCTTCAAACCCACTAACCATTGTATCCCTCTCGAACATCCATCTCCTCCTATTAAACCTAACACTAACCGCAACCATCCCTCTCCTCCGATCAAACCCAACACCAAACACAGACTCTCGTGTGATTTTTTCAAAATAATTATTCTAAATGCATTGCTCTCTCGAGCACCGTAAATGAGATATCCCATCTTGTAGGATCATCATGCGAAGCTATTTTCTTATCTTGCGACTTCACTAGATTACTTGCTTCTTGAAACTTCACTCTTTTATTTGGTGTCCCATTGACATATTTGATTGTTTCTAGTATCTTGTGAAACACACTTTGTATATCATAAAATGTATCTTGGACAAGAAGATCTAGAATTTGTGTATAAGAAAGAAGAAAAAAACAAGATCTTTGTTGTGACACGAGAATTCATTTAAAAAAAAAAAACTTATCTTGTAGATCTCTAACACTCGACCATTTGGAGGAAAAATTTATGCAAATATTAAATTCAAATTCTTATTGATACTTCATTCCCTAACCATGCCTTAAATAGCTTTATGTAGAGTCCTTGCATCATAATTGTGTTCTAGATTTTTGCAAGCGAGAACCATTCTCTTGAACTCCCATTCTTTATCAATAAAGTGCTAGGTCTAGCAACATCACACCTCTTTGTCGTTTTATGGTTGCAAATCAACTTTAAATTCAAGAAACAAAAGAGGTTATGAAAATATTTCATGAGTTTCTCTTTTTCTTGTCTATAAGCAAAAAGAACATCACTCTCGATAGAGTCCTATGAACAAAATTGAACATTTTGCTACAAACCATGCACAAAAGTTTTAAAAACCTCTTAGTGCACAATATCCAAAGGACCCTCAAGCTTCATAATTATTTTTGCAAGATTAAGGCGACCCTTTTCTTGATCAAACACCAAATTCATTCTCCTAACATAAGGCAATGAATGTTGTTATGCATCGTGTGGGTTTTTTACCGAACAACTTTTCCACTCGTTCGTGCGGATTTGAAGTTCTCTTTATGCTTTCCCCTTGATACTTCTTGTTACATTCTTTACATATGGCCCATATTGCACCATTTTCTCCTTTAACTTTATCGAAGCTTTTCCATGCCTCATATGTGTTTTGTTTTTTATTATTAGCACATTAGATGAACCTCTTAACTTCATCATTTAGAAACAATTTAATAGTAGCATTTTGTTCTCTAACTTCCCGTCATGATATTACCGTAAAAGAGCAAGGTAAATGACCATATAAAAATTATGACTTTACTATAACACGTAAACACAAATCTTAAAGAAACAATCCATCCTCACAACAACAACTTGGGCTAAAATTTTGAAGAATCGGATTTATAAAGCTTGTCATGTTCTTTAAGCTTCTCATAATAAACATCCTAAACACATCTAACACACCCACTCCCACGACAATCTCTTGGCTCCAGACTTCTCGAACGACGGCCATAGTGGAGGAGAGGTCTTTTTCTTCGATTTTTTTAGTCCTTTTTCTCTCACAATTGTTCATTCAATTTGTTGATTTTTATTTGTTGTTTCCATTATGGAATTAACAATAACGTGAAAGAATTTGAAATCTTGAATGGAAGGCGACTTTTTTTATTGATACAAATATTAGGGGTTTTTCATGGTAAAGATGAAATGGTCGGGCATTTTATGGGTCGTTGGGTATTGTTGATCGTAACGTGAAGATTTGAGAAAGAAGAAAAAGATGATGATGATGTAGGCACTCTCTTCTCTCTTAACAAAGTTCTTTAATTCACTCGTCTCTTTCTCTTTTTGTCTCGTTCATTAGTTTTATTAAAATTGATTAAGGGTTTTTTCAAATTTGTGTGAGAGTTGTAGTTAGTGTTTTCTTGATTGTAAAGAATTAAGAATTTGAATTTTAATTTAGGTTTAGGTTTTTTGTTCATGTGTCGGTCATGTGTTCCCGGATGCTAGTCAAAGATTGTTTGATTTGATTACAAATGAAAAAATAATTTTTATATTCAAATTAAAAAAAATTAAAGTTCGAATACTAGTCTTTGTTTGACCAATAGTATTTGATACTATCAAACTAATTAGCCTCATAAGAACAAGATACAAGATAGTGTTGGTGGTGACGACATAACGAGGGTTATATTAATATCAAATTTATAGTGATTGTTATTTTATTGATAAATAATGGTGATTGTAATGGGTGGTAAAGATATAGTAGAGGTGGTTCAAATAACATGATAGTATAAGTTATGAAAATAATAACAATAGTATTGGTAGAATTAATTATGATGGTGATAATATTAAAGAATATTATGATAGTGAAGAAATGAAATGAAAATGGTGATCTGTTAATCATGATGATGGTGTTAGCGAGTGAAAAAATAAAACGAAAGTGGAGGTTATGTTAACCATGGTAGTAGTGGTAGTTGTCCCGATGATAATGATAATAGAGTGATATTGATAGTTGTTGTGATAATACGGTGATATTAATGTTGATAACACGATATTGTATTAATAACAAAATTAAAATTGAAAATTGAATCTTGTTTTAATTTTAAAAAATAATTCAAATAAGGAAATAAATACAATAGTAATACTAAACACATTTTATGTTTTTTTTTTAAATATAAAAACAAAAAACTACAGTGATACTAAAGCACATCTTCTTTTTTTTTTTTTTTTTTTTTTTTCTTGTTTGAGTTTGTCTAATTCAATTTTCAATGGTTAAAGCATCCAACATAAAATAAAAAAATAAAAATAAAAAAGGTAAGAAAATAGTGTAAAGATTTTCATAGTCTTAAAGGTGGATTCTAGTGATAAGAAAGATTCATTTACCTCGTGCATTATGGATTTTAATATGGTTATTGGTCTTTGCAGGGGTGACATCTACTTACCTTCGTTTGTATATAAACCATAAGCTTGAATTCTGTATAAAGATGGGAAGGGAATTTCTATGAACGACGGTGAGTGTCAAAATTGTTGCATCCTTAATCACATTTAGATATTCTCAAAATTATACATGTGGTTTTAAAGTTTATTTCTGGATATCGAGATTAAGTTCTTCTATCCAATCAAGCAAGATATGGGTATTGTTCCCTTTGTTTTGCATTTATTTAATTCTACTTTAATATTTTTTTTCACAAAAAAAGAAAAGAAAAGAAAAGAAAAAAAAATATTTAAAAAAACTAGCTTTGAATTTACTTTTGTGGGATGGGGGGTGTATGATTTACGTACACGAGGGAGTAACAATATTGGAATTTGAGAAAATTTGATAACACAAAATTATAGATATATCCGTTTTTATATAATACCCAAAGTCTTTTATTTGTTTCTAAATTTTGAATTGCATACCATCTGTTTTTATTTTTTTTTTAAATATTAAATTTTTTATTCCCATTAAACTTTTCCATTATGATTTTTTTTATCGAAATGCTTTTATTAAAATGAAAAAAAAAATACTTAAAGTCTAAAGTCACATGACCTAAGTGTTCTATTTTTAAAGTTTTTAATTTTTTTCAATTATTTCATTTATGATAAATATATCTATCCGTCTTTATATAAGATCCAAAGTCTTTCATTTGTTTCTAAATTTTAATTGCATCCTATCTCGTTTTTTAAAAATTTTAAAATATTAAATTTGTTATTTTGATTAAATTTTTCGATTATGATTTTTTTTATCGAAATTATTTTACTAACATATAAAAACAAAACTTAAAGTCACATGAACCATGTGTTCTATTTTTTAAATCCTTAATTGTTTTTCAATCAAAGACATTTCGGTCAAAAAATTATTTTTTAAGAAAAATGAATCGAAATGATCGATTGGATATTTCAAATATTTTCAAATACAAATGAGATATAATTAAAAATTTAAAAATATATATGAGACTTTAAGTATTATATAAAGATATATTGGTATATTTACCTTAAAATTATTGAGTAAAATCCCAATATTGCCAATATTCTAATGTTTAAATCTGAGTCAATACAACATGGGCCAAATGGGATAGTAAGATGGAGGGGTCCAGTTAGTTGGTTTGAAAAGGACAGATGGGTCCATCTATTTAAGTCTATCCCCATCCACATAACTTGCACATATAAAAGTCTGAAACAGCAGCTTATTGCCTCATTTGCTGGACTTTTTCAGCCATAAAGCCAGCTTTTAAGTGATTTTATTCGGTCCCAGTTTTTGACCTTTTTCTCTTTGCCGACAGGCAATTCTTAGTGCTCAATATGTGACTAATTAATTTATTAGCATCAAGATAGACATCCCTTTTCCCCATTGGTTTATCCAATCACCGAAAGTTCCAGCTTGATCTAGAATTTAATTTTGAGTAATTTACTGATAATGCTTTATCAACTCCCTAAGCGGGAATTTGAAAATGCTGTGGTTGAATTTTTTTTTTTTCGGATTTTATGTATATTGAGATTTTATATAATTTAGATTTTTTTATTTTGATCTTTTTTTATTCAATTTAAGAATTTTATTCTTATGTTGTTATTGTTTCGATTCTAATATGCCACGTAAGCACACGTGGTAAGATTTAATTAATAACAGTTTGCTACGTATCATAGCGAGAGAGCTTGAATCAATAATATGGTAAGTTATTATTGGCTAGAGTTTGATTGCTACGTCCGTTTACGTGATATATTAGAATCTAAAATAACGATAATATAAGAGTAAAACTTTTAAATTAGATAGAAAAAAATTAGAATCTTAATAAAAAAATTCGAATTGTAGGATATCTTCCTTTGTATAAGAATCCTTTTTTTTGGTCCTCATAGTAGACTGTCTTTGGTGTTTGATGACAAGAAACTGTTAATTTATTATACAAATACAAATAATTAGACAAGAAGGGGAAAAAAAAAACATTCATGAAATTCTAAAATATTCTGCTTTTAAAATTGTAACAAAATCTGAATTTTTTACAAGAGGTATGTTTACACGACACCTAACTCATTAAATTATTCCCTTATCTTCGTCACTCTAACGACTAAATCGTTTTTTAATTCCACAGTATTTATTGCCCACTGTAATTCAAAACAATTAGATAGTGTGTTTAGCATCATCATAAACTATAAATTAATGAAAGAATGTACTGCATTACGATCGAAATTTTAACCATCTAACACTGCTATAGAGTTTCAATGGCTTTCAACGAACAAAAATACCCACTGTGATTCAAAAGACATCAAAGCCTTATTTTAATGACAAAACGTCATAATAAAATAAGAGTTTTATGTGCAAATCTAGGTCTAGATTGTGAACACCCTAAAACAAATGCTTGAGGTAGCACTCTAGTGGTGAGATTGAGGGTCGCTCACCGATGATATTTGAGTTCGATTTTTTCTGTATATGTCTGTCACTCCTGCGGTGGTTCACCTATCCATTGTACTTGGAGGGTGTTCAATAGATCCAAAAATTAATCGAGGTGCGAAGTTAGCTAGCTCGGACATCCCAGGTTATAAAAAAAAAAAAAAAACAAAAACAAATCAAATCAAAGAAAAATAAATAGAAGGAGAAAGAGAAGCAGAGGAACAAATGCTGCTGCCAGAGAGAAAATCACCAATTTTTTTTTTTTTTTTAATAAGAGAGAATCAAGAGAAAAGAGAGGGATGGCTTCTTTATTCTAAGCACTGAATGATCCAATAACGTTAAGATAACCAATCTTTTCCAAAAATTCTGTAACAAGTTACTATGTTAAATACCAGGATTAGTAAATTTGCTAATTTGGTTATCAAACTGATCGAACTATCAACAGCTTCCGTTCACATGGATAATAAGCTAAATATGGTATGGTTAATAACAATTTTCATTTTTCTTGAACATGCTGTTTGAGATTCTAAATTGAGATTATTCTGATTTATTCACTTTTTATTTAAAAAGTGTGAAAAGACCAGGATCTGATCTCGCCACGTAATGTGACACGACCATAAACTGACAGGAACTGTGGACCCACTGGGCCTCTTAACCTCTATGTAGTGGGGCCTACAGGTAACATCTGTCAGTTTAGCATTAAAACTCTGTCTGTTTCTGAGTCTGTGTCCTTTATCTTTACTTTGTTTGCCACCATTTTCAGCAACCAAGGATCCCAGAGAAAATGGAGAGGCCTCTGATAGGAGAAATTAGCGGTGGAGGAGATGGAGGTGTTAGAAGAAGAGATCAGTCTAAGCCCAGGTTTAATCGACGTTATGATGCTATCACTTATGGTTCTCGTTTTCAAAAAGCTGCTGCTCTTGTTGATCTGGTTAGCTTCCTTTCTTTTCGTTATTTTTTGTTTTTTGGTGTTCTTGAATGTGAATGTTAATCATTTCGTAGTTAAAGAAACGTACTTTGAGTCTCTAAATCGAAATGGGTTATTTGTAAAGCTGAGTTTTTGAGTGTCAGTGATCGTGTTTTCTTGCTTGATTTGTGATGGTGTTAATGGGTTGGTTTTTGTTATTTTCTTGCTTTTATATCACTTGGATTTAAGGTTTGATTCATTAGAGAAATTTGTGGTAATCATTTGTTTTTGAGTCTTCTGTTTCTTCTTTTCCTTTGCTTTCTCGTTTTGCAATTCTTTTCAGTCAGTTAATATAATCTTGTTGGATGTTGAAAAACAAAAATAAAAATGAAGGGTTGACTGTTTGAGTCAAATATTTGTGGTCTATGATCACGTATTGTTTTCTTTTTGTTTTGTGTATAGTCCTTAGTATGGCAGAGTTATGTTAGTTTATATCCAGTACAGGTCCATCAATGGGTTCGTGAAGAGACTAAAATTCGAAATACAATATTGATTCATAGAAATTAATGATCGGTGAGGAAGCACCAAGCCAATCATTGATAATATAATATCTGTAAATATGGAGGATATGGTTTTATTTCAAGTAGCATGATTTATCATATTAGTTGCTAGCATGTGAGGCGCCGAATAGGTTTTTGCTTTTTACTTACGGATTTATTTGTCTACCAAGCAATTTAATTACCATTTTAAGTTAAGTTTTTTTTTTTTTTTACAATAATATTTATTTTTCGTTATTGGTTGAGAATCTTTTGGGACAGGGATTGAATTTAATTAGATTGGTTTGAAAATACTTTGTACAGGCCGAAGATGGTATTGGTATACCAGAGGAAATTCTTGATCACGCAAACTTTGAAAGTGCTGCAAAGTTCTACTTCATCTTTGTTCGGTTTGATTTCGTTTGGACCATCAATTACTTTGCAATGATAGTCTTAAATTTCTTGGAGGTCAGTACCCTTCTGTTACTGGTAACTGCTATATGCTTTCTGTTTATCATCGAGGCAGTGAGAAATTAGAAAAACAAAAGCATGATTCTCCAATGTCTTTCTAGATTATTATATAATTCTTAAATCGGTTAACTGGTGCAGAAACCGCTTTGGTGTCAAAATAATTCTGGACATTCTTGCAATGATAGGGAGTACTTCTATCTTGGGCAGCTGCCATACTTAACTCCTGCAGAGTCCTTTGTTTTTGAGGTATGAGTAAATACCTTATTAATGTTTGTTTCTAACTTGGAGAAGTAAGTTCTGGCTTTTCCTGCAGCATCTCTATTTAGTTGAACAAGAGTTTTTCGTTTATTTGTTTATTAAATGATTGCAATGAGTTAATCTATCACCTTTCTGAGAAGATTAAAGCTGACCAGTTTGGTAACTTCAAGATGGTTTATTAAGTGTATGGCATGTTCTGTAGGATTGAAATCTGTCCTTACATTCAGGAGTGCTGCAAAAGAGGTTGTCAACCCAGAGGCAAATGTATACTCAGTAATGGCATAGATATTGCAAAACTGATTAGCGAAATGGTTAACATTTACTGACTAGAATATGGTGGTTATAAATGTAAAATAAACAAAATTAATAGTGTACATTTGGGTCATGCACTGAGGCATTCTTAATGAATTACTTGTGCCAGAAAATGTTAAAGTTTGTCTTGTTTGGGCAGGAAGTCTGTTATGGTTAAAGCAAAGTACTGTGAAGATTCAGGTCTAATTGACAAAAATTTGAAGGATTGTCTAGGATTTTTTGAAACATTAGCAATAAGCTGGATAAGTTTTAATATCTGTCACCAAGTTTTTGGTTCTTGAAAGTGCTGAAAATTTCATAAACTATTTGTTATTCTGCTGGTATACATGCATCTAAAGTATGGACCTGATAGAATGTATAATCACTTAAATGTGTCTTTGTTTTTCTGTCAGTCTTATTACTGAACTTCTGGGTACTTCACCAGCATGTCACTTTAATTGGGCTATTCTGTCTCCAGATATGGTCTTTGGCAGGTTACACTAGTTTCTGTTTTCTTATGCAGGCCATAACTCTCATCATACTAGTGGCACATATTTTCTTTCCAATATCATATGAAGGGTTTCGTATCTACTGGAAAAATCCTCTCAATTGGTTAAAGGTACCAGGCTATGGTTTTCTTATTGTGAAGTTATTATCTGATTGATTTTGTTTTTATTTCTACCACATGAAGCATCTGTAGCTTGTTAGATAGAGTTCTTTATGGGCAATAATTATGTTTTTTGGAACACAAGAATATATCTTCTTCTTTTGTTTTCCTTGGAGAAAGTTGCAACATATATATTGCGTGTTCACGTAATGTGAAACTCTAGCACCTTATTCCTGTGTGCTAATGAATGAACTCCAGTTGAACCGTTCAAGCAGGCTTACTTGCATTTATATTCACCCTATGTATGCCATTTGTGCAGCTCCATAATATTTTGTTTTGTTGCCAAAACATAAACCTGGATTAAAATTTGGTGTCTTGAAGGTAAATGATTTTCTTGTGATTCTATTATCATTCCGGTACTGTATCCAATTCTGTTTTGTCATATGGTAAACAGACATATAGCTTATTGTGGTTACTGGTCGTCTGCCAAATCCAATTTTTGAAGTTGATAGGCTCACAGAAAATAAGACTTATTGATGTTATCAACTGTGTACTGCACAAAGAATCTATCTTTTTGTTTCCATGTTTGTTTAGCCACAAAATTCTTGCTTGTCATCTTTCTTTATTCTTCATTTAGACAACCTAGCTCTCTATTTTTACGATGCATATGTGTCTCTTTATGGAATGTACATGTGCGTCAATAAACCCTATTCTACAATATTAATTGATGAAGGAAATGTTAATTTGTCTTCTTTAGGTTTTGATATGCACATTTTCTTTATATTGTTTCTTCAACAACGTGATACATTCTTTTGGGTGGTTGAATTTTCAGTTGATTTGCTTAGGCATTTTAATTGTTGATTTGGTGGCTTATGCGATCTATGCGTCTCCAGTGGCTTTCAATTTTCTTCCCTTCAGAATTGCACCTTACATAAGAGTTGTCTTTTTTGTTCTATACATCAGGTATCTTGCAACGAAACTCTTATATTCCTTGTTCATGGGTTAGCCATGATTTCATATTATTCTTCCTTATTTATATACATAGATAAACCTTCTTTGCATTTCTGTTCTTGTGATGAAGCTTGCATTTAATCTATAGCCTTTTAGTGAATGGAGATATGATTTGGTAACTGTTAGCAGTCTAGTTCGATGTGCGCATTAGGATAGAATTGCATGATATTTGTTATGTGGACTACTATTTTGTTGAGGATATCCATCTCTGTAAGGCTGCATCATTACTGAATGCCTGTAGAAATCTTAGGTTGCTACAAATTCTCTGGGATGTTTAGTTCATGCACGTGATTTAACCACTTAGATTAAGCGAGCAGGGGGAATGAAACTAGCAGGACTGCATTAGAAGGAATGAAAATCAGCCAATTTAGGGGAACGATGTTTTAGATATCTTTCTTCTCTACTTCTAGTGTCTCTGGTAATTGGGTTACATATCTTTTAGTAGTCAAAGTCATTTTATTGAATTTGTTTTCGAAAGAAGAAAGAGTAGATGGATTATCTGTTCCTATAATATTTAGTTATTTCTACATGTAATTTGAATGTTATGGTGAACATTCTTTAATTGCACTTCTCTTTGTCAAACAACTCATGGTTATTGATTTGACAGGTTTTTTATTTTGTCATGACCTTAGGGACTTGCAGAGTAGCATACTCATCTTGGCTGGAATGCTTAAGACATACGTGAATGTCTTGGTTCGTTCACATTTTTTCCTTCATCAATATTGCTGCTGGGCTGACAATTAACCTAAGTTTGCAATTATAGTCAGTCTCAGATTGCTTTCAGATGTTGCTCAATGCTATATTTCCATCTTATGCTCTGGTTTGATATGTTTTTGTTTCCGTTAGTGCACATTACATATTGTTGGTTCTCTCTTCTATTTATTGTTTTCTGATATCTTTGTGCAGGCTCTAGGGCTTTTATTTCTGCTTTTCTCGAGTTGGTTAGCCTATGTCATTTTTGAAGATACCCAACAGGGGAAAATGATTTTCACTTCATATGGAACCACATTGTATCAGATGTTGGTTTTATTCACAACATCCAACAATCCAGATGTATGGATACCTGCATACAAGTAAGTTTTCTTGAAGAATGATTTGTGTGATCTTTTTTTTATTCTGATTTTTTCTTCCACTTACCCGTGGCTACATATATGTGTTTGTATGTGTGCACGTGCGTGTGTATTTACTTTATATTGAGGTTGGAGGGTGGTGGTGGAAATGTTGCAGTCACTTTGAAGCTATCGAACTGCAGTTTTTGATGAGATTTCCAGCTTCAGATAAAATTAGAAAAAACAAAAAGAAACATCCTTTTTTTTTTTTTTTTTTTTTGCCTTTGGTTACACTTTGCATTGTGTTCCAAAACTAGCAGAAATGACGGGGTTAAGAGATTGGTTACATTACAGTTAAACCTTTTCCAAACTTTGAGAAATTAATGATGTATGAAACTAGGCTAGAGTGGCTTTACTGATAAGTTAGAATCGTAAAGTTAATGTTAGAATCTGTTAGAATCTAAGGATTTGAGGCTAAGTAAAAGAAAACTAAGTTCTGGGATTCAGAGCTTAGAACTTTCGGTAATAGAGCTGAGAGTTTGATAAAATTCATTGGCTAAGAAATATCGGAAATAATATTCTTGGTATCTTTGAGGGTCATTTCCAATGTAGTATGAGATTATAACATGCCTGTCAAGTTGAAAGGCACATTTTGTTGGACATAAAGTCATGTATGCTCTAAATGAACACCAATTTTGGTGATAAAGAAACATGCCATATAATAAGTGTGGACATGATGCTTAGAGCCATCCATCGTTAAAGGCACTCTACTTTTGCTGAGAGAGAGGGAGAGAAGGAGGGAGGGAGGGCTGTTAGCAATTGATGGGGTGCTAATAGCTCCAACCTTATATACGATAGAGATGAAGAGTAATCGCATTCAGTGAAGGAACAAAGAGCGAGAAAGACTGAAATTGACTTGGCTTGAAGTTATAAGACAGGATGTGATTTCTGCAGTCATGGGAAATGTGGCCTTAAACATTGCGGAATAAGTCATTGGTGTTAATTAGTTTGACCTTTTGCTTGGTTGAGTTTATTATGATGCCATTCTTTATGAGAGTTTTTAAACACCGCCAGAATAGAAGATTCTCAAGCCTAGATTCATCCAAAGTATTACCATATAGATGTCATTTCACTCATGATGCCAGCATAGAATTCAATTTAGAGCAATGTGGAAAAAAGTTATGGAGGTGCTTAGATAATAATATTTAGTAATATAGAAGAAGCCTAACATTTTTGGGTGGAGATTCTGCAAAACAAATCGATCAGATATACTTACCCCTTCAATCTAGGACTTTGAATCTGAAATTTGTTAGATGGGCTTGCTTATTAGCTGATTTGCCACTAATAACATTCTTTAGGTGTTTTTGAAGTGTAAATGTCCTTTGCTAATTGCTAAGGCATTTTTGAACAAATTTCTCTGCTCTCTTTGGAGTAATAATTCTCTCCCTCATATTTTTTAAGAGTTTTACTTTCCTGTCTCAATTGGGTCAATAATATGGTAAAACACATGCTATTGATTTATTTGGCATGCTTTTCAACTATGGCCAGAACAAAATATATATGTATAAGAACAGATTGTAACATCCACATCTTCTTTTGTTTTTCAGGGCTTCACGTTGGTATTCCCTATTTTTCGTTCTCTATGTTCTAATAGGAGTGTACTTTGTCACCAACTTGGTTCTTGCTGTCGTATATGATAGCTTCAAAGATCAGGTATAGTTCAAAATGTGCAGAAGTGGTCTTCCTCTTATTTGCAAATGTTTATACCATTTGCTTCTCAATATATTACAAATTATTTTGTAGGATGTTTTCTTTTGTGTCCAGGGATAAAATGAAAATGTACATGCTTACATCTTCTTTCTGTTCTAGCTTGTAAAACAAGTTTCTGATATGGACCGTATGAGGAAAAGAGTCCTGATGAAAGCCTTCAATCTCATCGATAAGGATGTAAGTATGCTGTCACTCATTACCATGCTTTTCAACTATCCATCCTTTCAATTTGCATTATCTTTATATTCCATGGATGCTAATACACACCAAAAGTATAATCTCTGTGCTTAATTCTTGTTCACTGAAAGTAATTGTATAGCCTTCCCCTTTCAAACAATGCCTTCAAAGCATTGTTCTGACAGCATGACATCTCAAATACTTTTTCTTTCTGAGAGAAATGCTCTTCATTAATTCCTTTTAGATGTCTGATAAAATTGAAATCTCACAGAGAAGATCAATATGGCCCTTATACAATGATGCCCTGCCAGATGGTGAAAAACTTTTTCTAAACAAAAGAGAAATCCTTCTATTTAATGTGCCTACCAAAGTTGTTATGTCCACTGTTGATAGATCTGAATGATAGCCACTTTCTGTTGTTAAATGTTCAATGTGATAATGATACAGGAAGTAATTTTATCTAGATACTAAAAAGAGCGTAGTAATCGAATGGAGGATAAGGTTTCCTTCTTGAAAACAAGTTACAGTACAATCTAAACCAAAGATCTTCTCTGCAGTCCCTTTGCTTTTCAGATATGGTTCCAAAAATTCCGTTTTGTGGTGCACCATAATGAAGTTGGGAAAACTATTTTATCTGAAATGATAAGAGAAGATAATTTGAAGTCTTTAAAGATTCTAGAATGTGCTGAAATCAAAAACTCCCAATCATTGCAAAAACTGCATGCACTTTTACAAAACTCACAACAACATATAGGAAAGCAATTCCTCCAGGCTATTTGGACAAATACGTGGCTCTCTGTATGCCAAGAATTGCATATTCTTTTAAACCCCAAGCTACAAAATAATGTAGGAATCATGTTAGAAGGTGTCACTTCTATTAGAAAGCATGGAACAAACATTTGAAGAGAATTTGTGATGTGATAAAATGAAAGCGTTGACATTGTGAACAAAACAAATGCGTTACTCTTTGAAGGTATCGTGGCCCTACAAATAAGTTTACCTACATGGATTTGAGAAGATGCAGGATTATGAATAAGATAAGCCAGAAAGGTTTTAAAATAACATCTCCAGAATTTTCCAAAGGCTATGCTCTTACTCTCGTCTCTTTTTGGAGACAAACACACTGAATCAAGCTGTGAAGTGATAAGTCTAGTCTCTGTCACACATCGTCTGATCTGATGCAAATGTTTGTTTTAGACAGTGGGTGTGTGTGTGCAATGTGCACCATATGACTGAGTGTCATACTCCTGAATTGTCAATTTCTTCCTGGTGTACAGTTTGCTTCAGTTTAAGAGTAATAATAATTTTCAACTTGCTCCAGCATCGTTACTCTTGTAGATTGGCCTACCACTCTGATTTTGACTTCTGAATTCAGCATATTTTTTTCCTCTTTATAAAAATGTAGTTGTCACCTCTTATTTATTGTTATTTGTTTTGTGTCCAATGGGAATCCCATTTTGTTCAACAGAAGGCTGGATACCTTAATAAGGAGCAATGCATTCATTTATTTGTAGCACTGAATAAATACAGGTATTCCTTGTGTACCATCTTCCATACGTTTTCAGAACATGCTTTGTACATCTTGTGCATAAGATCCTTCCAATATATGATTCACACACACACACACCTTTAGTCTAATTCAATCGATGCTAGAGTTGACTTCTCAAATATAGAAAGATGCTGCAAAATATTATATTTATGTTCCTGAATATGGTGCTTTCTAGAATGATGACTGATATTGGCAGATTCTAAAGGTTCTTGTTTTGACCTTTTCTGCTTTGATTCCTGAAAGTAGCTTATAGTTTTTCTCTCCAGTACTTGTGTAGGCATTGAGGAACTCATTTTCAGCAGAGCCCCTTCCTCACTCTTTGAACAGAGGGACAGATGGGATGGATGTGTGATAATGAAAATAGTTCTCTGAAAAGAATGAGTGTATCGAAATTAGGCACTATATTAGTTGGATTTCATAACTTTGAACTCATTCATTGTGTTCTATCCTCCTTTACAAGTTGGAAAAGAAAGGAAAATAAGGTGGTCATCTATGGAGGACAGACAGAATACTTTTCATTAACTGTTAACTCAGTCACTTGTGTATTCAACTTATACTTGTTAGAACAGCAACAGACACTGCACAGATGCTTGCATTCAACTAACTGTTTGAATATGAGTGACATTGTAAATCACCACTTATAATTGGATATCCATTTCTTGTGCAAAGACATTCTAATTGTGTCTTGTGCTTTCTTTGCACAAGGATTGGTCAACTTTTACTGACGTGTTCAGGTTTTGATGTCATAACCAACCTTATTCAAAATCGATTTGTTTTATGAGGACAGTTCATATCTTTCCTTGATGAAAATTAAAGTGGATTATGCCTTATCTGGATTTCCTTTGTTAATGATAGTAATAGCTTAATTATGCCTATTTAATTTTCACTACCCTATCAACCATTTGGTCCTAAAGTAAGAATAAACAGTTACACCATAAACTACCATCCCTGTGACTTAAGTCAATTTGCAAGGGTTTTTAAAAGCCACTGTTAGATGCAGAAAAGTGTTTCAGAAATGCAGGTTCATCACCAGGCAATCGTATAGGCTGACTATTGATGAATTGATTGGATTAACCCACCAAAATCAGCTTCCGTCATTATGTATTGCTTGAAAGCAAAAGCCTTGATAACATATGGGTGTGGGGAAACTGTAGCAGGAAATGGGCATGACTCTTTGTAGACAATATGTTGACTGGAGGAATGCATTTAATTGTTGTATTTTTTCAGTTGCGTGTATATTCAGGGCCTTCTCTCTATCTTCTTAAGCAGTTTCATTGACGGGGTTGTTAACTGGCTGGTTCCATTTGGCATGGACTTTGTCTTTTTCTTCCTGTGAATTTGTTTTCTCACCCAAATGTTATTCTATTTGAGCCTTGGATCTTATTTAAAACTGCATCCATGCATTATGTTGTTGTAAGTCCTCTGGCCTTAAGCTGTCTCATATCTTTGGAGCACTTATATTGGACTTCAATTGAGGAAAGAATTGTAGTAACTATCGCTTTATTTTCACCATATTTTGGCAAATTTTCTACCATTTCCACCGGATGGAGTTTGGGAAAAAGATGACACGACGTTACCATGTTTGAGGATAAAAAAATTGCTTACCTTTAGCTTTTATAATTCAAGTCGTTATTCTGTTGCAACTCATTCTATATATTAAAGTATGTGCTCTTTATTTATTTATTTTGTTTATCAGGAGTTTGCCAAAAATATCAAAGGAAGATTTCGAGTTGATATTTGATGAACTGGATGATACTCATGACTTCAAGGTATACTCATATTTAAAACCTCATGTTTAAACAAAACACAGGTAATCTTTTGTTATCACCATCAGTTTGGCATGATTTTTAAATCATGGAAATGCTATGTATACAAACATACATTACTAAAACTCCATTCAAACATATGTGGCAAGAGATACATGGTGGATTGTGGATCTCACACATTTTAAATGGTTGTTTGAGCAAGAATAAAGTAATTGCCACATCAATTTGTATGAAAATTTTGTATGATTTGATTGTAAGTATAGCATTGCTCATAAATAATTTCTACATGGCTTGAAAGGAAAGAAAGAATAATGCTTTCATCAAAGTGATCGTTGCGAAGGTCCCTTTATGAGTATTAGTGGACGCCTTTGTTTTGTAAACCCATAGACAGGGGATATGCTAACTAGAGCAATAAGTCTGGATAATTAAGTCTCAAAAATTGGATTTTGGCATTTTTGAAGATAATAGAGATTTTGCCCACGAGAGACCAGTACCAGCTCCTAATACACGCACATGCACACGCACACATATCTCTTGTCATTCAAATATTTTTGTGCATATCTATTTTTTGAATTGTGCACAACCGCTGATATGCACAAAAATATTTCCGATGTTGAGTTTGTTGTGTTAGTTACGCATTTTGTAGAAGTTTTAGGCATACACGAAATTTTATTATGAAATCGCTGTCTTAAAAACCTCAAAGAACTCCATTCATCCTTGTGTAAGCCATGTGCTCTAAAATATTATTCAAAGAATAAGTATTGCATGTGTGCTTGCCTATGAGGATGCTTGTATGTGCACACATTTATGTGTGTGAATGCAAAATTCCAAAACTCCTTGCATTATTTTTGGGTTGCTCCTCATTGCGGTTAATTTATGATGCTTTAAAAGAATCATTTATATTACTGATATTTAGCTTCGTGTTAACTAAGATTTGTGGTTTGCTTGTGCTGCCTTTTGCAAAAGCTTGCAAGAGTCTTTCACACACATCCAATTGGCAGATTTTAGCCGGCCACTTATATTACTGATATAAGCATTTGAAAGATGAATTTTGGTTGTTATTATTTTCACATTGTGCATCTTTCAGTTATGTTTTCTGGCCTTGGTATCTTTTCTTTATGTAGATCAACTCGGATGAATTTGAGGACCTTTGCAATGCAATCGCTCTAAGATTTCAAAAGGAGGATGTTGTAAGTCATATTGCTCTGAAACTGAAACACAAGGAAATTATATGGAGCTTTTAGACTGCATCTCTGATACTGTGGATTCTGTTTGCAGCCATCTTACTTTGAATACCTTCCAATCTACCATTCACCTTTCTCTGAAACGTTGAGAGAATTCATACGAAGCCCTAAATTTGGCTACATAATATCGTTCGTTCTCATAGTGAATCTGATAACTGTCATCATTGAGACAACGGTATGACATGAAAATTTAATAGAACTGATGTTTTCTTGTTTTTTCCTCTTTTATCATGATAAAAATATAGAGCTTAAATTTTGGTAAGATTTGGCTGGTTAATCTGTTTAAATGTTTATTCTTATAAATATAATCATAACCGCTGGAAAACAATGTGGGCTTTGGATGCGGCTGTTGCCAAGATCATGTCTTGACCTGAAGTTAACTCCTTGCAATACCATAGATGAGTACATGTTAGCATTGAAATGTAATTGAATCATTTGGAAAGGAGATTAAAGTAGAACTTGAGAGACAAAAATGCCTTTGTGTCAGTTCATTCCAAGACAACCAACTTTCCAATTACATGATCTATCCGGCTCAATAAACAAATCCAAAAATTTGAAACCACCAAGAATCTCTTATTAGGTTACTGTCTTGATGTTGTATACTTAAATGCTGACGCAATTATGCTGATCTTGTATTTGATTGGTTTGCAGCTTGATATAGAAAACAATTCTGCCCAAAAAGTGTGGCAAGATCTGGAATTCGTCTTTGGTAAAGACTTGCTAAATCATCAACTCCTCTGAGGCTGTTTACTGTACATTTATGGTGCTTTCTGGGTCTATGAAATTCTAGCTTCAAAGCTGGATGGTCACATAATTCATGGTCATCTAAAGACAACGTTTCATCTTGCAGGAAAAAAAAAAAAAAAAAAAACTAAGGACTATCCTGAAATTCTTGAGGATAATTATGTGTCCTGTTGTTGGTTTGACACTTTTTCACAGCCAGGGTTGACATCATTTTGGTGGCAAGCAGTATATAAACCTTTGACGTTAATTACTGAAGGAATTTATCTGTGTGAATATGATTTTTAAATATATGGCTTCACAGTTTGCTGCGAGAATGATAATGTGTTATTATTTCCATTTTTCATAGACTTGTCCCTTAGTTAACTCTAAAAACAGTGGAGGCAGATTTTGCATACCTCTTGGTGTCCCTCCTTGAACATGTTTTATCCTGTTTGTTCTTCTGATGCTTCTTTGAATTCCGCTTATCATTCTTGAACGTAGTCTGTGAATGATGAAACATGACAATGCATTGTTCATGATGAATATGAATTCATAAAGATGTAAATTCATATCTTAAAAATTGGTTTTATTGGCCATTTGCTCAAAATGTTTATGCATTCCAATCTTGAAGATCAAATAATTGATAGCTTGGATCTACTAGTTAGATTTTGCAGGGGGTCAATTGAAAGTTGGATATTAACATGTCCTAGGTCAACCATTTATCAGCTCTACAATTTTGTTGCGTGATTTCGATCTTGGTATTTTGAAATGGCTTATGATGTGAGTTTAAACCATGTATTTGGAGTTCATAGGTTGCCTTTTGTACTTCAGGGTGGATCTATGTTGTGGAAATGGCTCTAAAAATCTATGCATATGGATTTGAGAATTATTGGAGGGAAGGTCAAAATCGCTTTGATTTTGTCATCACATTGGTAATAGGTAACTACTGTAGATATCTTTCCCAGCAGCTTTTGTCAATTATTTTCTCCCCTTAAATGCAATTAATTTGAATGCATACAAATTATTTCTCCTCCTATTATTCTGTGAAATTCTAATGGTGATTCCATTGCCACTATTTTTATAACTGTAATTTCTTTTGCATCATGAAAAAAAAAGCAATAATTTATTTTTGTATGTATTCTTTTCAGTATGTTGTGTAAAGGATGACCTACGAGTGAACTTATAATGACCCATACATGAGGATCTGGTTGTGTACGTCTATCCAAGTCAATAGTGCTGCTTTGTTAATGTTCCCAAATTACTCTTAAAAAGAAAAAAAATATTTTGTGCTAATAACTATAGTTGGTGGAAATTTGAGAAAACTCTTCCCTGTTTTTCAGAGAATTTTGTTTTGGTATGCCTGTTTGCCCTTGATTCAATTGTTCCAAGTAGATAAAATATATTATTTTGTTTGTCAGGCTTATTTTGCTTTACACTGCACCATAATGCCATGAAAATGATTTTTATGTTTGCAGTTATTGGAGAGACTGTAACTTTTGCATCTCCTCATGGGCTGACTTTTCTTTCAAATGGAGAATGGTATGAACTATACTTTTGTTTAAATGTTTATTGATTGATTTATGTTTGTGTGAAGTGATTTTTGTAAATTGCGCCGTTCTTTTCCATTTTTCCTCTATTTTGCTAACATATTATTTATTATTATTTGGTCTAAAAGTTAGATTACACCTTTGGAGGATGGGGGATGGGGGAGGGTGGGGTTATCACTTCGTATCACTTATTTCCTCTGATCCTAAGCGTGAGCAGTATTTGATCACAAGTCTATTGGGAGGATTGCCCAGCACTTTTACCTACAAACTTAGCTAGCATCTACAGTTGTTATTGTATACAAATGAAGCAGAGTGATATCAGTGAGGATGGGGGTCTTGTCAAACTTGGTCCGTCTTTCTTCCATATTCTAGCTCTTGCGACCCTTATTTCTGTTTACCTTGAGCAAAAGCTCGCCTAGATGAATGCACATGCAGCTGGACTTGCTGAACCATCCGCAAGATCCTTTCTTTTATTGACCATAAAATAAATAGCACTGGGAATTGCTCTGCAGCAACCACTCAAATCACCCAGAACAATATGCTAAGTTTACTTCGTATATATCATTCTTAGCCTCTGCAAAGATTCAATAAAGCTATTAGCTTTTATTTTCCTGCAGTCTAGTTATACTAAGATTCTTTTGAAAAGAGTTCTGGCATTACATATGACAATAATGTTTAACTGCTCATCCATGCCAAGGCCCACTTTCAGTATAGTTTGTCTTTACATGCTCACTGTTTACATTTTTCATCTATATTGTGAATAAATTCCATCATTGAACTCCTCAAAATCAATGCGGAATTTTGTTTTTCAACATCTTCACTCACTATAGTGTTGTTAAACAATAGTTTTCTAATAGGGGAATGGAAGCTTGATATACATAGATATTCTTTCCTCTATTTATAATGTATCTTCTTCTTTTTTGTTTACAGGATTCGTTACCTCCTCATTGCAAGAATGTTAAGATTAATTAGGATCTTGATGTATGTACAAAGTTACCGGGCTTTTGTTACCACATTCTTAACCCTCATACCAAGTCTGATGCCTTATCTGGGCACAATATTTTGCGTCATGTGTATATATTGCTCTCTTGGTATTCAGGTACGTTGGATGCTCTTTGCCTGTCATTGCAATTAAATTCTGCTGTGGTAGATACTTCTGTTTCAATTTATACTTTTTGGTGGCAGGAAAGTGAAGAGAAACTTTCTACCTCATATTAAATTGACCACCTTTCTTTTTAGATGAAGCTTGGTGCTTGAAAACTTTTTACCCAAAAACTGTTAACAATAAAAAGTACAGGATGGATTTTTTTTTCTATTGGGAAGTATCGATACATTCAAAACATATCTGATTAATGAACCATTTTTTCTCAAGGCAAAGGTATCATTTGCAGCTTCACTACTCTTTGGCTGGTTATTGGTGTAATCTGCAAATTCTGATATCTTGGATTGGAATGTCTCAAGACAGCCTGCAGTATCTGTATAAACTATACTGGATTATATTCTCTCATTTACTATGATTATTGTTCTAAAGTCTCTACTTGTTTGAACTCGTAGATCTTTGGTGGGCTTGTGAGTGCTGGGAACCCCAACTTGGAAGGAACAGATCTTGCTGAAGAGGAGTATCCTTTTTCCATAATGGATTAGAACCTGTTGTACAGCGCAAGGTTTTATTCTTCGTACCTTTTCCCACTAGAGGGAGCCTCTGATCTGTGGGTGTTGCCTCTTAAATTGTTTTCTTATCTTTTTATGGCTTTATGATTAGGGTAATCCATTAGTTTCTCAAAAATCAATTTCCTTGACAAAATAAGTTATTTGCTTTTCAATTTTAATGACTATCCAAATGGAATGGTGACACTTTTTAATTTGCTAGTTATGGGAAATTGGCAAGTGTGGATGCAGGTAAATACTGCCTTTTGCCTTCTACATCCCTATTTCTTTTTCCGTTTTCACTGTTGTCGTTTTGAGTATGGTGCAGAACATTCTAGATCAGATGGCTTTTCTTGTGTTAATAATGGTATTGATCGATTGGATTTATCACCAGCTTGTATTTGTCACAGTAGGTTAACTACTGAATCTAAATGATATTCATCATCGTCGTCATTTTATGGTATCTTGCATGTAAACTTGTAATTGTAACTTAAAGAATGATTTATTTCTACCCATAAAAACAGAAGATTTGGCACCATATCACTCTTGGAACCTACCTAACCACATCAAAGCAAACCTATCATGCACACCACTTTCCAATGTCATTGGGTCTTGGACAATCTCTTCAGCCAAATGCATAATGAGAAATCAATTATCAAGCTGAGTGGCTTCTAGTTTCAGTAGTTTCCAAATGTATTTTAAAATGTTGTTTGGTTGGAAGCTGTTTCATATGGATCTGGAGAGTCAGATATGTTGAGACAAAGCTGGTGTGGCGAAATATTAAGTTTGATGAACATTGGAAAATCTTATTTTGGTACACTGTCTCTTTTATATATTTGCATGTGCAAGCATATACACATCTGTATATGCTGTCGTGTCATTTCCTCCATGTCCTGTCAAACTGTCATTCTTGTAAATGAGAATGCTGTCTCATTTCGTGATTTTTCTGGTAATTAATTTATGAATTTCTTAAAGGAGGGGAGGGGATGATACGCATTTTACACACAATCTTCTATCTTTCTAAATTTTAAGAGAACAATGGCTTCAATATGATGTAGCTGATGCTTGTTTTGTGTACAACATAATAAGTGTGTTGTAAATTTCCAAGAACTTTTAAGGAAATACATCAAAACTACTACTGAACTATGTATATTGTGTGCAAGAGTCTTCGTGCTGTTTATAACACTCAACAGCACTAAGAAAAAGTGTTTACCTTTTTCACCTTTATAGTCTTCGAATCTTATGATTGTGGTTGAAGCCCTAATCTCTTGTACTGTACTATTTCAGAGTTATAAGGATTTGACTGGAACTTATTGGAGCCTTACATACTTCATCAGTTTCTACCTAATAACAGTTCTATTGCTTTTGAATTTGGTAAGTTCTATTTAATGCTGCAGCACTTTTTATTGAATTTGCAGAAGCTCGATAACTTGTAGATATGTGAATCTGTCAAATCTAACATGAATAATGGGAAATCATATGTAGCATTCTACTTCTTTGCCTTATCATTGATAATTTGACAGGAAGAATATTCTGATTCCAGTCAGCTGTATGGTCCATGAATCCTTTAAAGTTGATAGAGAGGACGTTATGGGACTATTGGCGACAGTTTTTCGCATTTTGTGTTCTAAGGCTCATTCTAACAAATCCTATATTTATGTGGAAAGGAGCATCCATGATTTCCTCTGCATAAAAACAATCTGTCCTGGTCATTACTGCTACCAAAATTAACCTCAAATTGGCAGACACTGAATAGCTTGTCTCATTGTGCTTAGTCCTTGCATTTTTTATTCTTTTCTCTGCGATGTAGCATTTCTTCCCTGCATACCATGATCTCGTTGCTAGTGAAGTGGTCTGATTACAATTGCATCATAATCTGGAATAGATGGTCAATGTTTTCACTGTCCAACGAGCCTGGAAACACTGACTGGCTATGCCAGAAATATTTACAGAATGCTGGTGTCCTTATAACGTAATCATCTGAATGATAATAAGCTGGATTAGATTGTTCATCAATTGGCATTACCAGGTTTCTAAAATGAAGTTAAAATGCATAGGAGATCAGCTTTGGTTGTTTTGTCATTCAGTTTTATTTATATTATATAATGAAGTGCAGAGTTTTCTAGATAACCAGAAATTTGAACTTTATGTATTTAATTCCGCTCAGGTTATTATTGGCCTTTATGATGTTGTCATCTCCTAGTTTTGTTGACTGGATTGCTAAATACGTAGCATTTTTTTTAGTAAGTGCAAAACACTATTGTAAAATGCAAAACATCATTTTCTTGTTTTCAATGTTTCAGGTTGTGGCTTTTGTCCTGGAGGCATTCTTTGCTGAAATGGAACTTGAGGCATCAGAAAAATGTGAAGAGAACAAGGTCAGTACCTGTTTAAACTACTAAGGATTTAGGATATCAAATATCAGTTCATTTTTTAATAGATCAGCAGGATGGTGCATTACCATGTGAATATTTTGTTTGAGAAGATGGTTTAAATGAATACGAGTCCCTTCTGGGACATCTGATAAAAATGAACATTTATAATTCTACCAAGGATACTGCAATTGCATATGCTTCCCTGTGATAACACTTTGGCTGATTAAGACATTCGACATTACATAAGTTAAATTGTGCCTATGTTGACATTATTGGCAATGTTAGTAGAAGTTGAAAATGAATTATCCGATTACCTAGTTTGCAGCTCTTTGTTTACTAAAAGATCTCCTGAGGAACAAAGCAAAGCATTCTAATTACCCAGAACATGCATTCAGTGTTTCTGAAAATTGCGAGCATGTTTGGATGAAGGTCTGTTGGTTGGATTCTTTCTTTTAACGCATATCAGAATCCATTTCTGTGGTGTTAGGTGTGTTCCTTGTACCAAACCTCTTTTTGTCATGAGTAATGACTTGTTGTACTAATGACGGTTGGTTGGAGATTGTAGCTGACTCTGCACTCATGATCCCATTTCTGAAATCTGTTTTTCTCACTACCTAGAACCTTGCTACCTGCATGTCAATTGTCTAAATATCCTTGCTGATTAGTTAAAGTGCATGTACTAATTGAACAATCTTTATGGCATCCAGGTAAGAGTTTTATTTGGCATCTTTAAGCAATCATTGCAGCATATTCCAGCTCACCTTAGAAAGAAGTTTTCTGTTGATCATTAGAAGTGGATTCAGATTTAAGACATCATAAACTTTTTGTTTCCTTTTCTGAATCCTGATTGTGGCATTGGTATAGTAGATCTGGTTGATCTTGTCTCTCGCGTTGTCCTATAGTGGTATTGAGCAATTGGCTTTATCACCAGTCTGTACTTGTCACAATAGATTAACTACCGAATTTAAATGATTATTTACTGCCTTATCAATGTAGGAAGGAAGCAACACAAAATCCCGGCGCCGATCTGTTGGGTATGTGCTGCAAGCTAGTCATTTCTTTCAATCTAGATGTTAAGGCTGACAATAATCTGAACTTATTTTGGTTGGCACAGCACAAAAACTCGCAGTCAAAGAGTTGATATCCTTCTCCATCACATGTTGAGTGCAGAGCTGGGCAAAACAGAATGCTCTAACGCATAAATGGTTTCATCCATAGTTCTGGTTAGCATATTAAGTGTGTTTGGTAATGCGGTGCAGGTGGTTTTGCAAAAGTGCGTTTGGGCTGAATGCTTTTTTATGTTTCCAACATCAATATATCATAATCATCCAAAAACACCTAGAAAAGCATCAAATTGATGCCTTTTCAGCGCAAACGCACTTTGAGAAGCACTTTCAAATGCAGTGCAAGCGCATTACCAAACATAGCCTAAATCTCAAATCTCTCTCAAATTTAAATTTTGTTGCCTAAAGATGCATGCATGTATGTGAAAACTTTCTTCATTTTTCAAATCATTGTACAATCATGAACTGCTATTGAGATTGAAGGTTGTCAAAACCAAACAGGACCTGCTGGTTCAACCAGGTTACACTTGAACCAGTCAATGCTCCAGTTTGGTTAGAACAAAAACTTTAGTTGGTCAAAACCGGTCTACAAGTTGACCTGATGGGTTAATTGTTAAGCGTTCTATCCAAGAGTGGTTTTGCACTTTTGAACCGTACTTATAAAAAGAAGACTCAGGTCAGTAATACCACTGGACCAAAGACTTAATATGATGTCTTAATGCCATGGAAGCATTATCCCATCATATATGCAAACCCTTTTCTTATGTTTATAAGAATGCATGATTTATACAAATCTCTCGTTTTCTTTTTATAGTATGATATATGCAAGTTCTAGTGGTTTTTTGTAATTGATGTATTTTTTGCAATTTCAACAGGGTTTCTACCATTTTAACTAGGAAAAAATAGAGAGAAGGTTTTCCTTTCTGCTTCAGAACTCAAGCTAGTCTATAATCTGAATGTTGTTTGGCGGAATTGTCAGAGGAGCTCAGCCATACTCTTTATCAAAATGATGCGTTAATTCTGTGTTTCTGAACAATGAAATCTTGAAGCTGTCCTGCTCTATTATGGTCAACATGAAAATTTGTCGTCGCAAAAATGCGCGTCTGCAAAAACTCTTTTGCTTCAAATTTTCTTTTGTTGTTGTTCTTTCCACTCAAACAATCTGATTGTAATATGAATCTCTTCCTTTATGTTTGTTAACGTAATGAAGTACTAGGTTCTTGTGTATTTAGTTCAGATTCTGCCACAAATTCTCCGCTTAAATGAAATAATTAATAATAACAATAAAGTTAAATTATGTTCTTGGTATGGAGTACGATTCTGCGAGAATTGTTCTCACAGCAGCACCTATGATTAAATTCTGTATTTTATTATTTGCTCGACAAAATGTTTCATGACATGAATGACTATCGGCATCAGGACCAAAAAATAAGAAGATGTGGAGAGATTTGCATCTGCCTTGGCCAAGTAAGTTGAAGTCTATTGTTTAAGATCTTATGGATGTAGGGGCATTAGACTTTATAGGCATTAACATGTCCTAGACCTTTTCTAGAGTTACTTTCTGGTGGATTATCTGCATTGAAAATGAAGTCCACAGAGACCAAATTAGGGCTTTATAGCATTATTTAAACTCTTGAACGACGTACAAATAAACTGCAGGGGAGGGAAAGGGAGATGAGAAGCATGAAAGGAGAAGTGGAGCTCAACATTCCTGCACAGAAAGCTTGGGAGATGTACAGAGACAATGAAATCATTAGCAAAATAAATCCTGAAATGCTTGCCCTTGCCGAATACATAGGTGGAGACGGAAGCCCTGGAAGTCTCAGGCTCTTCAGGCTAAGACTTGGTATTTTCTCTCCCACAACTTAATGTTCTTCTTGTAGATATTGTCCCTAACCATGTATTTGCTAACTTGATATTAAGATATCAACCCACCACATTAATTTACCAGTCCTTCACTGTGTTTCACGCATTGGTAAGCAGCTATGTGAAGGAACCCATGCAGAAGATAGAGAAGGTAGAGATTGGAAGATCAGTCACAAATAGCGTTGTTGGGGGTCGCCTTAGGGACATGTATGATCCATTTAGGGTTACATTTTCATTAGTTCCAGTTCAAGGAAAACGAAAAGAGGAGGAGAAATGTATTGCTGAATGGAAGGCTGCTATGATCTACTGAATTCATCAAATGCCCCCACCACACAAAGCGAGGGATGCTGCCCTAGGTTTCCTCAAGTCGTTCGACAAGTTTGAGCTAAGCTATTAAGTGTGTAAAATGTTCTATTTATGAACACCAAACTTATATATATATGTGTTGAGAAAAATCATGATTGTTATAGTATTGTTCGTACAATATTTACGTTGAGAAATATTTCAGTTCTCATATTCTACCTTTGGAATTAAACCCTAGTTGACATGGTCATCTGGAATAAATTTGACAAGTTCCGATTGGATATAAATTTAGCTTCAACGTGAAAAGTTGGTTCAGAGATACATACTTACTTATTATCAAAACAAGAAAAGCAAACATTACGTGAATTATTTTCTTCCATATTTTATGAAAAAATATAATTGAGATTGAAAGAGAGATGATCTGTGCAATATTTGAGAATGCAAAAAAATAAAAATAAAAAAAATAATTGATAAATAAATTATATGCCTATGCCCTTATATTTATATTTTTCGACGTCCATTACCCGCAACATGTTTTTAGCCAAATTAAGACAGCATATAAAACAACTTTCTTTCAAAAAAAAAAAAGAAGCTCCATAATTGATAAATACATGGAAAGGAACTTAATTATGAGACAAATTTGTTACACTGCGGAACCGTGGTGAAGTAATTTTTTTTTTTAAGAAATCGAGACAGTACCCTAATAATTTATTAATAAGAAATAAATAAAAATACAAGGGGGACAATCCAAGCTAAACCAATATACTAGGGACAAAGAAGCTTTACCCCTAAAAGCAGGATGACATCCTCTTGTTAAACAAACCCATCCTATCTTATCTATTAGCCACTTTTACATCAAGTGGTAACTGAAAATTAAATCTATAGGTACTCGTAGTTTTATGTTGAATAACGTTGTTAATCAACTTATCTCGCTATCATGTTTTGCACCATCCGGATATATGTAACCATCCGATTGGCCATTACTTTACGAAACTCACGAAAAGAGTAAGTGTATAACCAAGGGACCTTATTTATGCCTAATATTGTATTACAACCAACATAAAATCTGATTCAATAATGACCGAATCTAAATCCAATTCCTTACAGAGGACTAAACCATCATGAAAGCTAGCGAGTTCGGCCTAAGAATTCATACCCTCTCCATAAAAATTAGCAAATCCTACGACAAAAACACTCGTATCATCCCTAAGCACTCCTCCTCTTACGCAAAAACCATCCCTAGCCGACCCATTTACATTCAATGTAAACTTGCACGGAGGGGCGGCTCCCACTGAGCCATTTTCCTTTCATGAATTTTGGTCGAACTGGATCAAGACCAAGCTCCTACACTTTTCTTATGCCGTACATATTCATAGGCTTTTTGGGGGCATATAAGATACACATATCTTATAGGTCCCTTTTAAATCTCTAAATAATGCTAGCAAAAATCATCGATTCATCTTCATATTTGACCTTATATATACCTTTTCATATTTCTCATAGAACAACATAGAAACTACTAACTTGACACACACTTGATCGAGTATTGATGGAGGTAAACTAGGTTTTGCACAAATCTCCATAGAGCCCAAAAAATACCTAAGGTCAAAAATTTTCCTAAAGTGTGCCTAAACCTCGAAGCAATCTGTGACTCCATAAACAAGTGTGCTAAGGTCTCCTCCTTATGTTCCCGACATCGGAGGCATATAGAAACTATAGGGATACGAAGTTCCTTTATCCTAAAGTCAATTAGTAGAGGACCACTAAACCATTTCTAAATGAAAATAGCCACCCTTGTTGGTATATAAGCATTTTGAATCCTTTTAGTCCACGACCACTTAGAAGAGGTAGTGTGGCAATGGTTTCAAAAAGTCTTTGTTTTGAAATCACCTATTTTAGTTAAAGTACAAATCAATTTTTCAAATTGAAAGTGCATTACCTCATTATGGTATCTAGCGAGGAATAAACGACAAGAATTTAGTTAAGTCCTGAAAGCTCGTCTAACGTTGAGTCTCTCATCCACGAGCCTCGGGGCCTACGATGGGGTACCATACTAATTAACACTCCAAAAGGGATGGATCCCTTTCCTATTATTCACTCAAAAAAATAAAAAAGATTACTTAAAATGTAGGATAATGGGATCTCGCCATGTAAGTAGAAGAACAAAGCAACGAGTCATGCTAATGTGTATTGTTAAACTTTATACCATAAGAAATTTTTAATAGCGCTTACGGGTTTGAACTTTTGGAAAAAGAAGGTCATAGAGAAACTAAGACTGGGGATAAACTAGGAAGATTGTGAAAGTTAAGTACTAATTTTAACAAAGGAAAAAACTAAAACAAATGGAGGTTTCACTCTAGATTAGCTAGAGTAAAACACCTACAAAACGGTTTATTTTTGTACCTTTTTGGCCTAAGCCATTTTTTTCTAAAACTTTTAAGTGAATTTTTTTTTTTGAAATTTTAGGTATTTTTAAACTTTAGTCCTTGAAATTATCAGTTTGTATTGAATAGTTCCTTAGCTTTATTTGTATCACAAAAAGGTCCTTAGAAAGTAGAGAGAAGGTAGAAGAACGAGAGAGAGAGAGAGAGAGAGAGAGAGAGAGAGAGAGAGAGAGAAAGAGATCACTTAAGAGCTACAATTCAACAAAATTGGTTTTTATGTGTTTTTCTTCAAAGTATACACTTGTTGATTATTGTTTTGCTACCAAAATAATTGGGAAAAAAGAGACGAAATCTCAAAAAAAAATTGAGTTTTAAAATTTGATTAGATAATTTTTTATTTTAGAATGGGTTTAAGAATATTTTGAGATTTGAAATGGTTTTTGAGTTTTTGAGGTGATTCTATGGTGTCCGGAAATAAAATTTGGATAAAAATTGGGTGTGGAGGTAAAAAACGGTGGCTTTCTAATTTTCTAACAACTAATTTTTAGAAATTTCAACAAGCGTGACTTTTTGAACATGCACACATGAATGGTAAGGTATGCTCATCTCAAGCACCTATTAAAAGAAAACAACCTCTCAATATACACCTCATTATGGTGTTCATTAACAAAAAAAAAAAAAAAAAAGACCTAGACTCTTGCATATACCCTATGAAGAACGACCATATCTACAAGTGGGCTCTTCTCCTCTCTCCTATAAACTCTATTAAAAAAACTTGAAATTCACCATAATTCTATATAACTCTATTATTTTTACTAAATATAAAAATAGATACAAGGTTTAAGGTTTACTTATTGGAAAATATTGCCGATTGCTAGAAAAAGTTGGATCGGTATAAAAAAATATTTTTCTTGACCTCATGTAGTCTTATTAAGCTTCCTCTAATTGGTTGAAGATACATTTGGTTTAGAGGTGGCTTAATGAGTCGTATTGATCATGCATTTGCTAGCTCTCGGTGGTCTCTTAATTTTATAGATTTAAAACTCGTTAGTCTTCCTAGAGGGTTGTTTGATCACTCGCCTAATTTTCCTTGGCTTTGAATCGTTAAGTGGGATTGGAAACCTTTTCTCTTTCTTGATTGTTGGTGGTCTTATCCTCTTTTCCATGAGTCTTTAAAGAGTATGTGGAAGGAAGTTTGTTAGGTCGAGCTAAATTGCTTCGAGTTACAAAGAAACCGAGTTTGCTTCGGTTGAAATTGAAAGAGTGGAATTCATTAATCTTTGGGAATTTGGACTAGTAGTTAAAGGACTTGGAAAAAAAAATCAATTCCTTAGAATTATTAAAAGAGTTTTAGGTTCTTTCACGCTAAAAAATAGATGATCTTCGAAACTCTTAATCTCAACTATGGATTGTTAGCGAAATCTCGATTCTCTAAGGAAGTAGAAATCTAGAGTTAATTCGTGCAAATTGGATGAAAAAAATATAAAATTCTTTCATATGAATACTTCAATCGCAGTAAAAAGAACAAATTAGCTCAAATAACTCGTTAATGAGATATCTTACTCGGATCTTGATGTTATCAAAACTAAGATAGTGGGTTTTTTCTCTAATTTATTTGCCAATATCTCTTGGGATCAACTAGTTCTAGGAACTAATGGTTTCAAAAAGTTAAGTCCAAGATCAACATCCGATCTAGAGAAAATGATCTCTTTTGGAAAGGTTAGAGAAGTAGTGTGGAGTTTTGATGGCTTTAAAGCTCTAAATCCGATGGGTATAAATTTAGCTTCTATCAAAGAGCTTAAGGTTTGATTAGTAATGATATTTTTTCCATGGTCTCTAAATTTATTAGAATCGGACACATGTAAAAGATATTAACAATTCTTTTGTTACTCCGATTCCAAAAATCAAAGGGACGGGTTCCTTTTTTGATTTCTTTTTTTATTTTAGACCCATTAGCTTAGTTCATGGTCTTTATAAGATAATTGTAAAGTTTTTATCCTTAAGACTTTTAAAAGTTATGAATGAAGTGGTGAGTGATTACCGATCCGCTTTTATATCCAATAGAAAAATTCTAGATAATGTTTTGATTGCCAATAAGGTGATTCACAACATGAAGAAGAGGAATCTTGTTGGATTCATTTTCAAGATTGATTTCCAAATAGCTTATGATTGTGTGCTATGGGACTATATTATTCAGATTTTAGAGTACATGGGTTTTGGTTAGAAATGACGGAAGTTGGATCAAGAAATGCATTTCTATAGCTAGAATTGCAATTCGATTAATATGTCTCCTGCTATTGAATTTGACATGGCAAAAGGGATTCTTCAAGGTGACCTCCTCTCACATTTTCTTTTTAACATTGCTAATAAAAGTCTTTCAATCTTGTTTTATAGAGTTACAAATTAGGGTATTTTTAATGGCATTGACTTGGGAGGTAATATGTCTATTAACCACTTACAATATGCCGATGACACGAGTCATCTTTTATCTTAACAATTATGATAATTTAATGAATGTTAAAAGGATTTTACGAGTGGTTTGAATTATGCTTGGGGTTAAAAGTCAACTACTACAAGAGTTCTCTTATAGGCATAAATAATGAAACTATTTGTGCTGATATGGCTACCTAATTAAGATGCAAATCGGGCTCTCTCTCCTCTAATTACCTTGGATTACCTCTAGGAGCTAGTCCAAGACGTATCTCTACTTTTAAGCTTATGCTAGACAAAGTGAGAAATCGTCTCTTATCATAGAAAGAAAATCTATTATCATTAGGTGGAAGAATTTATCTCATTAAATCATCCTCTCATGTTTTTCTATATATTACCTTTCTCTATTTAGAATGCCTAAAGGTTTGCTGAAAATCCTTATTTTATACAACAATGTTTCTTATGGAGTGGAGGTTCAAAAAATCGAAAGGTTTATAAAATGGTTTGGCATATGGTGGCTAGACCAAAAGAAATGGTGGGATAGGTATTGGTTCCATAACGAGAGAAGAATAAGACCTTGCTTTTCAAGTGGATATGGAGACTTAGTGGTAGTAACTCTTCATGCCGACAAACATTTATCCTTCGGAAATACAAACCAACATATAGGAATGGTCCCCCTTATTTTACGGGTAATTTATCTTCTTACTAGAAAGATACTTCGGTTTACTTAAGTTCAACTCCTTGCAATCATGTTATCAAAGAAGGGCTTCGATTTAGCACTGGTAATGGTAGATCCACCATGTTTTGGAAAGATATATGGGCAAGTAACACAAATTTCAACTTAACTTTTCCAAGTCTATACAAGTTAGCTATTGACAAAGATTGCAAAGTTTCGGATATAGAGGAGTGTTATGGTTCAAGTTGGTTTTGGAAATTTAACTAGAGAAGGGAGATTCATGATTGAGAGGTTTAAGGAGTAGAAGGGTTATAATATTTAATTTTAAATATTCACTTGAATCAAAGTGTTGATGATAAGAGGATATGGGCTTATGACAAAAAAGGCTTATTCACTCGTCAAGTCTTGTTCTTCAATCCTATATTCGACTTTGCTACATGGAGACTTACCTATAGTTTCTTCGTTTAGAAAGGCTTAGCTCCCATAAAAGTAAAAGCTTTTGCTTGGTTAGCATCTCATTATAAATTACAAACAAAGGGATTTTCTTTTCTATATCGATCTAGTAGAGTATTCGACTAGCTTATGTCCTTTCTATAATGAATATCGGGAAATTGTGCCTTATCACTTTCTCTATTGCCATGAAATTTGGCGATTATGGTATAAAATCTTTTGTTGGTGGCATTGTTCATGAATTGTCCTTATATCTATTGAGAATCTTTTTCAGCGAGTGGAGTTTTTATATTCATGGGCATATGTAGAAAAAAGTGTTGTTTCTTGTTCTCTATTCAAGTCTATGGTCGATCCGGCTAGTGTGAAATGAGCTTATCTTTAACCACACCACTCCCGATTGGGAAACCATTCTTTCATTGTTTTTTTTATAGAGTGATGTATTAGGCTAGATATATTGATGATCGTTTTGCTTATTCCAAAAATGATCTTTTGCTTAGCTCAAATAAAATCAAGGGGTGGATAAATACTTTAAGAACCCATCGTTTGGGTTCTTTGAACGGATAATTCATCTTCTTTTTTTTTTTAATTGTTATAGTCTAGTTTTACTCGCTTTTTTTTAGGAGGTTGCCATTTAATTTGTCTTCTTTTTTGTATTATAAACTACTACTTTAACCATTTTTTTGCTAGCTCTTTTCTTTTTAATATATTGATTGACTTTTTATTAAAAAAATGATATTGACAAATGCGGTAGGATTTGAGAATTTCAAAAAATCTAGTCGTTTCATCTTTTTCATCGTACCCACATGCGAATGATTAGTCTTCCTAAAAAAATAGAAGTACCAAAACAATGGACATAAATTACCCTAACAAAGACTCTAACCGTAATAGGCCAAAAGAGATGAATTAAACATTCTCTTGACTATCCTAAACATGACAAGTATTTTACTAAAACCCAAAATGTCCAGTTAGTCTTCACAACCACAATTGCAAAGACTTAAAGGTCAACTAATACATCCAAATAATACATATCATCATATAACCCTTGAAGGGTTTTTAAAGACTCCAACTAGATGAATGCTTAAAAAGACAGGAGTCCACCTACCAAACGACTTTATCTCGGACAATAGGCACAAACGATAGGGTCCAATCCCATTAATTAGAAATGGTAGATTGTGCATTTATTAAATAGAGTACACAACCAAGGTTCAATGTCTAACTAATTTCAATTAAAAAGCCATTATATATATATATATATATTCTCCAAATTATGTAATGTCAATATGAAATACATTTGTCTTATCACTATCTTTTTCTCTATGTAACTTGACAAGACCATCGGTTATATAAGCAATCATATGAGATAAGGTTTCTAGTTCCGAATCTCTCTGCAAACAATCACTATTCATCATCGCTTATGTTATTATATTAGTATATCACTATCTTATCGAGCTACTATATCTTTTCTTATAATGACTTTGTTATCGGAGGGTCGTCTAATCCATAATGAAAACTTGTTTTGAAGTCAAATTAAAAAAAAAAAAACTGAATTTATTTTGGTTTTTTTGGGTAAGTGTCCAATTTTATTTGCTTGATACATGAATTTTTTAAATTTGAATATTTTAATAGATTATTTAGCTTAATTTTTTTTTAATAGGAAATGCAAGACTTAGAAGTTAATAAATCATTAGTTTGTATGTCTATTATTGTTGAAAGATCTTAATAATTAATGTCATTTTTTTTATTTTGTACTATCAACTATGTTATGTTGTTAAATGAATGCTAATATGGTTCATGAAGTTAATAATTTATTTAAACAAATATTTATTATATTTCATATACACTAACTTATACTATTTAAACTTAAGAAAGAACTTCATCATAACACACTATTTTTGGTCTATTTATACTATATTAAAAAAATTTAAAAAAAATTAAGAAAAAAATATTTTCATAAAAAAAAAAACCAAACTCGAAAACTAAAATTTTAATTTCATCAACCGAAAACTAATTACTCATCTCTAGATCTTTTAAGATTAAATATGATGGTTCATCACTACCTACTACTAATTATAAGATAAAAAATAAAAATAAAAATTATAGTTGGATGCATAGCAATATGAACTAAACTTTAGTATTGCCTTATTATTATTATTTTTTCTTTTCTTTTTTCAAATTTTCTTTCCATTTGCTTGATCTCCAAGCAGCCACATAGTAAATAGTTAGGGATACGTACGCGAATGTTGGAGAATGTTCTAGTCAAGATGGTGGGACCTACTAAACTTGTAGAAACGTTTTCCTTTTTCAGACCTAAAGTCGTTTGTCATCTTTCATTGGAAATTTAAGAATCTTGACGCGGTTTGAGCTTAGCCACAATGCGTTTTTTGCTCCCTATATAAAGGTGCTGCCTTTGCTTTCTTTAGTCCAACATCCAACGACTCCCAGATATTTGAAGTCAATGAGCAAAGTAAACAAAAATGACTCAAGAGAGCATGATCCCAAATTACAATTTCAAGTTCTGCTAGGATCTTGACATCCCAAATCACAATTTCAACGCAATTTCAAGACTAGTTATAATTGTAGATTGAGGGCAAGATCCCAAATTATATTGAGTACTGATATTGACTGCAATATTTGCAGAGATTGAGGGCAAGATCCCAAAGTATATTCTGCTTCACTTCCTGTTTTAGGATGAGGAATGAAAAATCTGCTTATAACATTGTGAGTGAATTTTATTTATTTTAATTTTTAGTTTTCAGTTTTTATTAAATCAATCAATACCTGCTGTATATTCTGTATATTTCTTTTCGTTTATGTTCTTGCAGTTATGCATCTAAAATTGTAAAAGATGACAAGCTGCACAACAGTGCCTTTGGTATCCAACATTGGAGACAGATCGATTCCAACGACAGAAGAACTAGTAAATCATTGTCTAAATCATAAATTGCTTGGGAATGATCAGCTAGTAATCAGCAGAATCCCATCCAACGTTGTAGACACATTTAGTCCAACTACAGAAGAACTAAAAAATCATTGTCTAAATCATAAATTGTGTGGGAATGATCAGCTAGTGATCAGCATAATCCCATCCAACATTGGAGACACATTTAGTCCAACTACAGAAGAACTACAAAATCATTGTCTAAATCATAAATTGCTTGGGAATGATCAGCCAGTGATCAGCAGAATCCCATCCAACATTGGAGACAGATTTAGCCCAACTCCAGAACAATTAGTAAATCATTATCTAAACCATAAATTGCTTGGGAATGATCAGCTAGTCAGCAGAATCCGGCAGCTTGATATTTACCAGTTTGATCCCTGGGATTTACCCGGTAAGCATACGACGTTTTCACTGTCTTTGTTTCTTTCTGTTAGAAATTTTCGAGTGTGAAGTAGTTGTGGTAATTATTTTTGTAGGGATAGATTCAAATGATGGAGAGACATATTTTTTTTCTCCTCTCCATGCGAAGAATCCATACACAAACAATGGGAAAATCAATAGATCAACAAGGACAGGTTCCTGGAAAGGTAAAGGAAAGGATAGTAAAATAAAACACAATGGCGAAGAGATTGGTATAAAGAAAATTTTTGTTCATTCTTGTAATGAGAATGAGATCAAGTATGTGATGCATGAGTACAGTGCAAGTTCCAATTTACCTAACCCGGTACGTATTTTTTGTGTGTGTGTGTGTATATATAGTTAAAGTCCGATCAGCAAATTGGTACCTTACCATCATTTTTGAGTTGTACTTTTTCTTTAATCCCGTTTGTCTGTCCAATTAACTTTTGCAGAGAGCTCTGGTTCTGTGTAAAGTAATGAAGAAGAAAGATAAGAAGAGTAAAGGAGCATGTAAGAAGGTTAAAATGACAGAGGAGAAAGCTGAAGTATTGCCATATAACATGGATATTAGTACTCCAGCATCTGATGATGGCTCTGATGTTGAGAAATGGATTAGAGGTGAGGAAGGTGTTTAAAGTTGTCATAATTATCGTATTCTTGAAACCTATTCATCAAAAAGATAATAATATCATCTTGAAAATCAATATGCAGATCAGCAGGCTGAAAATTTAACCTGTGATGGTGGTGGAACAAACCATGTTCCAGAGTTTACAAGTCTTGAAGTGGTGAGTCTTATTAATTATGGGCACTTTTCATCAATGTTTATCTAAGCTTAATGCTTTCTTGATTCTCTCTACAGATAGACCATGAGATACTACCACATCTGATTTCGTTCCCTGGTTATGATCAGCAGTATTATAGCCTTGACCACTTCACACTAGATAAGCAGTCACTGATGCTTACAGAGCAACTCTCCACTAACAATGGCCCTGCAGGAACTTCCGTGTCTGGACCAGAGGAAGATCTGTTCCTCGGGCTTGAACCTTTGTGGGCATGACCAGTCAGTGGATAGAGTTTCTTACCAATGCCCTGTGCTGAGAAGAAACAGATAAAGCTAGAAAATAGATAGAAAGAAAGAAACGAACTGCTTTTAACTCCTAAGTTGATTTGATCGCTGGGAGTAATATTTACACTAGTAATCAGCAAAAGTTTATGTAAGTCACAGATGTGTGTAATTTCTATTTGTAGTTGTTTGTGTTATTTTTATTCGATAGATGAGTAGCTTGTTCTGCAAGGCTGTTGCTCCCCTGTATTCTGAGTTTTAGTTCTTGTATCGAGAATAAAGAGCAGCAGTCCAATTCAATGGCTATGAGCAGGACAAGCGAGTTTAGTTTTTCTTCCTCATTGGTCCTAATTGTATAACCACTGTGGTTGGACCTATATATGTAATGATGTGAGCATAATATTTATAGAACTTGAACCCTAAAATAACTGAAGTTAATGTACATCCTTGTCTTGAATATGTTTGTCTAACAAGTTCTATATGCTTTTGCCAATAGCGTTATCTGTCCTGCCTTAGGTGGAGCACTTATAAGTTGAATGTGGTTCTTGCCCTTTATCCTCCGGTAACAATTAATAAGGTTAAGATTAGCCGGGGAAGAAACTTCAGTAGTACTTCTGTTCATATCAGAACCTGTAGATGGCAACATTGTATAGACCTATTAGAACAAAAAAGAGCATTTCATTTACTAGCAACCAATGAAGAGTAAGTTCAACTACTGTCTGAGCAGTGATGGTGATGACTATTGATCTGGATATTCTTGCCATTTCGAAAGAAATGGATCTTAATTTTCTGCTGTTCCAAGAGGCGAGGAGATGCTAGAGACAGTCGATACCATTGATTTAAACAACTGTCATTATATAATGGTTTTAATTAGGGCATCCTGTTACTGTTATTCAATATTATATAACAGTCATGATCGTTATTTTACTAATTTTACTATTGCGGTAAGCTGTAATTTGCGATCGTAACTATGTTCATTTTTTTAACCTCATTCGCAATTTAAAACTATGGTCGATACAGCGGGTAACAAAACTATATGAATCACTCAATCAAAAGCATCAGATCAGTGATACAATCAGCTAGAATCTTAGAACTTGCCTACCCCAACCACGTTGCCACAGAGACCAAACGATGGATAAATATGCTTACAGTTTCTTAACCTTCGGCACCAATTAAACAGAAGATTAATTTGCTACGAATTTATGGAAGATAGGAGGAAGAAATATGTTAAGGATCTCTTGTGCAACAAAGGATGAACATTTTTATAGATATTAGACGTCGACCATTTCGTATTTGTATACCAATGTTTTCAGAGGAAAATCACTAAGAGTAAACTCCTGAACCAAGATTTCACCCCTTGCTAAGAAAACACTATGTTAAATACCACCTTTCGAATCAGTCCAGGACAGTGAGACTACCTTCTCTGCTGTGTGGTTTGAGCGACTAGCATGAGCACCAGCAAGAAGATTAGAAAAGTAGACTAGGCCTGATGATATTAAACTCTGACCATTACAGCAATTATGCTGCTCAAGAGACGATAACTGTAATGACAATGAGCAGAATAATCCAAAAATCACAAGGACCAAGCAAATGATCTGCATGAGAAAAGTTTATATGTCTCCCCATCATTTTTAACATAATATAAACTTTTTAATAATATTTATAGCTGCATAATATTTGATCAAAGATAAGAGAATGAAGTGTGCAGTTAACAACATATTTGGTGATATGAGAAAGGAGGCAGGCAGTGTAGCTATACAAAAGTTCTGCTGTACTATAAGAGGAAGCGCATCAACTGAAATCATTTGGATCATATATATCTCACAAATATTTATTATCTTACATATACACTAATTTATACCATTTAAACTAAAGAAAGAACTTCATAAGTCATAGCACGCTATTTTTGGTCCATTTATATTATATTAAAAAATTTAGGAAAAAAAGAAAAAAAATATTTTTCATCAAAAAATAAACTCGAAAACTAAAATTTTGGTTTCATCAACCGATAACTAAAAACTCATCTCTAAATACTTTAAGATTAAATGCGATGATTCATCACTAGCTACCAACTATGAAATTTTTAAAAAAAAATTAAAAAATAAAAATAAAAATTATAGTTAGATGCATAGCAAAAGCACAGCCTTTAAACTAAATCTTAGTATTGCCTTGTTATTATTATTATTTTCTTTTCTCAAATTTTCTTTCCATTTGCTTTATGCCCAAGAAACCACACAGTAAATAGTTAGGGGTAAGTACGCGAATGTTGGAGAATGTTCTAGTAAAGATGGTGGGACCTACTAAGCTTGTAGAAATGTTTTCCTTTTTCAGACCTAGAGTCGTTCAAGTCATATTTCAGTCAGAAATTTAAGAATCTTGACGCGGTTAGAGCTTAGCCTTAATGCATTTTTTTCTCCCTATATAAATCCTCTGCCTTTGTTCTCTTCAGTCCCATATACAGCCGCTCCCAGGTAAGGTCCTCACTTTTTATGCATTTCGTTTTTCCCATTGCAAAAAAATAAAAATCGAGGCCTGGCTAAGCCCCAATTCCTGTTTTAGGAAGAGGAATGAAAATTCTGCTTCTAACATTGTGAGTGAATTTTATTTATTTATTTTAATTTTTAGTTTTTATTAAATTAAACAATACCTGCTGTATATTCTGTACTATATTGCTATTTCTTTTCGTTTATTTTCTTGCAGTTATGCATATAAAATAGTAAAAGATGACAAGCTCGACAACAGAGTCTTCGGTATCTAACATTGGAGATAGATTTAGTCCAATTGAAGAAGAACTAGTAGATCATTATCTAAAGCAAAAATTACTTGGGAATGATCAGCTAGTCAGCAGAATCCCTCAACTTGATATCTACCAGTTTGATCCCTGGGATTTACCCTGTGAGCATACGACGTTTAATTTGTCTTTGTTTCTTTCTGCTAAAAATTTTCAAGTGTGAACTAGTTGTGTTAATTATGTTTGTAGGGATACATTCAAACGATCGAGAGAAATATTTCTTCTCTCCTCTCCATGCTAAGAATCCATACACCAATAATGGGAAAATCAATAGGTCAACAAAGACAGGTTCATGGCATGCTACGGGAAAGGATCGTAAGATAACTTCTGAACACAATGGCGAAGAGATTGGTACATGTAAAATTTTTGTTCATTCTTGTATTCAAGATGGGATCAAATATGTGATGCATGAGTACAGTGCAAGTTCCATTTTACCTAACTCGGTACGTAGTGTGTGTGTGTGTATATATTAAAGACTGATCAGCAAATTGGTATCATACCATCATTTTTGAGTTGTACTTTTTCTTTAATCCCGTTTGTCTGTCCAATTAACTTTTGCAGAGAGCTCTGGTTCTGTGTAATGTAATGAAGAAGAAAGATAAGAAGAGTAAAGGAGCATGTAAGAAGGTTAAAATGACAGAGGAGAGAGCTGAAGTATTGCCATATAACATGGATATTAGTACTCCAGCATCTGATGATGGTTCTGATGTTGAGAAATGGATTAGAGGTGAGGAAGGTGGTTAAAGTTGTCATAATTACGGTATTCTTGAAACCTATTCATCAAAAAGATAATATCATCTTGAAAATCAATATGCAGATCAGCAGGCTGAAAATTTAACCTGTGATGGTGGTGGAACAAACCATGTTCCAGAGTTTACAAGTCTTGAAGTGGTGAGTCTTATTAATTATGGGCACTTTTCATCAATGTTTATCTAAGCTTAATGCTTTCTTGATTCTCTCTACAGATAGACCATGAGATACTACCACATCTGATTTCGTTCCCTGGTTATGATCAGCAGTATTATAGCCTTGACCACTGCACACTAGATAAGCAGTCACTGATGCTTACAGAGCAACTCTCCACTAACAATGGCCCTGCAGGAACTTCCGTGTTTGGACCAGAGGAAGATCTGTTCTTCGGGCTTGAACCTTTGTAGGCATGACCAGTCAGTGGATAGAGTTTCTTACCAATGCCCTGTGCTGAGAAGAAACAGATAAGCTAGAAAATAGATAGAAAGAAAGAAACGAATTGCTTTTAACTCCTAAGTTGATTTGATCGCTGGGAGTAATATTTACACTAGTAATCAGCAAAAGTTTATGTAAGTCACAGATGTGTGTAATTTCTATTTGTAGTTGTTTGTGTTATTTTTATCCGATAGATGAGTCGCTTGTTCTGCAAGGCTGTTGCTCCCCTGTATTCTGAGTTTTAGTTCTTGTATCGAGAATAAAGAGCAGCAGTCCAATTCAATGGCTATGAGCAGGACAAGCGAGTTTAGTTTTTCTTCCTTATTGGTCCTAATTGTATAACCACTGTGGTTGGACCTATATATGTAATGATGTGAGCATTATATTTATAGAACTTGAACCCTAAAATAACTGAAGTTAATGTACATCCTTGTCTTGAATATGTTTGTCTAACAAGTTCCATATGCTTGTGCCAATAGCCTTATTCTGTCCTGCCTTAGGTGGAGCACTACAAGTTGAATCTTTATCCTCCGGCAACTACTAATAAGGTTAAAATTAGCCGGGGGAGAAACTTCAGTTTTACTTCTCTTCATATCAGAATCTGTAAATGACAACATTGTATAGAAAAAAATGAGCATTTCATTAATTTACTAGCAACCAATGACGAGTATGTTTGGCCATTGGATCTCCTATAGAAAATCTTCGAGAAATCATTTAATATCATGAATCAAATCAATAACATTATATATCACAAATAATTAAATTTGTCCAAATCATCTATTAGTAAATCACATTTACAGCATAAATCATTTCATGTTTAATAATGCATCCATGACAAATGATGATGTAGACAAATTTAGTAATTAATGCGTAGAAATTTTATTAGTTCGCTCTATGATTCCAACTGGTAGACCACATGCATGTAATAATTTTTTGAAAATTTTTATTTAATTTTATTTTTATCGATACCCTTTTTCTTTCCTAGAAGAATGAGGAAATTTTGGTAACAGAGAAAGACTAATTATTAGTAGGAGAAGCAAAGCGATCCTATTGGAAGTCTAAAGAGTAAAGTGAACTAGAGACAAGAAAAGCAATTTTTTGCCTGTATTTTATTTCTATAATCGCAACTTTATATTCTGAATTCACAAAATTTTGGACCCAGTAAAGAAAACCCAACAAAACATTTAAATAGTACTTGTCATTGTGGTTGCAATCTAAAAAGAAATAAAGGAAATTAGAATAAAACTAAGATATTCTCTTATAAAATTTTATTAGGTAAGAAGAAGTGGCATTTTTTTTGTATCAAAGTCATATATAAATAGTAAATTTTCATTAAAACCCTAAAGCAATTCAAAAGGAAAATAAATTCAAAAAATTAGGAAAAATCTCGAAAAACAATAAAAGTGGATTTTGAGGGTTTTAATGATGTTTTTTTTTTTGGCCAAAATCACCGTTACGTGTATGAGTTTTAATCGTTGGTCCGTTTAGCATCGAATTAGATTCAAAAAACCTCAAAATTGAGCCAATAATTTTTATTCAGTTTTTGTCGCATTCATGCTGTTTCATGAATTCTAAGATTTGTTGATCCATGTCAAGTTCTAATTAAAATCCATTAGCTTTTAAGTTTCAAATAGCTAAATAACAGTAAAATCCAGGACATGGTTTTAAATTTAAAAGCACCTATTCCACTATCAATTGAACACCCAATCACTTAAAAAGGAGAAGTGTGTTTTATTTATCGCATGCATGTCATGTGTTATAGGTTGCTAGAAATGCTAAACTTAAAATTTTAGACAAAGAACAGGTGGGATTTTACCTTGTAAAAGCCAATCCAATAACTACCAAGGAATAGTCAGCCCAACAGACAGCTTCACTTTTACTAAAAATCTGTCTTTTTGTGTTCAGTTTTGGTCATCTGGCTAGCAAATGTCAGTTTTGGGTTTAGGTGGGGAAAGAGAAGGGTTTTAGTAATTTTTTAGTTGTTTTGATTCAATGGAATGTATGGGATATGAAATGTCATCAAAGAGATAAATTATACATTAAAATGATTTGATTAACAATTTAAGGGAAGAACTACCTAAACTAAAATGACTAAATTTGAATTTCTTCAACTAAAATTTAAGACAAGTTCAAGAACTGCGAGCAAGAATAATCCAAATGCCAATCTTACTTTCCCATTTTTAACTTCTCGCAGCTTCTCTCTAACTTCCAATCTCATGGGCTAAACCTGACGGACCTTGTTGTCATCTCAGCAGGCCACACCATTGGAGTTGCTCGGTGCTCCATTTTCCGCAACAGGATTTATAATGATACCCATAAAAACTATAAATTTGCTGCTTCCTTGAAATACAGCTGCCCAAGAACTGGAGGTGACAATAACACGAAGCCTCTTCACCCAACTACAAGATTTGATGCACAATACTTCAGGGATTTGATTGTCAAAAAAGGTCTCCTCCGTTCTGATCAAGATTATTGTAACAAGATTGTAACAAGAGAATAGACTACTCTATCCCTTTTTTTTTAGGTTCTGAATTTATATACTAAAATTGACTATTTATCATTTCTTTTATACGACTATCTCTACATCACTACTTTTATAGGCCCTTACCTCTCTTTGTACATTAATTATTCATTAGAGGATTCTTCAATCCACAAAGGAGACTTATTTTGCCTCTCTCTCTATCTATTGTCCGATATTTTCATAAAAGAAAACATTGTATTATCAAACAATGAACCATAGACTTAAATTGACTCAGAAAACAGTCCAATAAGATCTTTGCTATGCAAGTCCATTGCACATCTCTCCATAGTTGTCTTGACATGTACATCATGTTGCATACTGTCTTAGGCTAGCAACATAAACTCTATCTATTTTTTCTCCATGAGTCTAAAGCTTCTGCCTACATATGCTTTCAAGAATTATTAGCATGTGTGCTTCGAATCGCTCCTATGAAATGGTCAAAACTAAGAATACTTTCAAGAATGCAGTCACTTCATCAGTTCTATTAAGTCATAAATAAAGATGAAAGGAAGGGAAAAAACTAAAAGAATGTTCAAACTTGAAGGGGTTGATTGAGACAAAATAAAGTTTTGGACTTCATTAGGACATACCATAAATTTTAAGGGGAAAAATAAATATTGACCTTGGACCAGGGTGTAGGACCATACAGGCCTGATTTAGGCAGGTCAGCAGCCCAAGCTTCTGGCCCACATGTTCAGTCCACGAAAGCCCGAATTTGGCTTTGTTAAACGAGTAAATTATAGATTAGTACCTCTATTTTTTAGAAAAGAATTATTTACCTCCTTTTATTTTAAAAATTAATTAAGTTTACTGACCAGTATTAACTATGCTTAAAACAAAAAAAATCGAAATTAAAAAAAACAATGAAAAAATCAAGTTAAAAGAAAATTTAAAAATATAAATACCAAAATTTAAAAAAAAAAAAACAAGAGAAACTATATAATTAAGCATATTTCTCAAAACTAGAGAAACTAATTTATAATTTACTCTTATTAAACTAATAAAGCTCTCTCTCTCTCTCTCTCTCTCTCAAGAAAACAGTAAAGGTATAATTTTCTCCTAGGGAAGGAACTTAAAATTTATAGAATTTCTGTTTGATGCTCTCAAGCTGATTTACTAAAATTGGAAGGATGAGAATTTAGAATAGTAAATGCTATTTATTTTTGTGTTCATCAAAATTTAATTGGATTTTCAAATCAAGCAAAGAAGTAAAAACATTAATATTGTTTTGATTGAAAACAAAAAAAAAAAAGATTTGAATCCTTTTAGATTTCTATAGAATCCAAATTGCATCATTTTTTAATTTGATGATTTAAATTAAATTAGAAAAATAAAATAATAGATAATTAATTTTTTAAAAATTTATCATACCCTAAATCAGAATCATACCATCAATTTCATCAACAGGAAGAATGTTTAAATTTGAAGAGCTTGATTGAGACTAAAAGAATATTTTTAGTTCTATTAATTCATAAATGAAGATGAAAGTAAGAAAAAATTGAAAAAATATTCAAACAGAAAGAATCTTTTAAGAGAAAACGAGCAAAAGAAAGTAAGTTTATCAAATTTCTCTCTCTATACTTCACCAAATTTTCATCTTTCTCTGGCAATTTTCTTTCACTTCCATTCAGCCATGAAAATCAACACTTTCTTTACTATACATTTATATGATAATTTTATCAATCTTGTTTGTTATAATTTCAACCTGCTACATTTAATCTTGTGTTGTACATATCATAGTATATGAATAGTTTAATAGGATGAAAAGAAAAAGAAGAAGAATAATTGGAGTAATTAAAAAAAAAAGCTTCATTATTTCAGCTGAAGTTATAAAAAAAAAAATTAAAGAATAAAAAGTATCATCAAAGAATTCTTGTCCTAATTCTATTAAGATATCCTTGTTTTACTTTAAATTATTTTTTATTCTTCTAATTTTTAGATAAAATACTGGGAGTTAATTATGTTCATTAGAAATAATTAATATTGAACAAATTCAAGTTTTTTCAATTTTCAATTTCCCTGTTGCAGGTTATTGGTCGACGAGTCGTTCCAAATTTGACACTCATGATGTATATAGCCACTATTTTCCACAAGCTTTAAAGTTCATCAAAGTCTATGTACTTTTTCTGCATTTTCCACTAGTTACCATTTAATTAATGAAACTTTGACCCGTAAGAGATGTAGACTCTTCACAAGACTCTCATTAATTGTGTATGTTTCTATTATATCTAGTAAATAAACAAAAATAAAAGACTGTTAATTTAAAGAATTGGACTCTTAAAATCGATTAAATATTAAGCTTAAAATCAATCAAATATTTGATATGGTTTGATGTTGATTTAATGTAGAAAGTGATGAATTTCATCTCAATTTATACAAAAATTAACATAAAAATACCATATTACTTGTAAAAATTAAATAAAAAAAGATAGAAAGAGACTAATTATGAAAAATAACTGTGCCTATTAAATGATATATATCATGGAGCAATTAGTTGTGCCTGTTATCGTGCTCATGATTGGGACATGGAGTCTTGTGTGCAACTTGTTAGCCTACTTCTATTCGTTATGCTCCTTAATTGATGAAATTAATTGTGTTTGCACTTCATTTTGTTAAAGATTTAATATAAAATCACTTTTAGGTCTTAATTAGCTACAAAGACAGGAGGAAAAAGAAAATGCTACTTGGAGATATAATGCTTGAATTTGGTTTGAAATTTGCATAAGAATTCGTAAGTTTGCATAAGTCACCGTAGCTTATCATTGAGAGACTGAGACATATTTGCCATTAACCAAAGAAAATCAGCAGGCTTCGCCGTCCTCTGTTTCAGAACAGAGAGGGAGTCCTATTTAAAGAGCTATCAAAATCTACACGATAGAATAATCACAATTGTGTTTAGCTAACTCAAATAAGGGAAAGTTAACAGTAAAGTTGAGGATTTCTTAAGGGTTTTAGTTGCTCGAACTTTGCTTAATTTTCTTGACTATTAAACAACAAAAAACGTTAAATGAAAGTAAACAAAAGGGGAAAAAAAATTGTCAGGCCATTCAGATTCTTGATCTAAATTGTTGGACTTCAAGACATTAATATCTCCTGTTAGCATTTTCAGCATTAATCTAGCTACACATGGCTGAAGCAACCTTGGTAGCTTTTGACTTTTCTATTTTGATTAAATAAAGGCAAGATGATGATTTCCATGAAATTCTTTCAAAATCGAGTAATGCTATGTAATATGGGCAAGGAAATCTTGTTGATTACTGCCGGTTTTTATATTTTGCATAGAACTAGTTAAATAAAATACAAAACAGAGAAAAAAAATCATTACAAACAACGTTTGGAAATTATTATGTAGAAAGAGAGATGTACTAACTCTCTATATTATGAAACACAGACATACTAGCTCTGTACATAATATAATATATAGAAGCTATTTTGCAAAATTAATATCTTGTTCGCCATATATATGTTGCTTTCTTTGCTTTCAATTTTCTAAAATTTTATGACATTTATATTATTGCATTTAGAAATAATAAATTTAGAAGTGAAAATCAGCCAAAAAAAAAAAAAATACTATGCTTTTGAAATTGTATGTATGTATGTTTGTGTGTGTGTATATATATATATGCAAGACCACATGTCACATGTCACAATGTGACAGCTTGTGGCATTTCTTGACGGATATTAACACCAAATAATTTGTTGCAGCAACATGCATGCTAGCTAATTTTATAACATTCCATCGTGTGTGTCAGCCAACATACAAAAGCCTAATTATGAGAGCTGAATTTTTAGGTGTTCACACTCAATTATATATTATTACCCACGGGTGTATAAAAACCTATACGTATAAGTTTTCGTATGAATATATATACGATAAGTGTTTTAATAATTTGGTACAAAATGGTTTTAAACCATTTCATTGGTGATGTACGGTGTGTTTTTACCATATGTATGTGTTTTAAAAAACAATAAGCATTGCATCTTGAGATGAATTTGAAAGTATCATCCTTAGTTCGTTTTTTTATTATGTTATATAATGTCTACTCATTGAGTTTTTTATTGCTCATCCCTCATTATTTCAGTCTTGTAGAGTATTGAGGGATTGCTCATTGGCTCCTTTTGGTCGCTTGATTCGGAGTCATCAATTTGGTCATGCAACTTACTTTAATTGTAATTCTTTAGAACCTATGTTTAATGTGTTGTATTTTCGAAGCTCGCAGCTTATAAATGTGAGTAGTATATTAGGATTTGATTATGAATATGGAAGTATAAATTGTATTAAGGTTATAAGAAATGTTTTTTAAGTTATGATTATATTAATTGAAATGATACTTGAGTAATATTGATTTGAGGACTATAATATAAGTTCGATTGTGATTTGAGAATTTTAGTTGAGATATTTGAGGCTTACTTGGGTCTAGGTGGACTACACGATTCTTTCGATTCTCGTGTCGATCATGACCCACTCTTGGGTCGTGGCATTATATATATATATATTCTTCAACTTATTTAATGTCAATGTCAAAAACATTTATCTTATCACTATGTTTTTCTCCATGTAATTTGACAAGATCATTGGTTATATAAACAATCAAACAAATATAAGGTTTCAAGTTATGAATCTCTCGACAAACATTCACTATTCATTATTACCTATATTAATGCATTAGTATATCAATATTTTATTAGGCCATTGTATCTTTTCTTACACTAACTTAGTCATCGGAGGATCCTTCAATCCATAAAAGAAAACTTGTTCCGAAGTTAAATTTAAAAAATAACCAAACTGAATTTATTTTGGTTTTTGGGGTCTTGATACATGAATTTTTTAAATTTGAATATTTGAATAGATTATTTAGCTTAATTGTTTTTTTTTTTTTAATATGAAATCCCAATACTTCAAAGTTAATGAATCATTGGTTTGTATGTTTATTATTGTTGGAAGATCTTAATAATTAATGTCATGTATTTTTTATTTAGTATATGAAATATGTTATATGTTGTTAAACGGAATGTATTAGTATCATGAATCATGAAGTTAATGATTTATTTTTTAAAAAATATTTATTATCTCTTGTATACACTAATTTATTCCATTTAAACTAAAGAAAGAACTTCATAATTCATAACACACTATTTTTGGTATATTTATATTATATTAAAAAAATTAAGAAAATTAGGAAAAAAATTTTCATCAAAGAACCGAACTCGAAAACTAAAATTTTGGTCTCATCAACCGAAAATTAAATACTCATCTCTAAATCCTTTAAGATTAAATATGATAATTCATCACTAGCTACCAACTATGAGATTTAAAAAAAAAAAATTACAGTTAGATGCATAGCAAAAGCACAGCTTTTAAACTAAACTTTAGTATTGCCTTGTTGTTATTATTATTATTTTCTTTCCATTTGCTTTATCTCCAAGAAACCACACAGTAAATAGTTAGGGGTACGTACGCGAATGTTGGAGAATGTTCTAGTAAAGATGGTGAGACCTACTAAGCTTGTAGAAATGTTTTCCTTTTTCAGACCTAAAGTAGTTCAAGTCATATTTCAGTTGGAAATTTAAGAATCATGACGCGGTTAGAGCTTAGCCTTAATGCATTTTGCCTCCCTATACAAATCCTCTGCCTTTGTTCTCTTTAGTCCCAGATACAGCCACTCCCAGGTGAGGTCCTCACTTTTTATATATTTCGTTTTTCCCATTGCCAAAAAATAAAATAGTAAAAGATGACAAGCTCGACAACAGAGCCTTCGGTCTCTAACATTGGAGATAGATTTAGTCCAACTGAAGAAGAACTAGTAGATCATTATCTAAAGCAAAAATTACTTGGGAATGATCAGCTAGTCAGCAGAATACCTCAACTTGATATCTACCAGTTTGATCCCTGGGATTTACCCTGTAAGCATACGACGTTTAATTTGTCTTTGTTTCTTTCTGCTAAAAATTTTCAAGTGTGAACTAGTTGTGTTAATTATTTTTGTAGGGATAGATTCAAATGATCGAGAGAAATATTTCTTCTCTCCTCTCCATGCTAAGAATCCATACACCAATAATGGGAAAATCAATAGGTCAACAAAGACAGGTTCATGGCAAGCTAAGGTAAAGGATCGTAAGATTACTTCTGAACACAATGGCGTAGAGAATGGTATAAAGAAAATTTTTGTTCATTCTTGTACTAAGGATGGGATCAAGTATGTGATGCATGAGTACAGTGCAAGTTCCAATTTACCTAACCCGGTACGTAGTGTGTGTAGTTAAAGTCCGATCAGCAAATTGGTACCTTACCATCATTTTTGAGTTGTACTGTTTCTTTAATCCCGTTTGTCTATCCAATTAACTTTTGTAGAGTGCTCTGGTTCTGTGTAAAGTAATGAAGAAGAAGCTGGATGAGAAGAGTAATGTAGCACGTAAGAAGATTAAAATGACAGAGGAGAAGGCTGAAGTACTTCCATATAACAAGGACATTAGTACTCCAGCATCTGATGACGGTTCTGATTTTGAGAAAAGGTTTAGCAGTGAGAAGAGTGCTGATATTTCTACGTGTGATAATATTAACAATAGAGGTGAGGAAAGTGGTTAAAGCTGTCATAATTATCGTATTCTTGAAACCTATTGATCAAAAAGATAATAATATCAGCTTGAAAATCAATATGCAGATCAGCAGGCTGAAAATTTAACCTGTGATGGTGGTGGAACAAACCATGTTCCAGAGTTTACAAGTCTTGAAGAGGTGAGACTTGAGAGCGGAGTCTTATTAATTATGGGCACTTTTCATCAATGTTTATCTAAGCTTAATGCTTTCTTGATTCTCTCTACAGATAGACCATGAGATACTACCACAGCTGATTTCGTTCCCTGGTTATGATCAGCAGTATGATAGCCTTGACCACTTCACACTAGATAAGCAGCCACCGATGCTTACAGAGCAACTCTCCACTAACAATGGTCCTGCAGGAACTTCCGTGTCCAGACCAGAGGAAGATCTGTTCTTCGAGCTTGGACATTTGTGGGCTTGACCAGTCAGTGGAAAGAGTTTCTTATCAATGCCCTGTACTGAGAAGAAACAGATAAGCTAGAAAGTGTAAAGTAAGAAACGAACTGCTTTTAACTCCTAAGTTGATTTGATCACTGGGAGTAATATTTACACTAGTAATCAGCAAAAGTATATGTAAGTCACAGATGTGTGTAATTTCTATCTGTAGTTGTTTGTGTAATTTTTATCCCATAGATGAGTAGCTTGTTCTGTCCTGCATCAGGTGGAGCACTTACAAGTTGAATGTGGTTCTTGCCCTTTATCCTCCGGCAACTACTAATAAGGTTAAAATTAGCCGGGGAAGAAACTTCAGTGGTACTTCTCTTCATATCAGAATCTGTAAATGACAACATTGTATAGAACTTGTTAGAAAAAAATGAGCATTTCATTAATTTACTAGCAACCAATGAAGAGTAAGTTTGGCCCATTGGATCTCCTATAGAAAATCTTCGAGAAATTATTACACAGATCAAGTTCATCATTTAATATCATGAATCAAATCAGTAACATTATATATATCTCAAATAATTAAATTTGTCCAAATCATCTATTAGTAAATCACATTTACAGCATGAATCATTTCATGTTTAATAATGCATCCATTAGAAATGATGATTTAGACAAATTTAGTAATTAATGCGTAGAAATTTTATTAGTTTGCTCTATGATGCCAATTGGTAGATGTCGCTATCCGACTTCGGACGGGACTCTAAAAAAATTAAGGATTAGTGTCTTCACATAGTTATTTACGAATTTGAAGTCGTTACCTAGTATTGAAGGAACTAGGAATCTAAAATGGACACCGGCTCGGAGATTTTAAGGTAAGGAGTTGGTTACGTTTTGGGAAGATATAAATCACCCAAAGACACCATTTCTTAAGAAAGGTACCATCTCCGGTTTAATCCTAAATTCATCTCCTAAAGTGTTTTTTTGTGTCAAATTATTTTTTTGTTTTAAAGCTTTAATTTTCTTAGTCAAAAATATATATTTTTTAATTTTTGAGCGTGGCATCGTATTGAAACGATCATCGGACCCCATCGTCAAGAGACACGCTCGGCTCAAACATCGGATCCACTTTTTGAGTCTTGACACAACCGGCGTATCAAAGAACATCTTATTTATTTAGAGAAAAAAATTTATTTATGGTTTTTTTTGTTGTTAAAAAAAATCGTCATCGATCCCTAAAAAATAATAGGAGACTTGACAATTATCTACCTATTGACTACTTAATCTAATTTTTGGGCTCTTCAAGGAAAACTATCATCAGTCCCTAGGAATTTAGGAGACTTGACAATTTCCTCACTTATTAACTATTGATCTAATTTTTAAACGAAGTCTTAATAAAAAGAATTAACTATTTTTATTTTATGTTTTTTTCGATAGAAAAATCATCATCGACCTCTAAAATTAAAAGACTCAATAATTTATCTCTCATTTAGTTATCTAAATTAGTTATGGAAATTAAAATTATAAAATTAAAATTAACTAAAAAAATGAGAATTTATATATAAAAAAATTAAACAAGACATAAAATTCAATATAAATAATCTAAAGTAAAATAAAAACATGAATAAATAAAATAAAACAAACTACATAATCTTTTTTTTTTTTTTTTTGACAATGGGCCTCGTTGGAAGTTTGGCCTAAAAGGGGTCGGACAATCTAACCCTTATTATTTTCTCCTTTGGTCGGGTTAGACCCATTATTTCGGACTAAACCGAACTAAAATTAAATGGGTCAAGTATTTCTTGGGCGAAAAAAGAAAAGAAAAGAAGCCCACAAACAAGAACTAAATTCTTTTCTATTTATTTTTTTTAATCAAAAATGTCTACTCGCTCTTATCGGTCGTTTTTTTTTTCAACTCGACTCGCCTAAAATTTATCCACAAAGCAAGCAACTAGGTATCACCCCGCTCCCCTTGGATACTATATTAATTTTTATGCCTTACTAACCAAAACCAAAAGCAACTTTGTTATAATTTTTACATATCATACAATGACGGTGACTTTCAACAAATTGAAGACATATTGATATGTCAAAGTAGAAGAAAAAGTTATAGAGTTACCCGTTGAGTCCGCAAGAGAATGAGATGTTGAAAACGAAATGGAACGGATAGCTAGTTACGTAAACCCAAAAATAATGCATTCCTTTTTTAAGCCTCGTTTTCTTTTCTTTTCTCTCGTTTCTTGCTCCTTTTTTTTTTTTTACTCTCCCTTTCCCCGCTCGTTTCTTATTGCCTCTCTCCTTTTCTTTCTTCGTCGCTATCTCCCTCTTTGTTATGCTTCTTTTCTTTTCTTTCATGCTCTCCTCTTTCTCTCTCTATATTTCCTCTCGGTCTCTCCCCTTTCTTTTTTTTTTTTTTTTTTTTGCTACTATTTATAGGCTTCGAAAGATTATGGAGAGTGGGCATCCGGTAGTGGGTGACTTACAATCATTGTGGGGAGCTTTGTGTAGAAAATCATGGAGAGTGGAAGTCGTGGGTTATCGAAGGGAAATGACGTTTGTCAACAAGGTGTTGGAGAGTGGAGGTCATGGGTTATCAAGGGAAGGGACGTCCGTCAACAAGGTGTTGAGAGAGTGGAGGTCGTGGGTTATCGAAGGGGTGGAGAGTGGTCGGCTATGGGGAGAGTGGAGGTCCGACAAAATGGTTATCGAGGGACGTTTGTTACATTCCGTAACAAAGTCCCTCGCATGCCACTCGTTCCTCTCTTTCAAAAGAAAAAAGAGGAACAGTGGAATGTACCAATTAATTTAACTCGCGAACGATAAGTCGTCCATAGCCAAAGTGTCAAGTTCGTCCCGTCATTCGCTCCCTCCTTTCAATTAGGTCCTTCTTAATTTTAATTTCTCTCGCAATTAAGTCCTTTTTTATAATTATTTTAGTCCCTTTAGTTTCAATTATTCCTAATCCCCTCTTAATTTCTTCTTATATTTTCCTTAACTTTCTAATATTTATAAATTGACCCATAATACTTTTAAAATAAATCACAATTCAATCCTTAAAAGTAAAATTGATCAATTTCTTTTTTTCATTTTTTTTACTCTTTTTTTCTTTTAATAATAATAATAATAATAATAATAAATTTGTAACCTAAATCCGAGTTATGATAGTTGCCTCTCTTTACAATGCTTATGACACAAAGTCAAATGAAAAAAAAATAAGTTTTTCAATGACTTTGTATAATAAGCTTGTAAAGAATTTCGTGTATTAAGCTTGTAAAGAATTTTTTTTTTTAGGCAAAATTTTTCTTTTTAGAAAAATAAATATGCAATACATGAAAAATTAAATATGCGAGTACATGACCATGTTCGTTAAAGGCCGCATGCCTTGGAAAAGTAAATATGCGATACATGGTCGTGTTCGTTAAAGGCGACTCGCCTTGGAAAAGTAAATATGCAATGATGAAAAATTAAATATGCGAGTACATGGTCATGTTCGTTAAATGCGGCTCGCCTTTAAAAAAAATAAATAAATTTGCAATACATGAAAAGTTAAATATGTAGTACATGGTCATGTTCGTTAAAGGCGGCCTACCTTAGAAAAATAAATATGCAAGTACATAATCGTGTTCGTTAAAGGAGGCTTGCCTTGAAAAAATAAATATGCAGATGATGAAAAATTGAATATGCGATACATGGCCATGTTCGTTAAAAACGGCTCGCCTTAGGAAAATAAATATACGAGTAATGAAAAATTAACTATGTAGTACATGGCCATGTTATTTAAAGGCGGCCTACCTTGGAACGATAGAATATGCAATGATTGCTAAGCAATCTTAATTGATGCAATGAATTGAATTTGATGATCATACCCGAAAGTGAGGATTGATCATTGATTTTTGGATTTCGCACTTAGGCGGTGGCCTATTGTGAGGTGACCTTACTCGAAACAAAACTTGACATGATGGTTAGTTGAGATACCCGTAAGAAACATAGGCTACTTCGCTCAACTCCCCTTCGACCTTTCTCTTCCGGTTATCAAAGTTTTAATGTTGGACCGCTATCTATGATCCGAGCACTATGACTTTACCCCCGATTGGGTTCTACCCTTTCGATAAACTTGGGCTTATCTATTCTTTCAAATGTATATTGAGATAACTCAACCCTTTTGTCACATCGAAGGCGGTAGTCATTCTCTTTTATGATCAACCACTTAATCGACGGTTTGCACTTTATAATATCATGTTCAATAAATGTTTTCTTTTTGTCGACTTTCTTTATGACTTGAGGTCCCATATGCATTTCAAAATGTTTACGTTTCATGAATTCCTCCTTCATAAGGAAAGCTAGCTAGATTTCAATTGGAGATGTTAGGTTCCGAGTTCGGACACATCCATGTGTGTACTTCGGAGACTTGTCATGCAAATGCTACGATATGATCAACTTGGTGATTTTCTTTTGTATTTATGAATAACTAGCTTATGAAAAGAGCTCTTTAATATGAGGAAAAAGGGTGAGCTTTTGTCCCTTGGGGAATTATTACACTTTGATACCCGAGTGTGATTTCACATGACATGTGTCTTGATTTTGACTATCCGTTTTTTCATAAAATTTTATCACAAATGCTCATAGACTAAGACTCATCCGACTCATAGGTCACCTTTAGTTAGAAAGGGCTTTCATTGGCACATAACGTAGGTTATGGCATTGCTCTCTCGAAGAACGGATAATTACAGACTCAAATGGTATTTTAGGGTTTTATTGACATAGGTTCACTTTGCAAAAGCTCTTTTTTTTTACTTTTTTTTGGACATATCCGATGTCGATGTTTGGCTAACTTGAACTACCTTTTCTTTTCATATTTCAGAATGGATCTTATGATGTAAGACAAAACTCTTTCCATGTGAGAGTTCTTCCCCTTTTTTTATTTTAAAGGAAGGCGGGTTGTTTAGCAACAAGTTTTTTTTTTAGATCAATATCCTCTAATAATGAGATTTTTTTTATAGCTTTTTGGCATTCCGCCTCCAAGGTAGGGGGATCCTA